TTGTACTCAATGCGAAATTGGAACCCTAAGAGTTTGCGCACATACGATCGTTGTTCCGAGTTTGTATTACTTGATGAAGTAATTCCTTGATGCTCTTATGATCAGTTCGGATGACAAAAAAATGACCTAACAAGTATTGTCTCCATTTAAGAACAGATTTTGTAATGACATGTAGTTCCTTGATGTATACAGATGCAACTTGTAACTTTGGGCCCAATTTCTTACTAAAGAAGGCAAGGGGTGGCCCTCTTGCATTAAAACAGCTCCAATACCGACGTTGGATGCGTCGCCTCTATTACAAATTCTTTAGAAAAGTCGAGTAAATTAAGGACCTGACGCAGAAAGCATAGCTTGCTTGAGGGCAAGGAAGGCCCGTTGAGCATTTTCATTCCAAGAGAATGCATCATGCTTCAGGAGATCGCTTAAAGGAGAAGCTATACTTGCATAATGGGCAATGAATTTTCTATAGTATCCGAGTAAGGCCTAAGAACCCCTAAGTTGTTTGACCGATTACTCGGTATGGGTCATTTTTCCATGGCTTCAAGCTTGGCCGGATCCGCTCGTACACCCCGAGAAGAAACTATATGGCCTAAGTAGTCAATGAACTCTCGACGGAATAGACATTTGGACAGCTTCACAAAAAAACAATGAGTTTTTAAGGAAGTGAAAACCAATGCTAAATGTTGCAAGTGATCTTCAATAGAGACACTATATATCAAGTATGTCATCAAAAAAAACAATCACAAACCTTCGTAAGTATTGAGAAAACAATTGGTTCATTACGGCTTGGAATGTTGACGGTGCATTAGTGAGTCCAAACGACATTACAAGAAATTCAAAATGACCCTCATGTGTGCGGAACGCCGTTTTACAAGTGTTACTCTGATGAACTCGAATTTGATGGTACCTCGCACGCAAGTCCAGTTTTGTAAATATTCTTGCGTCACCCAACTCATCCAAAAGTTCATCAATGGTTGGAATTGGAAATTTATCCTTAATCGTAATGAATTTAACGATCTATAATCCACACAAAATCGTCATGTACCATATTTCTTCTTTACCAATAAGACGGGTGAAGAAAATGGACTGTGGCTAGGGACGATGATGTCTTGATCAAGCATTTCTCGGATCAACTTCTCCATTTCAGATTTTTAAAATTGAGGATATCGATAGGGCCTCACATTGATCGGCTTGGATCCTTCAACAAGATGGATGTGATGGTCAACCGTTCTGTGAGGAGGCAATTCTGTGGGTGTAGAAAAAATGGACTTAAAACGTTGTAATAGATCAAGAATCGGGCCGGGTAGGTTGGATGGAAAATTGCTCGGATGGTTCTGGGAGAGAATCAACGTCTTGAAGGGACGTCGTGATGGTAAAAACACTGGCCACATTATTGGTGTGAACTAATGCTTGAAGCTGATGCAGTGACACTGATTGTGAGGCTAGAGAGGCATCACCTACTAAAGTAACTTGGGTCCCTTGCCACATGAACTCCATAGTGAGAGCCGAATAATCATGAGCAACTTTGCCCAAAGATTGCAACCAAGGAAAGCCCAACACAACATCGGGACCTTTAATGTTCAGGATAAACAAATTCACCTCAAATTTAATGTCCTGTAAGATAAGAGGGACATTATGGCAGCAAAATTGACAAACCAAGAAGGTTCCATTACCAGTTGCGACCTTGAAACGAGGGCATGGTTCGATAGGTAACCCCAATCATTCCACTAACGCAGGCTTGATAAAGTTGTGAGTGCTCCCACTGTCAATGAGGATGATGAATTTTATTTGGTTATAAAGGCCGGAAACACGCAAGGATCGACTTTGGAGCTGGCTGGACAAGGAGTGAAGGCTGGATATGTCACCCGAGACATCATCTATTGAGTTATCCTCGGATTCCGGTGGGGGTTCCTCTTCATCCGCTCGCATGAGGATAAGCACGCGGTTTTGGCATCGGTGACATGGGTTCCATTTCTCCTCACATTTAAAACAGAGACCTTTTGAATGGCGGTCTCGGAGTTCGGCAGAGGGCATGTTCCGCACGACAGGGTTTGAGTATGGTGTGGGTAAGAGTGGTGGTAACGATGTTGCAATATTGTTTGATGGGTTATTTGGATTTAAATTGGATCGGTTTGTTTGATTGTGGTTAGGTTGAGTATGTGAGCCTGTGGAGTGTTGTGGGCCGCGATACCACAATTTGCCTATGATTGGTGTGTCATCAAAACGGGTCTCATATGCTCTGGCCATGGCGAAGGTTTCCATTAACGTAGCAGGCTCGGTGAAATTGCAATTCCGTCTCAAATGCTTTTTCAATCCCGTAATGAAAAACCGATCGTGAGTGATTCGGAGATATCGTTGACCTTGTTCATCAATTCTTCAAACCGGGCTTGAAAATCGACTACGGAGCTCGGTTTGAGTTAATTTGGAGAGTTCACCTTCAATGTCTTCGTACTGAGTTGGACCGAAGCGGTGACGAACAGTGGTGAGAAAAATTGGCCACGATAGTAACAAATTGTTACGTGTTGCCCATTGGAACCAGCCAGCAGTGCGTCCGTCAAGATGAAAGGCTACGATCTGAAGTCGGGACTCTTCCGGAGTTTCGTGGAAGTTGAAGAAAGCTTCAATCTGGAAAATCCAATCCAAGAGATTGGAACCATCAAAACGTGGTATGTTTAATTTCGGCGCACGTGACGTCTGCCCGACAAATGCATTCTGTGGTTGTTTTTTTGCCTTCGACGTGTAAGTTTGCGACCTTCGAATCAACTTCTACCAGGTGTTGGTGGAGTGTGAAATGAACTGACTCGGTATGGAACTCGAGTAATTCGCGTATGGAACTCGAGTAATTCGCGAAACTTTACCATCTGTGCATCGATATTGGATTGAATGGCGCTCATAAGCTCAGTTGTGTCCATGATGAAACCACCAATGATACATTCTGCTGCAGAATGCTCAAAGGTTTTAACACTCTTCGAATGAGTGTCCACTCCTCAGAAAATTAAGGGAAAGAGAATAATAAAATTTGGGGGAAAAATGATCTTGAAAACTTTTATTCTGTTCTGTTTTGATTACATCATAGTTATTAAAAGGAATTGGGTGCTAACAATCAAGCAAAAATTAGGGAAATAAAACAGGAATTAAACTAATAATTTGCAGCAGAAATTTCAGGAATTAATTTGAGCATATCAGGATCTTCTAATTTTGTCCGCAGACATAATTTGAGCATATCAGGATCTTCTAATTTTGTCCGCAGACATAATCAGTCATCCACACTGGCTTCTTTCTTGCTCATTTCCTTACTATTGAGTCATCCTTCCTTATTGGGTCTAGGTCCACTTGGTTGGTTTGTATCGAATATTTTTATTCTATCTTAAATTCAGGAGTTTAGAAGATAAAATCATTTTTTTTAGAGAGGTTCAAATATTTTTTCCCTAAGATTAAAACAAGAATCACTCTTAATTTAGGACTAAAATCTTAATTAATCTTTTTATTTATTAAATATATTTTATATATAATTAAAATATAGAATATATAATTTAAAATGTAACAATTTCATGTTTATATGAAAGAGAACGTGTATTTTTATTAGTAAAACTAACTCTTATTTTTTCATCGAGTATTGTATGAGATAACGTTGGTTTTAAAAATTTAATCCATTATAACTTTCTCTTAAAATATATAAATTAAGAGATATATAAATTAATCTTAATCTAAACTCTAAATAACGTATGAACGAAAAATAATTACTATAAAAAATAATTATTTTAAATTTTTTTTAAGTTTATATATTTTACTTTATTCATTTAAATTCAAAATTTTCCAATTAACATTTTACTACAATATTACACATGTTACGACCATATTAATCCTAGGCAATGTATGGTCGTGGATTGCGTTTTCAAAAATATCTCGAGAAATTCATTGACCGATTCAATTAATGGTTCAAAAATTATTAATTAAAATTTTGCTTGACTGTGGTAGAATAATTGAGAAAAAAAACTTTTATAATAATAATAATGGCTAGTATATTATAATATACAAGATAATATTAAAAATAATTTTCAAAATACATTGAAATATTTTTATTTTTTGTATTTAATCATTTATGTTCCTCTAGAGTAAAGTTTTTATATTTTAAATAAATGGGTTAAAGAAAATGAGAATTGAGAAAACTTAATCTTTAAATTTCATCTTTAGTTAATAACGTTAATGTATTAGTAATTATAAATATTTTAAATTATTTTTAAACAAGCAGCGTATGAAAATACTAATTTTGGTAAATTTTAAAATTAAAATCTTCAATTATCTGATATAATCTCTATAAAAGAGAAAAAGGCATTTCATAATATTTATTATTTGTGGGTAAAATAGTTGGAGGTATGTAATAAAAAAATTAAAGTAATGAAGAAAAAAATATTGTAGAGAAAGATAACAAAATTCAAAATTATATTGAAGGAAAGAGAGAGTATATATATAATAATTTGGGAAAGGTTTTACGAAAAAAGAAAAGAAGATGCACAAAAGTAGCGAGCATTTGTGTACGTGGATAAGAGCCTTGGTTATGTATGTGTGTTTCCTTCCCTCATGAGAGGTTTCTGTCCATGACATGTTCCTTAAACTCGTTCAAATCCTCCATCATCGTATTTTCCTTCTTTCTGTCTTTTTCCCTCACCTTTTAGTTTGTGTTTATCGTCCCTTCAATTCAATTCTACCCTTTGCATTGGAATTCTCGTCATTCCGGTTTGTTTGACCCCGCACATACAACAGACCTTCTTAATTTTCCATCCCAAGGACGGTGCCACCTTTTTTCCAACGCATCACACCCATTCCTTCTCGGAATTCATCACTTTTATGCCTTTTTCTTCGACCCCTTTTGGCCAAAACCGGATCTTAGTCATGCACATTTGAAGTTTTGCTTTGATTTTGAAACAAAGCCCTTAATTTGGCTTTTTGAATTGTTGAATTAGGCTCTTCTCACTTGCATTGGGTCGGTGAGATTGAAGATGAACGGGCATGAAAATGAAGAACGTGTTTTTGAGATTGGGGTGGTGATTCCTAAGAGAGTAGTGAGTCAGGAGGAAGACGAATCTTGTGACTGCTCATATGTCCTTTTAAAGGAGTTTGAGAAGGTGGGGTTTGAAGTTGAGAGAGTTATTGGCATTGCAGATGAATTCATCAAGGTTAGGTTTTCTCAATTCCTTTCTATGTTTTAATAACTCTATGTTTCATTCATGTCATTCACTTTCATCCAATGCTATACTTTACAGTTATTGTTTTGTCCTATTTGGTCTCTCTAGGGAAATCCTATTTATTTATTTATTTTTCCTAAATGGCATTTTCTTATGATTTTATTCCACGGTTCATCAATGTTGTGGTTTGATCAGTTTTTTGTTTCTAATTTAAGCTTTTTGGCGAGTGGCTGAAACTTATTTGTCATTTGTTTAGTTGGCTGCACCTTTGGAAACGTTGGGGAGGGCTGCAGCTGAACTGCAAATCAAGAAAAGGACTCATATTGGTATATCACAAATCCCTCGAGGGGGGACATCTGTTATGCCTGTTACTATTTAGTTCACTATGTCAAATGGTGCTAACTAGCATGTGACTGGCTCTGCAATTCCTATGTTTGTGTTAATGTATCTTGTAATAAATGGCAGGTATGGATTTGCAATTCGAGGTGGAGGAGGTCGAAGCTTTTGTGAAACAACCTGATGGTTCTGTTTTCAGTTGGTGTGAGCGTTTTCAGTGCTACTGTCACTTAATATATGGAATAGTGAGTTTTTTCTGTAGCTATCCGTTGTATCTACAAGTCCAATTTCCTCTTTTTCTAATATGCTCGTAAGCCAAGCTCCATGCCTGCAGCTTGTTGTTTTATATGATTCTCAGATTGTAGGTGTCTTAGCTTTCTAATTCAAGAAAATATTAGCAAAATGCATTGTCAGACTAAGGCCATGCAGGCTTGTATAAACTCTCATATTGTCATATCTTAATATTTTGGTTACCTTATAAATTGAACGTGCAGGTAAACAACAGTGACTCAGCCAAAATCCTTAAATTTGATGGAAAAGAAATCCATTGGGAAAGTGGGGAGAATCTACTTCTGAAATTGGAATCAGAGAACATTGTTAAGCAAGTCTTTCCTTTGCATGGTGTTTTTACTCACATGTGCCATCAATTTTTCTCTGGATTAGTATGACTTGAAGCCTGAGCTAATATTGCTTTTTGGTTTATAGATGAAAAGAAGAGAAAGAAGCTTCTCAGCAGTTGGGCACTTCATTGGTGGCAGTTCACTAATCAGCCAATAGATGAGATTTATTCATATTACGGGGCAAAGGTTAATGTGACCATGATTGTATGAGCTTTATAATATTATAAGAAATTGATGTTGTCCATTCTCCTTATCCAATGAAGGAATGAATAATCTGCAGATTGCAATCTATTTTGCTTTTCTTGGAATGTACACACGATGGATGCTCTTTCCTGCTGCATTTGGGCTTACTTTGCAATTGGTAGATTTTGGGTGAGCCAATCTGTCTATTGGTTGCTATTTAAACTACCACTTTTGGTTTAGTTTGCATATTGTTAAGCAGTTTTTGGACTTCTTACTGCATTTTAGGCCATTGAAGTTGGTGGTGCTTACTGTTTTCTTCGTCATGGTGATACTTTGGGCTATAATGTTTTCTCAGTTCTGGAAGCGTAAAAACTCTGCACTTTTAGCTAGGTAATGTTTAACTTTTTACTTATTTTTGGATCATTGCAATCACTTTACTATTTGCTTTCTTCGATTCTTTCCTCTGCCTTCACACCTTTTCTCTTTAATGTTTTGGTGTTCTGTTGCAGATGGCCTGTTAGTTCTTTAGATGCAAGTGACCAAGGAAACAAGACTTCAGGCAGGAATGCCGGTTGTTGGCAGCCCCCAATGGAACTCATGAAAGTATTTGAGTCTGATAAAGTTAAAGAGAAGGAAGCATTCCAGAAATCTGAGTGGCTGGGGCGTCTCATGCGATTCAGAAATGATGCTATCATTATCTTCAGCATCATTTGCCTCCAGTTACCATTTGAGTTGGCATATGCTCATCTTTATGAAATTCTTGATTATGATATAATTAAGTAAGAATACATACATACATACATATATACATATACATATATATATATATATATATATATATATATATATATATATATTTTTTTTTTTTTTTTCTGTGCTTCTACTTTTTAGTTAATTGAATATTCTGTTATTTCTGTTTTGGAATTTCTTTCTGTATTATTCTCTCTTATTCCAATAATTCTATTTTGTTCTTGAGTCTCAACTAAAGTATTTTGTTCTTGAGTCTCAACTAAAGTCTCAACTAGATGGGGACTAGCTTGTTTCTACTAAATAATCCTTAATTTGATACTAAAAAGTATCTTTAGCTAATCATATAAATCCTTATATTTATTTGAGTAAATATTTCATTAATGTGACTTTTTTTGAATGTTGGGATTCAGGTTTGGGCTCACTGCTGTTTACCTTTTCGCCATTCAGTATATTACCAAGATTGGTGGCAATATGTCTGTCAAACTTATCATGAAAGAAAACAATGAAAACACAGAAAAACAGGCTGACAGCTTGGTCTACAAGGTAATAAAGAGGATTGACAGTACCAATTTTCCCCCTTGTCCTAAACATGGAACTTAGGCGTTTACTTTTTCCTGCAGGTCTTTGGTCTGTACTTTATGCAGACATACATTGGAATCTTTTATCATGCCCTGTTGCATCGAAATTTTAAAACTCTTCGTCGAGTGTTGATTCAGCGGCTTCTTCTGTCTGAGGTTGCTGAGAAAATTTTCATAACTTTTTCTCTCCCTTCTACCATTTTTTCTTTACGTTCCCTCTGTTTCGTTGGGGGCTTTTCCTTTAACATTGTGATATAAACTTTCTTTTAACATTGTGATATAAACGAAAACATCTTTCAGGTGTTGGAAAACTTATTGGAAAATTTATTGCCTTATCTCAAGTATAGCTACAAAAAGTACAGTGTTCGGTAAGCCTCTTCATCCCCTTGGACATGGACTATTCTAGGTTTACTTTGTTTACTACGTTGCCTCTATGCAATAACTAAACTATCGTTTATTTCTCAAGACACAAGAAAGGAGAAGAAAGTGAACAAATCCAGTTTACTTCTAGAGTAGAGAAAGAATATCTTAAGCCCTCTTACTCTGCTAGCATCGGCGACGAGCTTGAAGATGGATTATTTGATGGTACTTTAAATTCATTATACTCTTAATATGCATATGATATTTTATTAACTTTTGAATATATGGAATATAAGTAGTTTCATTTAGATGTATATGTGTATGTAGAAGTCAACTAAAAGGCTTAATTTCTCATCATCTTCAACAAGCATCCGAGACTGACATTGTCCTGTACTGTTTTCAGATTTCTTGGAATTGGCATTACAGTTTGGAATGATTTTGATGTTTGCTTGTGCATTCCCACCTGCATTTGTTTTTGCTGCTGTGGTATGAATGCTGTTATCTACCTCCCTTTTTTGCACTTGCTTTTGCTTGCCTTCACCAGTTCTATAAATGCTCTTTAATTTATTTTGGCTTTTATAGAATACTACATTGTTGACAACTTAATACCTTGCTGTTCAGAACAACATTATGGAAATCAGAACAGATGCATTCAAGCTGCTAGCCATTTTGAGGCGGCCTGTTCCTCGTGCTGCTGCAACAGTAGGAGCCTGGCATAACATATTTCAGGTATTTATTTTTGGAGGCACTTATCATTTATTTTGGACAATTCTCTTTATATTAATTATAACTGAAACACATGCGTACCAAATAACCAACTATATGGAAGGTCCGTCTACTGATATTCTCAGCATGCAACCCTTTCAATGAAGGGTCATGAGAAAGAATTATGTTAGTCTGACTTGTACTTGATTTTTATGTCACACTGGTTTGAGGGAATTCTTAATTTCGCAGTTTCTCATATTGATGGCTATATGCACCAACTGTGCTCTTTTGGCGTGGCTATATGATGAGGAGAGGAAATGGAAAATAGAGCCAGGACTTGCTGCAATTTTAATCATGGAGCATGTTCTCGTGTTGATTAAGTTTGGCTTCTCTCGATTAGTTCCTGAGGTGGCTTTTTTCCTTCCCATCCACAATCATTCCTTCATTTCAAGGCTGCTTTATGAAAGATAACAGGTTATATATTACTGTTTTCTTTGCAGGAACCTGCTTGGGTAAGAGCCAGCCGTGCAAAACGCACTTCACATGCTCAGAATATGTGTTCTAAGAAGCTTTTAAGGACTATATCTGGAGTAAAGAAGAATTATAAAGAAGAGAAAAAGTTGGATTGATGCCTTTCTAGCTTATTATCAATTTATTTCATTACCAATTACACGCAAGAGAGAAAGCTTATGCTGGACTATCTTTTTGTTATCTTATCTTAGTAGTTCTTTCCCATGACTGAATTGTATATTAAGAAGGGATTTTGCTCTAATTAACCTGTTTTCCTTTATAAATTGTAAATATTAAAACTACGAATACTTCAAGTTTTATCAAAATGTAAGTGAAACAAAGATTGCTTTTTGGAGGCATTCAAATTAAGAACAAAGTAGGTGTTAGTACTATGACTACGGAAAAAAATTTGCACTTGGCAGTTCACTGTAGAGAAAAAGAAATTACTTCTTAATTCCAGATTATATCTATTATATATTTACAATATCTCGTAGTGAAATTGAAATGCATTGTAATTTGACTTTATACAAAATGGATGCAACCCCTCTCCCAGACACAAGTATTTGTTGATCCACTTGCTTCTGACAAACAATTTACAATCTCCACTTCTGTACAATCTATGCACATATTTCTAGGTTACAACCATTTAATGTAAAGTTCATTTTCATACCTCACCAACATTTTTCCATCAACCAATTCCAAGACCACTGTCTGTGATCTGGCCTTGGATAACAGTGTTATTCCATGGTATTGAATTTGTGACTTAGCCACGTGTCTTTCCAAAACGGCCACTGATTTGGCGCACATAAGCAGCAACAGCCTTAGCCCACCTTTTGATCTCAGCCTTCAACTTGTTGGAATCCATGTCCTTCAGCTGCTTCCCTGGCTCCATAGAAAGTTCAACCGAGGAGAAACCACGATCAAAACGCCTCCGTCTTGAAGATTTCTGGGCCTTAAGGTTGATAATGGCATTGCCACCATTCAAAGACGCAGATTTCTTTACAGACATGGCTGCTTTGTGATCAGCAGCCAGAACAGTGAGTACCAAACCAATTATGAAACTTTGTATTGCATCTAACATCATTTATAAGGCTGGCGAATTACACTAAGACAAGTAACATGGTATTCCAATGCGTGTAATAATATGTTTTCATTGACCTTAGACTTTGTCAACACTTTTTAGGAGAATTCCTTAGCAAGTTTAATTAGTACCTTGTAATATTCAATTTTTCTAATTTTGTTCTTTTTGTATGAGAGAAATAATTATTTTAGTATTTAACGAGAACGATTTCGTTTTATTGTAAGATTAACATTATGGTGTTGAATATAACATATTATTGGTTGGCATTCACAGTGTTTACCCTTCAAATTTGATACATTTTATCGTACAACAGTCCACAAATGAGAATATGAGAAAATTTTCTGTACTATTAGTATAGACCGTGTTAAGTTAACTATGAAAAATTGTTAGAAGAACAAATAATGGTTTGATTGTTTGTAAATTGTAACGAGAAGCTAAAGCGTATCATGTTCTGCCGTGTTTCGATTTGAGAAACCTCTTGATTCAAAACAAGATTATTTTATATGCCACACTTCAATGAAAAAGTGAAGAGATTCAACGGAAACCTAATTAGTTTGTAATAAAAATGTTTTTTTAATTAACATCAAGACTAGGGTTTAGGACTACCGTAATGGTCACGCATGGACAGCCAGTCAACCATCTGGCTTGATGATGACATGACAGAACCAAATGTTACCAACAACACATCAAGTGATTGCAGGTAATTTTCAAGTTTCTAGGTGCCATCGTTATATACTCCAAAAACAAACCTACATATACATTATTATTATGTGAAAACGTGTTCCTTGGAAATCAACTCTCAATTTACCAGGTCCGAAACTTATAATGTTGAATATTAGTTAGTCATCAATTCGGACTCGTTGCATAGAGGATGAGGAAACAATGTTATAAGCAGTTTATACCACGCAAGAAAATATTGTTCTACCATTTCTACATACCATGAATATTTTTCAACCAACAGCCAAGACCAGTCTTTCATATAAGATAAAATAAACTTTTACATGTAGAATCATCTTGTTTAAATCATATTACTTAACTTTAAAATAAGAGTTTTTGAAATCATAATTTTAAATAAATAATTTTATAATGATCAGTTATTTAAGAAAATTTCCTTCTTGGTGAATAATCTTAAGTTAGGTTTAGCCAATAATAAAACGAGCATTTCAAGCACCTCAATCCTCGCGCCAACTCTAGTTTCAAGTCCTACACATTATGCTTGAGAGAAAAAATGAAAAACAGTAAAATTGTCTTTTCAAAGAGTTTCAATGCTTAAGACACCGAACGTCCTCACCTTTGATGCAATAAAGCCCAGCTACTGTCAGTTGACCTTCATGCAACAACAATTAAGCGATTATACCAAGACACAAATCAATAATGTTGAAATCTATAACATACTAGTTCAAGTTCAAATTGAATACTTAATAAATAATTGCATTCCAAAACAACTCGGGAAATCTAGGAGTTCTAAAAACACAAAAAAGAAGGGGCAAAAACGAGGGTTGAATGCAAGCTAACTCTTCTCAATTCCCTTTCACTTCCTACCAGAGACCTTCACGGCCTGTCTGTTCCTCTTCTTCACACCAGACTTGGCAACTTTGAGGCTTCTGTGAACAACACTCAACCTTGCAAGGGCAGCCTTCTTGAGATCAGGCCTGTAGTAATTTTCCGCCACCTGAAATACATTGCCTTGTTAGGAAAAAGAAATCCAATAAAAGCAACTATATACGATTGGATGAGTAACAAATAAGTAAGAAACTGCGTATGATTGGATAACAGATTAAAACCAAATAGAGCCGTATATGACCAAGTCAACTAAGTAATTGTAGAATCAGTCCTACTGGCAATGCAAGAACTCAAGTAGGATGAATAAAATTCATGAATGAATTCCTGAATGATAGAAGCTCAGAAGCCAAGCGTAACATGTATATTTCATTGAAGAAACACAAAAAGAGGATTCTTCTTATATGTTAGAGGCTCATCACCGCTGGCTGCTAAGTCTTGCTGGAAAAAGCCCAAAAAAAGTGTTTTTTTAGCACGAAATTTCCCAACCAAGATACAACAATCACCAAATCAAAACCACATACACAAGGTAACTTCTACCAATCAAAAAACAATAATATAACTTTTCTTTTCATCTATGAAAATGACACCAGGGTTGCCACCTGGGAACTATCCAATCTCTGAGATAATAGGGAAAGCGTCTAATAATACAAGGACATTAAGGCCAAGTTCAATTTGACTTTTAGTTACAGCATAGCAAACAACAATTAACTGAAAATAAAGTAAACAAGAACAAACAGATATTTGAAGTAGCAATCGAATCAATTTCTCAGGAGAATAAATTCGCTAATGATTAGAAGCTCAGAAGCCAAGCGTAACATGTATATTTCATTGAAGAACCCAAAAAACGATTCTTCTTATATGTTAGAGGCTCATCACCACCAGAGTCTTGGATGCAAAAGACCCAAAAGGCATTTGTTTAGTTTAACAAAGACACACAATATTCACCGAAACTAAAACGCAGATACGGCAACTCCGACAAATTAAGCACCAATAACATAAATCTTCTTTTCATTAATGAAAATGACAACAATGTTGCAACCTTGGGACTGTTGGGTCACTGATATAATAGTGAAAGCATTTTAAAATACAACAAGGACAATAAGAACAAGTCAGTATGACTTTAGTTACAGCGACTAAAACAGCAAACAAAAAACATATGAAACATTTCATCAGCGAAGTATAAAATTAAATAGATCAAAATAGATATTTGAAATAGCAATAGAATCAAACTCTAAGGAATTGGAACGAAAATATCATACACAAATCACATACATAACAATTTTTTTCTATGAGACATTATTTTTTCATTTACCTGATTTTCAACAGCCTTTGCCATCCTACTGAACTCCTTTTTCATCACAGATTTGTGGAGCAATGCAGCAGGCTTGTTTTGCTTCTTGGTCTTCGTTGTAGCCAACAACACAGACACATCCTTACCAACGGGTTGAACGGTAACAGTTTTCTTGTTTGCCAAACCTAAAATGTTAGTGAAAGAAGAAATTCAACACCCAACAATTCAAACAGTGATCCAATTTATAAAAAAGGCTTCTTAGGCGAAGACAACTCGGTGATCATTAGCAATTTACGAAATTCATTATTATGATTCAACCCCGAATATTATAACTCAATGTCATCAAAAGTATTAGTTTGTCATGAACCCAATATCACCAATTAAAAAAAAATCATTCTTTTCTAAGAGAGCAACACACCAGAGTATTTGAACGAATTGAGGTTGTAGAGATTGTTGGACTCTCTGCTGAATTCAACGCTCTGGGTGCCTCTTCCGAACTGTTTCACCAAAAAGGAGTTGTTCTTCTTCACGATCTCCCACACGAGCTGCCCTGGAACTGTCGCCATTGCTCCTTCACCTGCAACTCACAACTAGGGTTTTGCTTTAGGCTTCATATTTATATAGGACAGTAAAGAAACCCTAAGTTTATCAAAATGAAGAAACCGGGTCCGGGAAGTTCGACCCATTAGTCCGTAAACAAGATCCGTGAAGGGTTGGGTTTGGATCTGATTGCAAGTAGGGTCACATAGCCCATTAAATATGTACTTTAATAATAATAATTTATTTTCCGAAGATAGATTAATGAAATTAATCTTAACCTTCCTTATTTCTTTATTTATAATTATAAATAAGGTACTAACCATAGTTCACATCTCATTGAATATATTTTTAATTTATTTATTTTGTATTACATAATTATTGATAAAATTTTATCAGAATAAAATAAAATAAAAATCTATAAATTATTTATTTATTTATTTATTTGAATTATAAATACAATAGTTATTGTCGACTAAAATTAACCTTTTTTAATCTTCTTATCTCATTTGTAATTCTAATTTATTAATATGAATTATTTATTGTTAAAAACAACAATTAGCACGTTCGAGACTTGATTAAGAGACAATTACGTTAAAGTGAAGCTGACATATATCATGTATATAATTAGCATATAAAATAAAATAATTAAACAAAAAGGTAAAATGTAAAAAGAGTCCTTCACTGTTTTATTTTTTTGAAATTTGGGATGTAAGGACCAAAATGAAAAATACAATTTTATTCTAAATAAACAATATTTAAACATTATATTATTCTAAAATAATTATTCTCTTCAATTTTTTTACATGTAGATGAAATAACCTAGAAAACAATTAATAATTATTACTAAAAATGAAAAAGTAATCTATTGTAAGAAAAAGTTTACCTTTCAATTATAAATTGACTATATCACATTATCATGAGATTTTTAACACTTTTTTTTTCCGAAAACATAAAACTGAATATTAAGACCGATACGATAAAAACTCAATATCTTGAATAAATATTGTTGGAATATGTTCTAATACCATATTAAAAAACTATATACACATCCAACTCAACTGTAAAAATGGACTTGTAAATAAGATTTAGCCTTCAATTTTGACTATATCTCTAATCCTGATGAAATCTGGAACAATTATGAAAGAAGAGAAGAAAGGATAAGAAGAAAGATGAGTGAAAAATGACAACAATACGAGGGCAACGAGCATATGTATTGATGGCATAGCAAGTTTGCATACAAACACAATAAATTGAAATGGGGATTGATCCAAATGTCCTCATCATAATTGCACTTTTCTTTGTTTTAGCCTTGTAGGATTCATAGAGGTGACTTCGACATAAAGTATCGAGTCCAAATCCAACATGAGTATAAAATGTAGTTATTGAACCTCCGTAACATCCTAATTCATTACTTTTTAAGAACCTAATATCAGGTCAAACACCTAATACTAGACCATCCCTCTTTACACCTCATCCAATGTTACATTATTTACAGAGCCAAAGGGAAGCCTCAGATGATTTAACATCTACAGTTCTACATGAAAATGGTCTTCAAATTGTACAGAAGATTCAACCTTCATGCCAGAATTTGTGGGGCTGCAAACTGTGCATGTAGTTAAAAAGTAGATAATATTATGGTCTGCAGAACTAAACCAAAATCTTTCAAATTACCAAAGAAGCAAACTATCCGCACCATCATTCATTGTAACTCCTTCCCAGCAACACTGAGTCATGGGTTGGATGATGTTGGTAATGCACGGTGTGTCGACCGTGCTTGACCACTCACTGCTTCATTTATCCTACTGAACACTACTTTAAGGGGAATACAAGCTATGACAGGACCCTTGAGCTTATCTACCACTGGTTTTCTCCCCTCTTCTGACTGTCTATGACCTGTCAACGACGACAATTTCCGAATCTTTTTATTCAACAGCCCGGTTTTTTTCATCTTGGAAGATTTACTAGGTGAAAAACGTGTTGAATTCTTGGAATGTATTCTTCCGGTTACCAAGTTTGTCTTGGCCACCGAAAACACATCACCAGCTTCCAAGTGACATCCAATGCCACTCAACATCCTATCACAATGACCCTCTTCCAAAACCTCAACTGTCAAAGGGTGTCCAATAAAGGCCTTGCCATTCAGTTTACTCACAAGAGAAACCAAAGGAACGTGTTGTGGTCGGTAGCTGGATTTAACTTCTAGCTTAACATCATATAATGAAGCATCAGAACAATAGTTTCTTCCAGGGAAATCTGCCATTTGATATCTGGAGTTGACAGTGAAGCGTGAATGGCGATACGGAAGTAATCTCTGAGGTGTGAGAGATCCATCAGATAAGAGCTTTGCCTCTCCTGTTGTACCCTTAATATGCTTGTTCAAATCCCGGAATCCTTCTAGTTGGCCTTCAGCAACAGGTTTGCATTTAACTTGAGAATTACAATTATATGAAGTATGTGGTGCACCCATGCCATTCCAATCAGCTTTTGAACCAGTACCCTGGTAGGTTCCATCTGAATTTCCAATTCCTGGCAAATAAGCACTGGATTGGTGGTCTGGGTCCACATATTTTCTTGTGACATGCTTTATACTTTTACTTGTATGTCTTGAATTCCTCTTTCCTTTTGACTGCCACTTTGAACTACCTTTGTCTTGTCTATGGCCAACAATATTGTGACCAGCAGCTGAACCGGTACAACCAGTTTCGTTCTTGCTCTCATCTCTTGATGACACAGCTTCACATTGACTAGCATTACAAGTCTGTTGTCCCAATGCACTAACTTGTGGCTTGTCAGGTGAACAAGAAACCAGAATGGGTGAGAAATCTGGCAAAAGAAATTACAATAGTGAATGTCAATTATCCAGCCCATATATTTTTTTCAAACCACTGCATACAAAAGGGTAGAGTTGTAGTACGGAGAAATTAAGGTACTAAAGACAAAATATAACTTACAACATTTCACATGTTTCAAGTTTCAAGGAAGATTTTATTGATTAAAATAAACAGGTGGGAATAGGGGAGCAAGTAGCATACATATGCAAACCTCTGGTAAGGAACACAATCACATAAAACAAACTAAACACTTCCGCTACAGTTTGCACACATAATATTGGAACATAAGCAACAACCACGAACAAGTAGACAAAAGTAAGGGACAGTGGGGAAGGGGCAAAATTATGCAAATTAGATAAAACAGTTTCTGCAGAACAAGTAACACAAGTGCCACTTGCTCAAAATATCAATGAATCACAATATTCTACTTCCAAAGAAGCTAACAATAAAACCATGCTTCAACCTAGTTCGTTCAACTGTTCTAATCATTATTTATGATCCCTGCGCCTCTTCCAGGAACCACATTCATTTGCCATCTCTTTTCTAAGTTATGTGTTGTGAGTAGGGCCTCACAAACTATAAAGCATGCTTACGCAACATACCCATCTAAAGACCAAAATCTATCATGAAACCAAAAAGGAAAGTTAAGTATTGAAGAAAAAGGAAAGAAAAATAATATTGGTAAGCAGAGGAGGAGAGAATCACAAACTACAAGGCATTTGAATGAAAATTGTAAAAACATTGTCAGCGCAGACACATTGCACAGACACAATACGCTATAGAAAATCAGATGCTGTGGCATACCCGGAGAGTGTTTCTCCTCCGCCAGAACCCCAACAAATGGCACATCAAATAATTTATCAGGAGAATCTTTGCCAACTAGCCCTGGTATGCCAGAAGTTTCATTCTCCTTGACCCCATGATTGATTGGTGAACCATCATCGCCACTACCATGGTCATGAACAATTAATGCAGCCCCATTCTCACAAGCAGCATCAGTATTATCTGAATTATGTGTTTCCATTGGAAAAGTTTTCTTTGAATCATTAGAATCTAATCCTGAAATTCTTCCATCAGTTACCCCACATAATGGGGAACTGTTTGAACTGGGAAGCTGATCACAGATGACAGGAACTGACACCATGGCTGTACTCTCCAAAACTTTAGTCAAGGGCCGGCGACGATTTTTCCTTTTCAATAACTCATGAACATTTGCCACTTGTGATCTCTTCCTTTTCAATGTTGAAGAATAACCTTTACCACCATTTACAGATGTTCCATTTCCAAGGCAGTTCCCTGCAGTAGAATTGTTAAGTGAAGCACTAATGTGCTGACCAATCTCAGTTGCACCTGTACCTTGGACCTTTTTCTTTGACACTACACCAATGCCCAAGTCTTCAAGTCCTCTCATTCGCTTGACTCCTTCAGATCCATCATCTTCTGAATCATTAGGTGTTCTTCTCCTCCTTCCTTGCACAGATTGCATCTTTAAAGAACCATTGTGATTAGGCACTTCAAAAGATATAACAGATTGTGACAATTCTGGAGCTGAATTAGAATTGTCATCAGAGTCACTCAGATCATCAGTCACATCTTCATTGTCTTCACCAGAATTAGACATGAGTGGTAATTCTCCAGCTGAACCTCCATGTTCACTACCAGGTTTATCTAACCCAGAGCATAAGCTTAATGATTCCTTGTCCAAGTGAGCATTCTCTAGCTCAAGAGCGTGAAGAATAGCATCTTCCCTGCGGGCATACTTTACTGCCTTCTTGTTTGAATTGGCAGCTGATGCCTTTGCCTTCTCAATGCATTCATCATACTCACCACAGCGAAAAGCTTTTACCCGCTTTGATTTTTCAAGATTATACCAATCCCTGTATCACAGAGACGTTATTTTCAAAATCAGACCTTATGCAAATTTAAATAAACCTTAATAACTCAAACAAATTTGAGAAAAGGCAACTGTATTACACAACCCAAAGAGTTTCTTTCTGCATAATGACAACGAATCAAATTCGAAGTTGCAGTGCAAAATAGGTTAAGTTACCCAATAACAAACATGTTACAAATCTGCTGGCAGGGAAAGCCACATCCAAATAGTGGGGACAACAACCAAGTTTCTTAAACTGTTTTTAGTTATTATGAAAATCTGATTGTAGCTTATATGAGTTTATATGAAGTAGGCATCATAATGTTCCTCCAAAGACTGAGAACAAAACTATATAGTTCAGCTTCTCATTCTGGAATCATCTACATGGTGATTTCTTGACCTATGCCATGACACCCAATGAGTTACATCCACTTATCTCAACAAAAGAAAAACAACTTCATCCTATAATATACCAATGAGATAAACCAGAACTACCTAGAAAACCACTTTAAGACAATGGTCCTCGACATTAGCATAAACCCACAGCTCATTAACGTTACAGAAAAAAACTTGTCTCATGCATCTCAAATCCCGATTTTCCTTATCTATAGTGAAAACGGCACTTCAACCAAGAACTGTCCCCCGCACCCCACCCCCAAAAAAAAATAAAAAACTCAAATGATCAAACCAATATTATCTGATTCATATCATACAGCTACCACACCAACACCTAATAATTAAGGATGAAAATAGATGGGAAATAAGTTCAGACAGGAATATAAGCAAAACATTAAAAAAAAGAAAAAAGTCTGAGACAAAAAAAATTGAAGAAGGGACTGACACGCTTGCATCCTCACGACCTAAGAGCTTGACGGGAGTACCCGATCTCGGAGAAACCAAGCAACTCTCCGACAATTCGTGAAGACCCATTATCCGACCCGGCCACCACGACCCGTTTCTTCGCCGGACCCAAACCAAACCACCCACCGACGCATCGATTCCGTTCACGCTGGACTTTCCCGAGCTACCCATTTGAAAGAAAACAAACAAACAAACCCCTTAAACCCTTTTTTTTCTTCTTTTCTTGGAAAGAAGGAATCAATCCCAACGCGCCATCATTGCAGAGGTACCCATGTTGGGAAAGGGCCGAAAGGCATCGCTTTTGCTCAAAACAGAAGAACCCCACAAAGGCTAAGAGGCTAAAACCCCATTAGAATTGGAAATGGTGCATGCAAGGAGAAAAGTGCGGAAGATCTAAGAAGGAAGAAGGGGAAAGGGGGGAGGAAGGATCTAGCGTGAAAGCGGGTTTTGTGTGAAGGGTTTTTGACATTCTATGAGAGGGTGGTGGTGGTCATCCGTGGCAAACACAGAGAGAGTACGGACAGCACAGAGTGAGTAGTATAGTGAGTGTGGGAAGAGAGAGAAAGAGAGAGAAAGAAGAAAAAAAGAGAAGCGGTTTCTTTCTTTCTGTAAGAAAGAGGGGGTTGAGAATTGGGGTTGTTGTTTGGATCAAAATATGACATTTGGTATCTTTAGGCGATGGCCCATTAAACATCACAATACAGAAACAAGGAGGAGGCAGTGAGGGGATGCGTTCGTTTTTGGTGTTTTTTTTTTTTTTCCCTTCCAAAAATTGTAAAAAGAGTGTATACGGTTCAACGTAGTACACAGTTTGTCAGGTTTCACCTCTGTTGTCAGCGTACATGTATTTTTAACATTTTCCTCTTCACAAATTACAAAAACTCTACACTTGTGTGGTGTGATTTGTAAGATATTTAGGGTTGATCGATGTTTGTTTTGTGTTTTACAGTTGAACATGTTTAAATGTCATTCAATTCATCTTCCTCCTTTCTTCTGCTCTCTTTTTTGGTTTTTGTAAAGTCAAAACCTTGATGAATGAAGTTACAACTAAAAAGCAAACATACCTTGTTGGAAAAGAGAAAAATTCAATAGATGAAAATCAAAAAATAAAAAAAAACATGTTAGACATTGAAAATTAAAAGTAATTGATTGAAAATAAAAACTTTTACCTTCAATAACTTTATTACTTCTTTACCTTACCTCATCTTACCTATTAATTATTTTTTTCCTAATCAATGAATATGTTGTAAAATAAAATCATGTAACATTTTAAATTTAATTTTAAACTTAGAATGATGATTCAAACAATTTTTTTTAGGTTTATATTGGTTAATGTAAAAAGCGTATTTTGTGTAAATTCTTACCACATCATTGTTCATGTTATCACGTTTTATTTGATTTTAGATAATGAACTAAATTTGATTAATCCTAAACATATAAAGATAAAAAAATGATCTCATTTTAATATTCGTTATACCAAATTATTTATTTTTTGTTTAAATTTATAATAATAATAATAATAATTGAGCCTATCATATTATACTTTTATTACTATTTAAATTGTAACTTAATGTTCTAAAATTATATTTATATTGATCCATTTATTATAATTTTATAATGGTTGATGTCTAATTCATCTCATCATATTAAAATTTTAAACACAAGATTATTCATGAACAGTTTAATAGTGATTTAATAATGAGAGATATAATTATTAAGATATATTTTAATACCATATTAAAAAGCGAGTTTTAATTCCAACTCAATTTTATAAAATTTATACTCAAAATTATAAATTATTGATATTTTTAGTTAATTTCAAGACTACACATTTTTTTTGTTTTTTAACATTTATTAAATCTACTTAATAAAAAATATTAATAATAAAAATATGAATGACAAATTACTCTAAATATGTAACATCCCGCTCACCTTGAATTTGATAGATAAGTGTAGCACTTAATTATCATACATATATAATATTTAAAAATATAAATTATTTATTTTAATATATAAATAATTTAATTTTTAAAATACTTACTAACAAACTTAAACTATAAAATTAATTTGTAAATATAATATACGTGACAAATTATTTTAAATTTAACCAAATTCAGTATGAGTTAGATAAGTTAAAAAAATATAAATAAATAAATAATAGTTTAAACTCTCCTTTTTATTTTTTTAATATTTTTTCATTAGATGAGTTTGTTGGTGTCTCAAAATAGTTACTTATTTAAAAAAAAAATAGAATTTTAACTATAAAATAAAAAATTATTTATTTAAGAAAAATTGTATTTTGAATTAAATAAACACATAATAAATGAGTTTTTTTTGTTATATATTAAATAATAATAAAAAAACTTAGACATATTTACCTTTTTTATCTTTTAAATAAATTATTATTTTAAAAATTACTTATTTCAAAGACAACTATTTTAAATTTAACCATTTAAGTTTAATCAAACTCTCTCCGTGAACATTAGAACTCAAGAAACTCGGTTAAATCCCATTCATGTTCGAATCACTGGTTAAAACGAACCGTTTCAAGAGAAGCAGTGTTTCAGTGGTTAGGTCTTCTCTGTGCCAAGCTGCATCCTTTCCACACTGCTATTTGTAATGCTGCCCTGATATCGCTTTGCTATTCCCATTCTCTCTCTCTCTCTACCCTTTCCCACGCATCAATTTCAGCCATGACGGGTATTTCAATAATCTTAATCTTTCAACTTTTTCCCTCTCTCTAGTTTTGCGTCTGCAATTACACGATAATTTAACTTTATTCTACGGGTTTGGATGCAAATTGATTATTCTAATATGTTTGGACTCCGGGTAATTTCTCAACAGCTTTAATTAAGACTTATTTGTTGGTGTGTTTTGTTACGCAGATTACAAACAAGAACAGGACATGGAGATTGAAGCATTAGAAGCTATACTCATGGATGAATTCAAAGGTTTTTATATCTATATATATATGTGTGTGTCTGTGAATGACATTTAAAATATGTATATATTATAATGGCAATTTACTTTCGTTAGGATTTTTTTTTTTCACTGAGAAAGGGCTTTATTTTTGTTTGACATTCCATGGTAGAAATACACTCTGGTGAAAGTGGCCTAAGTACATCCAATCGGTGCTTCCAAATAAAGGTTGTTGCGCAGGTAAATGTTCCTCCCTATTTTAGTGCTGTCTCTCATGTTTTGCCTTTTTGTTCTACTTCTCGTTCGTCTGTTCTCATGGTTTTGGCCTTATTCTTACCTGGTGGAAAGTGCCTATGTTGTTGAAATCCATGGCATGGATAACCTTGATAGTTCCTCTTATGCAGCTTATTTATGGAGACATTTCTTATTTTATGTTATTTTAATCCATATATTTAGAACAGTAGTTTACTTTTTCTTTTCTGTTGAAAAGAAGAGAACATGTCTTGGTAAAGAGTAGCTTGTTGTGCACCGGTTGCTGTACTTTTAGCCTTAGGAGATTTAGAAGTTGGATTTATTTCCACTACTCCTCCTCCCAACTGATGCAATGTATGTAGGGAACTGAGATGTCTTCCCAATCAAATAACTTGGCAAATAACTACCCTTATATTTATCTAAATATTATTTAATTGTACAGGACGACGATGCAGATGGACCAATAACTAATCCAGGTTTATTTTTTTCTTTCTCTTCAGTATAGTTCCTTTTCCATGTTGTAGTTCAATTTGGCTGAACACTTTAGATTTTTAATATCTTGTTTTTCTTCCCAATATATTGCTTTACTTTTGGAGATTATTTACTGTATAATATATGAAAGATGCAGTTTTGAATTTTTGTTGCAGCTCAACTAGCTTTGATCTTTTCACACACAGAAAGATATCCCGATGAACCTCCCCTTTTAAATTTGAAAAGGTCAGTGCTATTATAATTGTCTAATATTTATTATATTTTTGTTTATATGTCCACTTAATTTCACGTGCATTACAACGTTTTTATTTCACTTTATTATACACTAACATTATGATGTGGTTATATTTCATCTATACTTGACAGTTTGCAAGGAATACATACTGAAGATCTAAGGATTTTGAAAGAGAAACTTCTGCAAGAGGTAATCCTTTGCAATGTAATGTTGCTATTTAATGTTTGATCAAATATGGTCTGTCTGCTATTCTTGTACAGGTTGTTATTCAGATTGAAAGACATCTTAATAGCCACTCTAGATATAATATTTTTGCAGTTATGTGTGCATTTTCATGTCACACAAATGATGGTTATGAAACTCTAGATTTGCTGTGGATTCTTACTAGGTTATGAATACTTAGATGCAAAACTTGTGTTCCACAGGCTTCTGAAAATCTTGGTATGGCTATGATATACACACTTGTTACCTCAGCTAAAGAGTGGTTGTCTGACCGGTTTTGTCAAGATTCTGTTGATGGGAGTACAGAAGCAGAAGAGGCAGCCAAAGATGATGTAAGTCTGTAGTCTATTTTATGAATTTCTTACGAAATTTAGTTAGTTTACTTGAATTGAATTAGTTTTAGAGATTATCTCAGCTATCGATCATAGATATAGTCTTTAATTGTTATAATCAAGGCTTACAATATTATTACATCTCACTATTTATTAACTTTTTTCAATTTGGTTTAACTATTATTTTGAGTGTCAATTTGGTCTCTCTCTCTTTTTTTTTTCTTTTTTTTTTTAAAAGTGAGTCAATTTATTCCCCTATATCAACACTGTTAAGTTGCCTAAAGGAAGAGTGGAACATGACACTGATGTGACTATTCTTGTTGTTGTGTCACTAACATATATGACACATCTATGCCAATGTGACATTGTTAATGATGTGTTAGACATGTTGACACAGATATGACATATATGTCAACAAGCATTCTTTCGAAACAACTTAGTGACATTGACAAAAAGTGTCAACATTGACTTATTTTCAAAAAAAAGTGGAACTAAATTGACACTATAACCAATAATGGGACAAAAATTTAAAAATTTAAAAAGTAATAAGACGAAATAAGCTATTAAGCCTATAATTTATCTCATGAAATGATTTTTATTTTTGGATATTGGATATGTTGGGTGAAAAAAGGTTTTAAAACTATATTTCATTTGGATGGTCAGTAATCATCTTTTTATAGTGAAATTACAAAAAATAAAAAATGGTAATGAACTTTGAAGTTATTTGTTGGAGTTGGCTTCGCATTTAACTTAATCAATTCCTTTATCAGTGATAAAATGGGAAAACAGAAGTTGGCTAGAAAATAATTTCTTAGCATTTCTTTTGATCACAGTCTTCAAAGTCTTTTGAATATTTAAAGATAACCTTTTTCTGTAATAGAAAAATCTAAAATTATCTGATTTTCACCAATCTTACCAAACTAGAGGGAAAAAAATTTATAAACAGTTTTTTTTTTTTCGTGAAAACATATTATAATCTCTAATAAGTATCTAATCCAAACACTTTACTAGTTGAATGCTTTCTATTCAAGTTCAAAATAATACAGTTTTTTTACATTTCTGAATTAGTTGCAAAGCATGAATAAGTGCACATGTGAAACTATTGGAATTGGAAATTATCCAATATCGATTTGTAGAATAAATAAATGATTCAACTTTTGAGTTCAGATATAGCCTGTTAAGGTTCCAACATAAAACTAATTGGCAATATGTGGAGTAGCCTAACATGTATTTAAACATACCAAATGACATGAGTTAGGCGATGTGAGACTTTCAACACGCTCCCTCCAACAAAGTCTGCCGGACCAGGCAAAGGGTACTTTTGACCCAACTAAAGGGCAACTTTTGGCCCATGACGCGATGTTAGGCTTTGACTCTAATACCATGTTAAGGTTTCAACATAAAACTAATTGGCAATATGTGGAGTAACCTAACATGTATTTAAACCATACCAAATGACATGAGGTAGGCGATGTGAGACTTTCAACATAGCCTGAATGTGGAAAGTGAACTTGATATGGAAATATACTTAAGCTAATACATCTAGACTGGTGAAGATTCTTGATTTGATAGGACATCAATGTCAGAAAATGGTAATTTAATCTCTTCAAACACTAATGAGAAATGGATAGGGGAATAAAATCCTTCAAATGAATTTAGACCCCCTCATGTGAAAAATGAAGGGGTAAAATTTAAAAAGAAAGAGAGGTGTAGAAGATAGGCTATCCCAGCTGGTGTGGTGATGTAGGAGCTTGAGTCCTGCTATGGCTTGCTCTGAGACATTGAACACCCTTTTAAAGTAGAGACTGCCCTGCCTCTCTTAATGGCTGGCTTTAAGGAATGGGTTTTCCTTTACATAAAATTGTATGGTATCAAAGCTCAGTGTTTCTGCCCACAATGTGGATGGAATACTCTTTTCAATCATATAGGACTTATGCAGGATCATGATTCCTATAACAGTCAATTATGAGACACACAATTCCCATCCATGATAGAGTCTTTTCCCTTCTAGCAACCTGACATTTGGGAATGAGCATCTTCTGGACATGTTGCCTTCTTCTGTCTTAGACATGTGATCATGGGCTCACTTGTACTTCTAGGCAATATATTACTAAAAGCTTAGGTTGTTTGTGAACAGTACGGTTCTTAAATACCTAAGATCAGCTGCAGGGAATATACTTTCTTTGAATACCAACACTCCTAAAAACATAAACTATTTGGTCAGGTGATGTTTTTATTTTTTACATCTCTAGCACGTCCTCATGCGAATGTCCTTGGGCTCTAACCACGGGAAGTGCATAACATCTGATGCCAAAGTTATAATTTAATTATAGAGGATGGAGATAATAAGGATAGAACTTGAGTTATTGATCATATGTAAAGAGGCAGGATATAGCGAGCCTGCATTTTCTTTTTTGGTTTTTTATTTTTCCTGTTTACCCCATTGAGAATCCTATATCTCAAATTTTGTAATAATTTTATTTTCTCCATTTATTAAACTTTTTTCTTCTGTAAAAAATATAGTATCTTAGACTTATTCCAGGAGAGGGCGTGTACAACTTGTACATTTGTGCAGAACAAGATCAGAGCTATATACACTGAATACTAATAAAGACAGCAAAATGAGATTGCTACAAGCCTCAATTTGAACATCAATTTACAAAAGAAAAGAACTTCCACATAGGAAAATAAAATAAGAAAACTATCGAAGTGTAATTCTTATGATCCCTCAAACATTTTAAAATCATTATTATTGTTACGCTGACTACAATTTTAATTACTTAGGCTAATGTATGCTTCCTATATTGTATCCTATACTTTTGAGAAATTGCTCTATCGCAGTTATTAAACATGAAATTCATGGTCCATTAATTAATGAGTAATGCTAACAAGATCCTTGCATCTGGATTTGATGCTTAATTTTTTTATCTTATTGATGCTTTGATCAGTGAAAGCCTAGTAGCTTCCTATATGTTTTTACTATGAGGAAAATAACCATTTTCTCTACAATATGTTGGGTTCAATAACCACTAGTGTTCATTATCCTATGTAGTCGATGTTTTATTCGATTTCCTCCTTTGTGATTGTTACAAAAGCTTTCCCACTAGATTGTGCATGGTAAATGAGCATATAGAATTATAGACTGGACGTTCATTTTTTTATATAATTACTTTGTACATTAATGTTTTGAAAGATTATCCTGTTGTTCTTAATTGTCATATTAGTAATTGTGTTTTAAAAGCCCCCTGACAATTTTATCTATCCAACATTTTAGATAGTGATACCCCACGGGGAACCAGTTACTGTTGAAACATTTTTAGCTTGGAGAGAAAGGTTTGAAGCAGAACTAGCATTGGAACGAGCCAAGTAAGCTCCTTTTATTTTTTTTAAATCTCTTGGTATCTACAATATTGAAGACAAAGGTTTTCTTTAGACTGATCAATCTTCTTCAAAAGTCCATGTGACGACACCTGATTTGTGATTATCTGTGGGGGTAGAGGTTTTAAACGTATATATCATGTGTATATCAGGAATAAGACGGAAAAAAAATAATGGGGGTGGGAGGGTGTAAATTTGAAATGTAACATTATAAATAACATAGTAGAGTAGAGTGAAGAATTAGTCAATCTCTTACTAGTTCTTTCTATTCCTAAGTTCTAACAAGTAACTATTAATAATCTGCTGTACCTATTTTCCTTTTAATGCCAAAACAATTTGTTATAATTTCAGGCTAATGCCCGAAACCGCACTCACAGCTCCTAAGGAAAAGAAGCTCAGTGGTAGACAATGGTTTGAAAGTGGAAGAGCGGTACCTTCTTTTCCTTACTATTCTTATTCCTATCTTGGTGTCCAAAATTAATATTTTCGTGATAAATGTTCTATTACTCAAGCGAATTTGGTAGTTGCTACTAAATAAACCATTAACATGAAATTGTTTTATATTTAATTAAAAGGAAACCACAACTTGGAATTAATAATGTCTGAGAAAAGGTCCATGGGCTATAAAATGTATTCACCGAAAATTCATTGGTCAATGGTGCCTCTGAAAAGAAAGAATTGAGATAATTATAACAAAGGTTGTGAGTTGTAAAATTTATGACTGGTGGCCCGCTTTCCTCTAATTTACTTCATACAAAATTTAACTATAGTAGTGGTTAACACATCCTGGTTGAAGATGATCCAAGGTTTGTCATTAATAAACCTTGCTTAAAATAACCCATGACATAAAAATAATTCTATTAAAATTCCGTTAACCATCACACTTGGTTAATTGATCCTGTTTTTTAAAATTTAATTCCTATTATATAAATACACACGCTTTATGACCATATATAAATACACTAGCTGCTTCTTTTTTATTCACAGAAAGGTGTGGCTGCTGTCACTGAGGATTCTGATGTGGAGGATGAGGAAGATATTGACTTTGATGAAGATGATTTTGAAGGTACACTTCTATTTCTCTCTCCATAAAACACACGTGCTGTTTCTTTGAAACAAACCCTCTTATTTTGTAAATGTTCGATGTTTGTCATGGCAGATGATGAAGAGGATATGCTTGAGCATTATCTGGCTGAAAAATCTGATTCATCCGCACATTCTTCCATGAGAGCTAGTTAAATTGAATATGCCTCATATCAGGCAGAGTTTTACAGTTTGCATCATATCTGGCAGAGTTTTACAGGTTCCCTCTCACTTTGAGGGAGAGGGAGTTTCTGCCATCTTTCTACAAGTGGATGATTTGGTTTATGATATTATCAGGTACAATGCAGAAGTGTTTAATGTGTGATATTGTATTTCACATGAATACCTTTTGATATAAAAGAAATATTTTTTACTCGTAGTCATCATCCTTGAGTTGTATGAAATCAGTATATTATGGATTAAAAACTTTATAACTCAGTTTGAAGTAGAAGAAATAAGATGAATTTGTTTAAATGTGTGTAATTTTGTTTCATCATTTTCTCCTTTCGGGTATGATTATATGAAATACGAACTTCTTGATCAGTTTGGACGGCTGAAATTGGTCACGGGGTAAGAAAAAAGTATACTTATTTGCACGGTTTCGAGATTGTGTTGAATAATGCATTGTGAAACAAGTCTTGAAAAAAATTACTCTCATTACTAGCAAACAATATAATTTTTTAAGCACATTTATAATTGATTAAAATCTAAAAAAATAAGAATTACTCTTTTAAACACACTTTTCACTAGTTAAAATTTATTTAAACGACAAAGTCAAGAGAATTATAAGTGAAACCCGTTCAAAAATGTGGTTCTCAATAAATTTTTTTAAATTTGCTTTAAAGAAAGTGTTAAATAGTGTATTGCTAGTATTTTTTTTAAAGATTATTAAACAAGTCAACAAAGTCGAGAACTTGAAAGGATAAAAAAAAGTGTTTGTGAAGTTAATTGAAATCGTTAAGTTATTGAGAGAAACTAGGTTAGTAAATTAATGAATGGTCTTTTTTTCAATGAAAAGGAAATACTAAATAATTATACTGGTCATTTACACAGCCAAAATAATTACACTAAATAATAGTAAAATGTCTGGAAGAAAACTTTGAAATACATAGTTAGAACTGTAATTAGTGAAGAATCATTTACTAACTATATATATATATATATATATATATATATATATATATATATATATATATATATATATATATATATAAACAAAACTTGATGTAAACAATCTTCTCATTTCAATCTTACTCAACTGACTGATTCTCTCATTTTGAACGATAAGCTTTTATTTCAAATCTGAATATCCAAATATTTCTCATGTTTGGAACAAGCATCAAGCCGGATTTAAATAGCCAAGCCTATGACAATTTCTTCTTTTTCTTGGCAATAATAAAGATGCATTTTCTGTTAAACTAAAATTTGTCCTCTAAATACTTTTCTTTTCTAAGTCTATTTTTTCTTACATTTGATTACATATTTTACAAGGAAATGTGCTTTGGCAATAGTGTGTCACCAATCATTGACAACTTGACACTGACATCAGCAATGATTTGAACTATTCCGTAAATGCAGATGTCCAACCGTAGTGCTATTTGCAGATATCAACATTTGGACGCATTCAAAACTTTGCAATATGAACTTCTAAATAGAACCTTGATCAGTCATGGCTTGAGCAATGGTTAGAAAGGCAGAAATGACTGCTCCATGCACCAGAGCCCTGGGATAACAAGTAGTACATAATAAGCATGCATTAACTACGGCAGCATATTTAGAAGAAAGACATTTCATGATGAATGATCGTTCAACGAATCCATTGCAAGAATCTACAGTTGCCATTACAATTTCATATTATACACAAATGCATTTTACTTTTTCTGGATAAAAGGGTTAATATAATGTTTTTGAACTTTTCTTTTCTTTTCTTTTATAATAGAAAAATATTGTATCTCACACCTGCTATCTTGTTCTTTAAAGAATAAACTTGGTCAGGACAAATCTTGTAGTTGATGTGTCTTGCAAGAAAATAAAAGTGTGATTTTCTTTGCAATTGCTCATATTACTCAATACTCAGAACATCAAGATTGAAAGAGGGTGAAAAGGAGAACTAATCAACTAGGATGCCCACGGAAGGGTATTACTTTTGGAAAGTAAAGCAAAGAAAGCTAACCAGATTTCATCATTCTTGTAAAGTTACAGAACAAAACACTTACTCAGGACTTTCTTTTTGATAATCAAAATCAGTTGCAGCTTTGATAGCTCTCTGATAAGTCTGTTTCATTGCTTCCTGCACAAAGAAACAGCAAATTTGAAGATGAGTTGGTATACAACAGTACGTGGCTCATGCACACTGAAGTGTGAAAGAAAAAAATATATAACATAGATAACTCAATTTCCACTTAAACTATCTGTTAAATTTCACCCGGCACTAGTCATAACATTCATAATGTGCATGTATACAATAATTGTCAAACGCCCAGCCTAAAAAAAAAAAACAGAAAACCACAAATTCATGCTCACACATACACAACACACATCATGATGTATTCCTTTGCAGATAGTAAACATAACTGAGTTCATGAAATTGTGTAATTCTTTTCAAATTGCATGAAAGAATGAGCACGGTTCAGTTTGAATAGGAAGAGTAAAATAGAGCATTGCATACAACATATATGAAACTTAGCAACCATTTACTACTCTTAAAAGGCAAATAATATGATTTAAAAGCCATTGATTTCACAAAATAACCTGCAATTTAGATTCAAAGTCCTCCGGTGACCAGTGCATCAAACTGCATTCATGATTCAGTTCAAGTTCTCCAGCAACAACCTGCAGGCAAGGAAAACAGATGATTAAAGAAATGTCCATCAAAACGTGTTGTCTAACAATTGATGTTAAAATTGAATCTGCAATAAGTTGATCAGACGATCAGTTAAATAATTCTCATTAGTTAAAATAAGCCTATTCATTGTTAAATTAAATGGTTAATCTTATTAGTTAAAATAAGCCTATTCAGGCACAACTTAACTAGAGAATCTAATAATTCTCATGTCATAGCATATAGTACTCCACAAGGGGATCGCTCTATAGAGACACCAATGGACTGCTTTGCCGTGCTAACTCAACTGATTATATTTTTGGTAGTCAATTAAATCATCTTCAAATGAACCTTCAGGTTAATGATGGTATTATTTATGTTGGCTAAGACAACAAAAATACAACATGCGGAAATATAACTTAGAATCTCTTTTTCCCTATATAAATGAAAGGCTTCGAAAAGATCCAATAACGTATAAATAATAGTCTGCACCAAAATTAGAAAGACAAGAAATTCATAAATATCAAATTTTAATGTTATAAAACCCTCAATATGAAGAAAAAAATAGAGATCTAATACGGTTAAAATTTTCACTAATAATAATTAATGGATATAACACAAGTTTTCTTGGAACTTCCAAAAATCAACATAACACTTTTTCTTAATCAATAAGGTAGATAACAAATAACCTTAACAAATATTTAACTAGACAACAGAGAACCAAAATACAGAATAATTGGTACACAATACTACAAGGTAACTCTTTTGCACAAATATGCACGAAGCTACTCTAACTACTACGTTCTTCTTTTTGTCTCTTGGTGGCTTCTTTCTTTTTCTCAAAAGAGACAGTTCCTCTCTTTGTTTACTATTTGCCCTAAAGGATTCATGTAAATAAAGATACATCCTATAATGAGTCACTAACCCATAAAAAAAATACTCTTATTCTTTTTTTTTTTCTTACTTAAATTAGTCAGCATGGGCCAATAAATTTGTGACCAACATGACAATTTAGAAAGTACAGAAGTGTGGGAGGGAACCTCAGTATTTTAGGGGCTGAAGAAAGTAAGATGTACACAAAATCTTCAACAATGACCATCAAACATACAACAAAAATCTTATCATTGAGTAATGCTCATGCTCATCAATTTAATGAGCAGCTAAATATTTGCATCTATTGAAGGTTTAATACAGGGAAGTATTTATTATCAATTAATGCTATGCAGGAAAGCTTGGGAGAAATTGAAGTGAAGATGTTAAGTTCTGCATACAAGGGCCCAATAGTAGAGAACTATTCCATCTACTTTCCTGTTTCTCTAAGTATCCATGCTTACTCATGCCTAATAAACAATATATAATACAGAACTAACTTTGCATCAACATTCTCAATTAAGGAGGATAAAGATAGCATTTTCATTATGGCTATGTATGAAATTAAAGTGGTTGTACACCACGACAAATCTGATCATCAATGTTGCTGTTGTTTTGTTTAAGGTGGGAATACGTATGCAATAATTTCAATCTCACCCCTCCAGCACCAGCAGCCATTGCAGGAGCAATGAGAACACTAGCTTTTCTGAAAATCTGAACTGCTTCAGGGGTACAAGGCATGTTTGAACCTGGGATTCAGATTGAACAAGTGGCTTCCATTAGTATATACAACAAAGAAGAGGTTGGGGGGGATGCACCATATATGGTGGAACTTAGAATAACAGCTACCTTCAACTAGTATACGACAACCTGAATTAACCAAATTAATGGCATCAGATTGATCAATTTCATTATGTGTAGCACAAGCAAATGCAACATCACACCTTTCATTCCACGGTTTTGCTTCATCATAATATTTGGACCGAGCATAGGTTTTTGAATAGTCTCTACATATTGTCAATTTATAAACAAGGACAGTAAAATTATACATAGTAGCAAGCATAAAGCATTAACAGACAACAGAATTGATACAAACCGCAAGCTTCTTTGCTGAGCTTTGATGTCTCTTAGAAATGACATTTTCATGTAGTCAAATCCATCCTCATCAACCAAATACCCTCTGGAATCTGACAGATGCCTTTGTTAAAAAATTACTCCTTGACCAGGATACACAAAGGTATCCAAAATGATATGGGAACCCCAGATTTAATTACTACAATTCTTAATGATGATCTATATAAAGATGAAAACTTACGAGTAACAAAGCACAAATTTGCATTCTTGTTTGAATAAAAGAATAGATGCAGTACTTAGAAGATGCAGTAGCCCCATTATATACAAGATCATGAAAATAAAAAATTACCTGATACTGAAATGGGAAGAGCACCATAAGCAATTAGCTTGTCTAAAACATGCATTGCAATCTTTCCAGAGCCGCTCACAACACATCTACAGGAAATTGTAAATTAGCAGAGTATTCCAGGATCACAAATGAGTGGAAACCAATTTAGGAAGCAACAAATTTCACACTGGTAGATAATTGTCTTATAAGGAATCTAACAAGTTCACAAAATAAATAATTGAAAATGAGAGTTTTCAAGTTTCTAACGTTAATGGAGTTTTTAACACAAGAAAGAAGACTACCAAAATGAAAATAAAAGATTCAAATCCTCATAGGATACTTCAATATAACAAGAAATGAGGGTCAAGAAGATCAATAACGAATGAGTCATTAGCAACAATATTTATGAAATGGTCTAAACAAAAATAGAAACCTTAATCCTTTAAGTTCTTTATTCATGTCAGCAAGCATGAGCTGGGCAAAGAAAACCTGCAGAAGGATGACAAACATGTTAAAAATTTAATAACTTGAAACTAGAGATGCAGAGAACATTTTATGATATCTTCTTGGCTAGAATGGACTTCCATGTCACATGCTCTTTGCTCTGAAATGAGGAGTTGCCTCGTAGGAGATTGTAGGCAATTATGGTTAGAGATTCTTAGTTTTTATTAAACAAGGATATGCATAAGAATTGACAGGACCTGCTGTAAAATTGAAAGGCTACCTACCATGTAGCTCATTTCATACATAATCACTCCAAAATGCATATCCCACCATACATCCATAGAGGGTAAGAATTAAAAATTGAAATTACCAGTCCATAGCCAGTAGCTTCAGGTCGAAGACTGGAGCCAGACCAAAATATCCTTGGCCCTGTAAAACTTCCCTGCATAAGTAAGGTATGCATATGAAAAATGCCCAACAAAAAGAAATAGTTTTCCTTTCTGCCACAAATGTCAATATTTGTAACAGTCAAAAGTTACACTCTCAAGCTAAGCACACAAGCTTAAAAAAAAGAGCAGTCATGTGGTCAGTCAAGACTCTAGTTAGAACTTAAAGGTAAAAAAGAAAATAAAGATACGAGTCACGACAATAAAATGAAGGGCATGTGTTAATCTTATGGATGGAGAACAGATAAAGCTGTGTTGAAGAGAGAATAGAACAAAACAGTAGAAAAAGGTGTTTATTCACTAGAAAGACAGAAACAACACCAGAACTGCCATCCAAGATGTGAGTTACCATAAATGAACATGTTTTCCACAAATCAAGATGCTCTTTGCCTGCAACGCTGTTGGGTCTCATCTTTGTTCTGAACTTCTCACAACAGAAATGTTTCTCAACTTCGATACCAAAAGAGAAAAGCAAAAACAGGGAGTAGTGTCCCACAAGAAAAGGGTAGTGGAGGAATTTTTCTTATGTCAACAGTAGAAGGTGCAATGACCATAAATTTCTGGGATGAAGGTCACAATTCATAGCTGTGACTCCTGCTAGGCTGCTACAAAAAAAATGATCCACTTAGGTTTGGATAGCAGTTGGAGGCTACTCTGCACTGCTACATGACTATTGTGCCACTATAGGGTGCTTTTAACGACTACATTGTAGTTAGTTAGATGAATTAAACAATTCCATAATGTATAATAAATCATGTTATAAATAATCCTTCTTGATGATTTTAACCACAAGTTTTTTCTAAATCTCCCTCTACCATTAGTGATTGGGCTATTCTCCATAATATCTACTCTCCTAACTAGGGGCTTCTGTAGGTCTTCTCCACACATGCCCAACCCTAACCATTAGGACTTCAACCGATTCTCTAAAGGATGGGAAATAAGGGGAAAAAAAGCAAATCAGATCTACATCACTGTGCTTCAAAAGAGATAAGTTAACAACTAAAAGATTCCCAAAATTACAAAATATGTAGACAATAATGCTTACTCTAGGTTTGTGAATGTAAGATGCATGTCTTTGAGTTTGTTCTACCAATTCATTTTCCCTTGGTCAATGGGATTTATTCTATTGACAGTTTACATAAAATGCATCAAGAAATTCAGATGTGAGGGATAAACATACAGGGGAAAATGTATATAATAAAAAAGGTAAAACATTTATATTTCCACCAAATAGTTTGTTGGGATTTGAGAATGCATACATTACCTGAAAATGACCAGCTAGACGTCTATACTGTCCAAAAAGATACCCCATTTCTCGAGTACCAACACCCATTTCCTCTGATGGAAGGTCCTAATAGACATTCACCACAGGAATATACATGAAATAGGCCAGGATGTGCCTCGGTTAATAGATATAGAAAAGAATATGCTTTCAGTTACCTTGTCAGGCCCCAGGTAGCGATACATCTCACTCATGAAACTTTGGCAAAATCTCATAATCTGCCAACTTGCGAAATTAACATTTAGTAATTATAAAACTTCTGGAGATCGAATTGAATAAATTGAAAAATTACCTCATTATCACTTTTTCCTTTGGGATCAAAATCACTTCCTCCAGCTGCTCCTCCTAATTTGTATGGTGATAAGGCATTCTTTAAAGTCTGCAGAGAAGGTTGTATTGTATGAACTATAAAGTAGACCAAAACAGAAATGCCGTTCAGAATCTAGATTCTTAACTTTTGCTGGTAGGTGAATCGCAGTATATTTGTCAAATATAAAAAAAAGGCTTAGAGAAATACATTGTTCCTTAACCAAACTCTCCACCTTAATACGAATACAATTAGTATTTTGAATGAATGCAAGCTTTCTGTCCCAGTGATTATATCTCCTTACATAAAGTACATAGACCACACAATTTCAAAGATCTTGTTAATCTTTATATTAGGAAATGTTTTAGAGTCATAGCATTTACTATTGATTTTTTACTTTTTAATTTACAGCCTCAAATTATATTTGGCAGATATGAAATTGGAATATTTGCTTATCACTTGCACATAAATAACTGTTGGAATTTAAGTGTGAATTAAAGTCTTACATTAAACAGAAATGAGAAAGTTGAATAACTTATAACTGGAAAAGACACATAAACTTACTATCTCAAAGTTTTAGGTTGAAGATGGAGTCATATTCTCTTGTATGATTACCTTGATATCCCAAAAGTGAACACCAGCCTAGTGATATCTAATACATCAATGTCTCAAAAGCCACCTTAATCCTGCCCCTTCTGTATTCCATTGTATACTCTTGCCATCTTTTTACTATCATTCTGGCATTTATTCTCTCCCTCTCTTTTTCTCTCACTTATTGTTTTCTCCAACACCCTTCTATTCTATATGGACATGTGAATATGCAAGCACTAGTGTTTGCTAATTTATTCTCTCAATTTTTTATATGTTTGTTCTCTTTTCAAAATCAGAAAAACAGACTACAACTACAACCCTAACAGTGACGTCACATAATGTTAAAAAAATAATAACTAAAGAAAAAAGTGGGTTCTACCATGGTGATGAAATGCATGAAGTATTTAATATATTAGATTCCTCCCCACCCTGTCCGCTAAAACACATGGAAGAAAATCTTTTACACATGATGTGCATTCTTGTTGAGAAATAGGTTAAAGGATTAAAAAGAAGTATATCATGGAAAAAAATGTGATGGCATGGCATTAAAACAAGCTTAATTCAGCAAGATTTAAGTCATTACTTGTAAAAAATAGTATTATATATGAATACCAAAAACACTCATAATACCTGTTCAAAACCAAGGAACTTGGCAATACTTAAGTTCATTGACGGATGAAAACGAATACCACCCCTACATGGACCCATTGACTGGTTAAATTGTACCCTAAATCCCCGATTTACATGTGTCTGACCCCTATCATCCACCCATGAAACTCGAAAAACAATCATTCGTTCAGGTTCCAACAAGCGCTCCATGATGTTAACATAACTGAAACATGAGAATATTAATGAGATTCATCCAAAATTTAAGCAATGACTTTGTCATTTGTGGATAGAAAAGGACATAATTATAGTCATTGGAATAAAAGCACACCGAGAATTTTTTGCTATCACTCTTTCAAGGGCTTGAACTGCCTCCTGGACTGACTGAATGAATTCAACCTCATGAGGGTCCCTTTTTAGCGTAGCTTCAAGTATTGATCCCACTGTTTTTAACATGGCAAGTTCAATTATAGAATTGTCAGACAATACCCAAAATCATAAGCATCTTTTTAAGAAGACAACTTATTAACTAAACATTATTTAGTGTGTAGATCACCAAAATATATTCATTTCAAGAAATTGAATTTATCAATCCAAAAATAGAAATTCTATCATAGAGAAAGCAGAAATAAACTGAAATTTGCCATAGTAATGAGAATCTGAAGCTTGACTATTTGGTATCAAGAAAGGATAGAAAAAACTCAAATAAGAGCTGAAAGTATATTTATTATGTATGTATTCAGGTCTGAGATTAAGGACCAGATCCAGAGAATATAGCACCGGTTAAGTATAAAAGAGGAACAAAACAGTAAAAGAAACTCTCAGGAATTCCGAGAGGCCTAAACATGCCTAAACTCACCCAAGGGTTGAATTCAACAAAATTCCAGCCTTAGAGTTGTAGAGAAACACGGAATGAAAGCTTTCAGTATTTAGAAAGAATGAAAAATCCACTTACAGAGATGATAGACTCAGATATATATAGTTGTACATAAGTGAATAAATTGTCTAGCTAACTATAATTAACTGTTAGTCAGTTACAGATTACAACTGTCATACTACAAAATATTTATGAATGTTCAGAGTAAAACTGAAATCTCGTACAGTCTACTCCCCTCCTTATTTATACGACTATTTTGTTGTCAAATAAATTTGTTCCCCATTCATCTCTCCATTTCCGCACTATTGGCTATGATAAGGTACATCATCCCTTTTTGCACTTCCCACACATACTTTAGATACAAAGGGCCTATAGAGGCCGGTAAAGATGCACCTTGAAACTTCAAAAACAGCATTAAATTTTGAAATTTAGGAAAAAAATAACCCAAAAAAAAAAAGAGAAGATGAAAGAAACCAGAGAGAAAGAATCTGGAAATGTCTATTCTGTTTCTAGTACATAATGAATTCACCCAGTTATCTAAGTGCATCTCTGAATTTATAGGGAAACTGTGTATGGCATACTGTAGCAACTCAATTAGTTCAGTTGTATCGGAACAATTGAGCCACTGACTAACTAAACAGTGAAACTGATATGCTGGTCTTAACTAACAAAATGAGGGTACATATGCTGTGTTTTAAAGCTAACAATATACTACTCTGGGATACCAATGGCATACACCTACAGTATACAGATACAATTGTAAAAAAAATGTCAAATTAATAATATATTATTTAGGAAAAAAAGTAGAAAGCGAGCATTTGAAATTGAAAGTGAGCAAGGAAACTAAACTTTTGCAAAGTAACCACTAAACCAATGGAGGAAACAAATGAAGATAGTGCCATAGGATGCTGTCAAATCAGTCAGTAATTAATCTCTAAAAGAAGCAGTATAGTTCACAAATATCATCAGATTTATCTAATAGCACAATGTTTGCAATTCATGCAACTAAAGATCATTTGAAGTGTTAAATACATCAGTAAGGCAGGTTCCTATTATCCTCTAAAATTGATCAAACGTATCTTTTGTAAAAATCCAACATAACTAACAATATATCTATTAAGAACTTATGACCACAAAGTAAAATGGATTGGAAAAGACCAAAGCAAATCTTATATTTCAACTATAAGAAAACACAGTATATAATCATCAACATTTTCATTGAAAGTGCTCAAAATATTATCTGCTCATGGCAGTTAAAATAGCATGCTGAGATGCCCAACCTTTTACATAAACAGGCTTGTTGACCACAATTTTATCTTTGGAGGCCATTTGAAGACGAAGAGCCTCTTTGTGAAGCAAACTATTATTGTGTTCTTCCAGGGCACTCATTTGCATATTCCGACTTCCCTCATTCCCATATGGATTTCTTCTATGTTTCCGGCCATACTCCCTGCAGACAGAGCAGAAAATCCTATGTGTCCCATCTTTCGTGTCAACGAAAGCCCATTTATAGGTGTCTGCCCATTCTTCTCTCCATCTTTTAACAACCTTTTTCTTCCTTTTCACCTGTTGGTTCTTGGACATATCTTGAGCATCATTAGAAAGCTGAGAAACCATCCCCATCTGCTTGCTCTCACCATGTTCTTCTGTGGAAGATTCCCGCATTGGTGCACCAATTAAAGTAGCGTTACCAAATGAAGGGTCATCCTCCCCAGGTCCAATTTCTAAATCAATCTCCTCACCAAGCTCTCTCACAACCAAGTTATGTCTTTGGCTTTGCTGAATCAAAGCCATGTCATCCATTACAGAATTCATCCCGATTATTCCACTGGTCCGCAACAACATTCAGCATGACAGCCCTCTCTGCGAATTATAAATAACTTGCTTTCTGCCAAAAATCAGAATACATCAAATCACCAATTTACCTATTTTAGAGTTAATGGAACAAACAAACAAATAAAACTCGTCTTCAAGATAAACACATGTCTAAATTGGTTGGCTCAATTGAGTTGGACTAGACACGCAACATAAACTAACCTACCACTCGAAAAGACATCAAAACAGTCGCACTGTCTAGGCCAGTCTTCAGTTCTTCAAAACAACAATTAACAAAAACATCAAGCATGAACATTATTTCTAATACTCATACAACATTTTAATTGAACAAGCACCCTCAAAACTTCCCTCAACCTCATTTTAGCTAGCACCCATCTGAACTGACAATCATTTAAACCCCAAGGCACATCATAAACCTCAGAATCCTCACAAATACAAAAGGCCAGTGTCTACAAACTCCACACGTGATGAGAAAAAAATTCTTTTCCCGAACAACCCACAAATTATAATTCAATTTGCAGAAATACCAAGAAGTTGAATTTGATCGCTGAGCTCAAATACCTTAAGAAACTGAACGAGAGTAACAAACTCGAAAAACGGAGGTTTTGAGCATCTCGTGGTTTGGTGTGAGATCAAGGAGGAAACTTTAATTCGAAATTGAGGTTAGAGAGGGGAGTGTGACGGTGAGTGGAACAAAAACATAGTTGGGGAGTTTAATGATTGTTTCTGGGACTGTTTGTTTTGTTAGGTATTTCAGTATTTCTGAAATCGAAGAAAGTCGGGGTAGTAAAGAGTGACAAGGATGCATATTTTTTTCCGTAATACCTTTTTACGGAAACATACTTCATATGTTTTTTTCAGAATGTTTAAATTTTCTACTTTTATTTATTATATAGGAATCTCTATCACTTAAAATAAATTTAGTTATCAACAAATAAATTTTCATAAACTGCAAAAAAAAATCCACATTACGTAGTTTTCAAAAACCATTGTAAATTAACTACTTTTGATTAAAAATATTATTTTAAAAAAATGTAAATGAAAATCGTCGATTTTTCATTTTAAAATGTGAGAATTGTTGTGAACTAAGTATTGAATTCTGTAAAATGCAAGGTTCCTATTTTAATTTTGATGAAAGAAACTATCTAAAATGATTATCAAGTTATTAATGTCTCATAAATATCTCTAAGCACCATATTTTCGTGATAATTAAATGGAAAGTTAGTTAATAACTCGTTTTAAAATAAAAACATTTAATTTTGGTAAGATGCAGTCTTAGAAGCATGATATCCAGCACATTATTTTAGTTTACTCTCTTTCATTAATTAAAATAAATGATGAAACATTCATTAAATAAAGTGTGGCATCTATAGAAATTTATGATTTTTAATAAGTTTAAAAATTATCAATATCAATTAAATAAAGTGTGACATCTACAGAAATTTATGATAAAATAAGACATAATTTAAGTTGTTTTTTAACATAATAAATGAACTATGAAAGTAGAGAAAGTTAATAAAAAATAAATATAAGAGTTAGATATAAGCAATTAATGTGCTCAACTCAATGTGGAATTGTTAAAGTATTATTCTAATTTAATTTTTAGAAGAAATAATCTTTAGTCAAAATTTATTTAACTCTTTGGACAAAAGTTAATTTATAATAGCTTCTAATTTTGAAAAGATTGAATGTCTTGTACACTTATGAATTGTTGGTAAATTTGTATGAATGTATTTCATGGGTGAGTTGAATGGAAAAAAAATGTCTAAAAAGGAATTTTATGATCCAAATTGTTGAGGTATGAAAGAGAAACTAACAATTACTCTTTCATCTTTTAGTTGAATTTAATTTATTTCTTATTTCTTAAAAGTTTTAATTTAACTTTTAATTTTCATAATATTAGAATTAACTCCCATAATTTAAATATATTAGTAGTTAAAACTACTAAAAAAATGTTTTTAAATATTTTTATTATATATATATCAACGACTTTTAATCATTAATAAACTGAAAGTGTTTTTTTAGAGAACTGTCTTGAGTAGTGAGAGTTGAATTAAAAAAATTAAAAACAGATAGAAAAAATACGCAATTATTTAAAATATTAAATTTATATTTTATTATATATAATTTTTTAGAAGTATACGTTATATTTAGGAGTTCCATTTTTTTTTCTTTAAAAATGTATATCACTTAGATTTAGTTTATGCAATATTCTTTTAGTCTTGTGATGATGTGACACCAGTGATATAACAATGATATTACTAAACTATTATTGTGCTGACATGAACATGAAATAGTTTTTTAACATTATTTTTATAGAATTGGTTGAAACAACTCAATTTCAATGCTCACCTTTTATTTATAATCTCAAGTTCGAAACAAGCATCAAGCTCAGTTTTATAAGCCAAGGACAGTTTCTCCTTTTTCTTGGCATAAATAAAGATGTATCTTCTTTTTCTAAGTTTAAACTTTCTTACATTACATATTTTACAAAGAAATATGCTTTGGAAGTAGTTTCATCCTATCATTGACAATTTGACACTTGCATCAGCAATGATTTGGACTAGTCAGTGAGTGCAGATTTCCGCCCATGGTGCCAACTGGTTAAGATCTGTATTTGGGTGCATTCAAAACTTTGCAATATGAACTTCTATACAGAACCTTGATCAGTCATGGCTTGAGCAATGGTTAGAAAGGCAGAGATGACTGCTCCATGCACCAGAGCCCTGATACAACAAGCACACAAATATTAAACTAGGGTTGCATATTTAGAAGACATTTCAAGATGAATGATCATTCAAACAAATCCATTGCAAGGAAAGGACACCACAAGAATCTACAGTTGCCATTAGAAATTTCATGTTACTTTTTTTGTATAAAAGGTAATCCATGGACGGCTAATACAGGTGTTTTAAGTTATTTTTTAATAGAAAAATATTCCATCGCACAGATTCACCATTATTCTATCTTGTTCGTTGAAAAATAAACTTGGTTAGAGAATTGTTAACAAAACATTCTCTAGCACACTTTTTTAATACACTTTTCAAAACTATTTATTGAAAATCACAATTTTTTGTAGGTTTTACTTCTATTTAATGAGTGTAGAATAATGGTATTCATTCTCATAGTCTTCATAACTAACAAGAATTACACAATTATTTAAATTGAATATAGTTTTCAATAAATTTTAACCAATAGAGTGTAAGTTAGAAAGAGTGTATTAGAGAGATTGTTACTAATATTTCTTAGGCGATCTTGTAGCTGATGCCTTGCAAGAAGTAAAGGGTGTTTTTCTTTGCAATTTCTCATACATGAATCAGTCATGTTAACTATAATTCTTCTAAATCTGCAGCTAAGAACATCAAGACAGTTGTAGGACTTATGAAGTTAGTAGCTTTCATCATTGTTGTAACGATAATAAAGAAAGCACTTACTCAGGACTTTCTTTTTGGTAACCAAAATCAGTTGCAGCTTTGATAGCTCTCTGATAAGTCTGTTTCATTGCTTCCTGCCCAAAGAAACAAGCAAATTTGACGACAGAAGTTGACATAAAGCTTTCCGCAGTTTAAAGATGTATGATTTCCACTTAAAACTAATTAACATTAAGCGAAATTGTATAACAGATATATTAGTCGTACTCCAAAAATTAAGATAAAAAATATAAGACTTCCTAACTCCCCCTCCCCTTTTACATATGCCTGTCAGGCCAGGCGAGCCTATCAGAATAGTTGATACACTAAGATCAACTATAACCTTTAATGTCCTCGTAGATCTCAATTTAAAACCAATTATTATTAAACAAAGTTGTCAAACAAGTGATGGGAGATTTTCCAACAATGCATACTAAAGTGTGAAAGAAAAATTATTAACCAAACATGAGTAACTAAAAAAACACATTATATTGTATTCCTCTGCAGAAGAGACATAAGTTAGTTTATGGACATTGTATCATTCGTTTCAAATAACTTAAGAATGAGAAATTCAATTGAATAGAAAAAGTCAATAAGAACAGAGGACAACTAGACAAAACCAAATCTAGCAACCATTTACAATTCATGAAAGGTGTAAATATGTACTTTCATGCTTGAGATGTCTAATTCTCAACAAGAGGGAATATATTAGAGATCCCACATCAATTAAATCTATAACCAAATTATAATATATGAGACAATCGTTGCCTTAAAAGCTAGTTTTGTGGGATGATTTAGCCGCAAACCGCAAATGTTAAGAAAACTATATGATTTGTAAGAGCAATTGCAATTGATTTCACTAACTACCTGCAATTTCGATTCGAAGTCCTCTGGTGACCAGTGCATCAAGCTGCATTCATGATTCAGTTCAAGTTCTCCAGCCACAACCTGCAAACAAGTTAGCATAGAGAACAGAAGATTTAAATTAGGTCCACCCAAATGTCATGTCTAATGTTGATGTTGAAATTGAATCTGCCATCAATTGAAAATAAAACCAATTAAATGATGTTAACCAATCCTGATACACTTATGATCACATTTACAATTTGATGTTTTATATGGTGAAATAATAAATGCTAAAAATGCCTTATTCAGACATGGCTTGAGATTCGAAGTAGTACATAAGGGAATCAAAGCATAGAGACATCAATTGACTGCTTTGTGATGCTAACCCAATGGGCTATATAAATTTTAGTTGATTAAATCATAATCAAATGAAACCTTCAGGTTAATGATTATACGGTTTAACAAGACCAGAAGTGTGTGAATGCACCTCACCATCGTAGGCTGCTTCCATGACAAACCAATGACCATCGGTCATAAGACAAGAAACTTATCTTGAGTCATTGAACCAAGCCTTGTGCTAGTCAATTCAACAAGCAACCACTAAATTTGCATCTAGTGAAAGTGTAATAGGAGGAAGTATTTATTAAACAATTAATATGCCCGAAATTTGGGGAGAAATCAAAGTGAAGGAAAAAGGTGTTAAAATCATCACACAAAGACCCAACATCAGAAGTGTGTGAATGCACCTCACCATCGTAGGCTGCTTCCATGACAAACCAATGACCATCGGTCATAAGACAAGAAACTTATCTTGAGTCATTGAACCACCTTGTGCTAGTCAATTCAACAAGTAACCACTAAATTTGCATCTAGTGAAAGTGTAATAGGAGGAAGTATTTATTAAACAATTAATATGCCCGAAATTTGGGGAGAAATCAAAGTGAAGGAAAAAGGTGTTAAAATCATCACACAAAGACCCAACATTTGAAAAATTCTCCACCTCCTCCTGTTTCTACATCTCCAAGCCAACTGATGCCTAATGAACAAAATACAATACATAACTAACTTTGCATCAACATTTTCAGTTAAGGTGGATATAGTTTGCATTTTCGTTCATGGCAGTATTAGGAATGGAAGTCGTTATAACCACCACCACGACTATCATCAATGTCACTGTTGTTCTGATTACGATGGGAATATATATGCAATATACATAGGAAAACTAAAGTAAAAATCCCACCCCTCCAGCACCAGCAGCCATTGCAGGAGCAATGAGAACACTAGCCTTCCTCAGAATCTGAACTGCCTCAGGGGTACAAGGCATGTTTGAACCTAGGATTCAAATTCAACAAGTCGCTTCCATTAGTAGAAATGAGAAAGAACGAGGGGGAGGGGGAGGCAATATTGCACTTGAATCTGAAGAGAACAACTACCTTCAACTAGTATACGACAACCTGAATTGACCAAATTAATGGCATCAGATTGATTAATTTCATTCTGTGATGCACAAGTAAATGCAACATCACACCTTTCATTCCACGGTTTTGCTTCATCATAATATTTGGACCGAGCATAGGTTTTTGAATAGTCTCTACATATTGTCAATTTATGAACAAGGACAGTAAAATTATACAGAACAGGAATCATCAAGGATAATCAAACAATAGAAATGATACAAACCGCAAACTTCTTTGCTGAGCTTTGATGTCTCTCAAAAGTGCTATTTTCATGTAGTCAAATCCATCCTCATCAACCAAATATCCTCTGGAATCTGACAAATGCTTTGGTTAAAAAAATATTCCTTGAAGAGACCAGGATAAACAAAAGGCACTAAAATTTATATGACAATGAGAATCCTAGATTTATTTACCAAGCACAAGCTTTCATTCTTGCTAGAATTAAATACTAGAGATAGTACATGCAGTAATCCCCGTTTATTCATAAAAAAAAAAAAACAATATTACCTGATACTGAAATGGGAAGAGCACCATAAGCAATTAGCTTATCTAAAACATGCATCGCGATCTTTCCAGAACCACTTACAACACATCTACAGGAAATTATAAATTATAATTTACAAGAGTATTCTAGGATTATGAATGTGTAAAATCAAAGAAATTAACAAGTTCACACTAGATAATTGTCTTAAGAAAAACTAACAAGTTAAGAAAATAAACTACTGAAAATAGGAGTTCAGTCTCTTATATTAATGGAATTTTGAATTCAAGAAGAGAAGATTATGTCAACTTGCTAAGAAAAGATTCAACTCCTCCTAAGGATACTTAATTATAACAAATAATTAAGGTCAGAAAGTTGGTAGCACCAATATTGAACAAGTCAGTACCAACAATTTTTATGAAATGATCTAAATTAAAATAGAAACCTTAATCCTTTAAGCTCTTTATTCATGTCAGCAAGCATGATCTGGGCAAAGAAAACCTGCAGAAGCATATGAAAAATTTGTCAATAATTTAATAACTTGAAACAACAGATGCAATTGTATGTTACATACAATAGATGCAACTGTATGTTACATGCTCTTTTTTTTTATTATCTTCTTGGCCAAAATAGACTTGTATGTTACATGCTCTTTATTCTTAAATGATGAGTTGGTGGATATGAGATTGTAGGCAATAATGGTTAGAGATAGCTCTTCTTTTTTTATTGAATATATGCACAAGAAATTGACAGGACCTATCATAAAAGGTTATCTCCTACAGATATACCAAAAAATAAATGCAAAGAAAATGGAAGGCCACCAGGGAGCACGACATAATCACTAAAATTTTCATATCTAACATAGAATAAGAATTAAATATTGAAATTACCAGCCCATAACCAGTAGCTTCAGGTCGAAGACTGGATCCAGACCAAAATATTCTTGGCCCTGTAAAACTTCCCTGCATAAGTAAGGCATACATATGACAAATACCCAGCAAAAATACATAGTTTTCTTTTCTGCCACAACTGCAAACATGATTGTAAACTGATTAGATATGTTACACACAGCACAATACACGATCATACAACATTAATTTATGCAATGTAAAGCAATGATCCCAACCCATAAAGGCAAAAAACAACCACAAACAACCAATTCTTTTCCTGTTAGATTTGGTAATTCAGTCCATAGTTGACAATCTCCAAAAGAAGCCAAGAGCAGCCAGTCCCAAATCACCATATGGGATAGCAAATAGCGGGAAGAATGCTATTTAAAAGATTTAAATAGAACTTATAAATAAATGGTCAAAAAGAGAAAGACCTAAAATTAAAGAATTATAATTAATAGACTAGGAATAAAAAAAAGAATGAGAACAAGACTCAAGTTAGAACATTGAAGACAGAAGAAATGAAATAAAAGGCCAATGTCAATCTGATGGAAGGAGAATAGAGAAAGCTGGGTTGGAGAGAGAACACACAGAAGGGTAGAACAGGGGCCTCAATTCTCCAGAAAGTGAGAAACAACACTAGAATTGACATCACAGCAGTGGGTTACCGTAAATGGATTCCACAGACCAAAGAGCTTTTTGCCTGCAATGCTATTAGGTCTCATGTTGTCCTTATCTTCTCACAACAGAAATGTAGCAGTTCTTGTACCTATCTTTCAATTACAGACTAAAATACAAAAAAATAAATTTAAAGTAGGACCAGCATCAGGAACGATGGTAGCAAGGGGATCTTCTTTACATCAACAGTTGCAGCCACAATGACAATAAACTTCTGGGATAAAGGCCTCAAGTCATGGTTGTCACTCCTACAAGTGCTCTACATTCTCCACTATAGCTTTGCAGTAGAAGTAGAGGCTATTCCACACTACTACATTATTGTGCCACTATAGGGAGATATTAACAATTATGGGAGAGGTAGTTACATAAAATGGATCAAACAATGTCTAAAAGTTAGCTGTATCATAAATCATGTCTATAAATAACCCTTCTTGATGGTTTTGACTATAAGATTTTCGTGATCTCCCTTCACCTCTAGCGATTAGGCTATCCTCCATCATATCTACTTTGTTTGCAAGGACTTCTATAGATCTTCTCCATGCATGCGCAACCCAACCCATAAGAAATTCTACAAGTCCAATAAAGGATGGGAAAGAAATAAGGAACAAATGTAAAGCAAATCTACATCATTGCATGATAGTATACACAAACAGAAAAAAGGACTCAAACATGAGAGGAGAGGCAAAAAAGGAAAAGAAAAATATGAGGGTGCTCAGTATTGAGACAGTTGCTGGATAAGGGGAAATACATGTGGGATAAAGAATATGAGAGTGGGGTGAGTGGGGAGAATCAGTTTTTTTAGGGAAGTTTCTGTTATTGGGCACCAGAGAGAATTATCTCTGTGTGAGAAGCTTGGCTCTGGGATTACTTCTAATATTTCTTTATTTTCTTTAATGATATTTTCTACCATTTAGACTCATATATCATTGTACTTCAAAGGAAGTAAGCTAACGACTAAAAAGGTCATGAGATTAAAAAATATTTAGAAATAATGCTTATTCAAGGTTTACAAATGTAAGATGCATGTCTCTGAGTTTGGTTTATCTAATCAATTTTTCCTTGGTCATTAAGATTTATTATATTGATGTTTTTACATAAAGTGCATCAAGGAACTCAGAGCAGAGGGATAAACATACTAGGGGGGGAATATATAAGAAAAAAGGTAAAACATTAATATTTCCACCAATTAGTTAGGATTTGAGAATGTATGAAGTACCTGAAAATGTCCAGCTAGACGTCTATACTGTCCAAAAAGATATCCCATTTCCCGGGTTCCAACACCTATTTCCTCGGATGGGAGGTCCTAATAAACATTTGTTGCTAGAATAATTCATCATATAGGCCTTGGATGTGGAAAGGTTAAAAAGATATAGAAGAAGAATAGCTTTCAGTTACCTTGTCAGGCCCCAGGTAGCGATACATCTCACTCATGAAACTTTGGCAAAATCGCATAATCTATCAAAGTAACACCTAGTAATTAGAAAACTAATTATAGCGATTGAATTGAATAAGTTGAAAGTTCACCTCATTATCACTTTTTCCTTTTGGATCAAAATCACTTCCACCAGCTGCTCCTCCCAATTTGTATGGGGATAAGGCATTCTTTAAAGTCTGTAGAGAAGGATGTGTTGTATAAACTATAAATTGGTCGGTCCAACACAGAAATCCAGCACAGAACCTAGGTTCATAACCTTTGCTGATATGTGACTCTCAGTACATTCGTCAAATATTAGATAACTAAAGGCTTAGATATGTATATCCTTACCCAACCAAACTCAAGAAATTGTTTGGTTGGTATTTTGAGTGAATACAGGTTTTCTGTCCTAATCATTATACTTCCTTACAAAAGTACAAAGACCACACAAGATAAAGGCATGTTAGAAACATTTCAAAGATATCCTTAACATTTATATTAGGAAATATTTTAGAAACATGAGATTTAGTATTTAGTTCAATTTTTAAAATTTTTTACCACAAGTTGTGATAGGCAGTACATGCAATTTGAAGCTTTGGTACCGACATTGGTTGACACAATTGGTAACAGTTCGTGTCCCTCAGCTAAGTCTAGGGATTGATTTCCATTGCCACTTTGAGTATGGAATAAATTATGTTGCGAGCAGACAACCCACCTTTTGTGCTATCAAGGCCCCTGAGGGGACTAATCATTGTTTCCAACAATGACCAATTCTTACCAATGTCATGGTTAGCCAAAAAAGTTGAAGGTTTGCTTATCAATTGCACGTATACAGAATACCCATGTGTAAAAACACATCTAAAATGAGCTCATGTCAGTAGTGTAGGTAGCAAGCTATCTTAGACATTCCCTACCAAAAAGCCAGCCTAAGAGAGTATTTAAAAGAACCCTAACACTGAAACCCACACCCCTTCCTCTTTATTGAACTGAATACTCTCACTATCTTCTTTTTATTATTGTTGAAAGTCTCACATCACCCACCTCATGTTATTTGGTATGGTTTAAATACATGTTAGACTACTCTACATATTGTCAATTGGTTTTATGTTAGAACCTTAACATGGTATCAGAGTCAAAGCCTAACATCTCTCCGATTATTGTCATGGGCCAAAAGTTGCCCTTTAGTTAGGTCAAAAGTACCATTTACCTGGTCCGGCAGGCTTCGTTGGAGAGGGCGTGTTGAAAGCCTCACATCGCCTATCTCATGTTTTTTGGTATGGTTTAAATACATGTTGGTATGGTTTAAATACATGTTAGGCTACTCCACATATTGCCAATTGGTTTTATGTTGGAACCTTAACAATTATCATTCTGGCACTTGCTCTCTCTCTCTCTCCTATTTTTCAACACAATTCAATACTGAATGTGCAACTACAAATACACATTTTTTCTTATTTATCCTCCCATCTTTTTATGTATTTATTCTCCTTTTAAAAAAAACGTAAAGAAAAAACAGACCACTAATAATACTATACAGTCCTAACAGTGACATCACATTCAATATTCAAAAAATAATAATAAAGAAAAAGTTGGTCTATACCATGGTAATGAAATGTAAAATAAAGTGTGTAACATACAGCCCAAATATGATGGACTAAGAAAATTTTTTACACATGTTGTGCATTCTTGTGGTAGAGAAATAGCCTAAAGACTTCAAGGAAAAAAAAAAGGCAAAAATGCTTCCTAGTCATGGAAAAAAATGTGATGTCATTAAAATAGAATAAATTCTGCAAGATTTCAGTCGATAGTTTAAAAGAAATAATGTCATATATGAGTACCAAAATTATTCATAGTACCTGTTCAAAACCAAGGAACTTGGCAACACTTAAATTCATTGATGGATGAAAACGAATACCACCCCTACATGGACCCATTGACTGGTTAAATTGTACCCTAAAGCCCCGATTTACATGTGTCTTTCCCCTATCATCCACCCATGAAACTCGAAAAACAATAATTCGTTCAGGTTCCAACAAGCGCTCCATGATATTAACATAACTGAAACATGAGAATATTGGTGAGATGCATCCAATACTAAAGCATTGGCTTTGTCATTTGTGTATAAACAAATATACAAATATAGCCATTTGAATAAAACATACCGAGAATTTTTTGCTATGACTCTCTCAAGGGATTGAACTGCATCCTGGACGGCCTGAATGAATTCAACCTCATGAGGGTCCCTTTTTAGAGTAGCTTCAAGAATTGATCCAGCTGTTTTTGACATGGCAACTTCAATTATAGATTGTCAGACAATATCCAAGAACATAAGCATGTCTATAAGAAATCAATTCCACATATTATTCAGCATATAGATAACCAACATATACACATTTCAGGAAATTGATTATGTCAACAGTTAAATAGAAATTCTATCACTCAGAATAGAAATGAGCTGAAATTTACAATAGTAATGATAATACAAAAATTGATTGTTCGATATCAAGTAAAGATAGAAAAAATAACTGAAATTATCGGCATTATTTACATAGAGGTCTAAGATTAAGAACTAGATCTGCAGACATCTATACTTTAATTTGCTTCACGTATGGTGAAGTATCCAAACCTTTGACGCATCAGTACTTTTATTTGTTTTACATATAATACTTTTAGATACTTTACTAATATCAGTTAAATGTCCAAACTTTTAAATTGTTTATATTCAATAAAAGTTTAAGAAAAATATAAATATTATTTTTTATAACAAAAAAAAAGATTGTTTTTATGAACTATTTTAAGAAATTAATAAGATTGATAGAGTAATTTCTATATGTAAATAAATTTCCACAATATCTAAGAAATGTGATTTGAAACATGGATTTGCATGATTGTAGTTTTATATTTATTATGTTTCATGAAATTTTTGTACATTTTTAAATCTGTATCTTATACGCATCACATACTATTTTTTTTCTAGAATGAATGTATAGTCATATCAAATGCGTACCGATGCATCATAGGAAGGGAAAACAAGTAAGAGAAACTCTTTTGCCACTTATACCACTATTCTGCTTTTATATTTGTTGAATATAGAGGAAATAGGGTTTGCGATTAATCTCCCTTGTGTATAAACCACATATAAGATAATCTATTTATAATAGAAAGAGATAAAAACTAAAAGAATAACTGAAAGTAAATAGAATAAGCAGAAGATATTATTTGATATTGTGGTTAACAATATCTAACAATATCTTAACAATATCAAACAATATTTAAACAATATCTAAACAATATCTAACACTCCACCTCAAGTCGGAGCATACAAATGGTATGTGTCAAACTTGTTACAAATATAATCAATTCTAGGTCCCCATAAAGACTTAGTAAAAATATTTGTTAACTGATCACTTGAGTTAACAAACTCAGTTTTGATGTCTCCAGACATAATCTTTTCTCGAATAAAATAACAGTTAATCTCAATGTGTTTGGTCCTCTCATGCAAGACAGGATTAGAGCTAATATGAAGAGTTGTTTGATTGTCACACACAAATGTCATTTGAGTGACATCTTCAAATTGTAACTCTCTAAGAAATTGCTTGAGCCAAACAAGTTCACAAGTAGCTGAAACCATAGCTTTATATTCTGCTTCTGCACTGGATCTTGTCACAACACTTTGTTTCTTACTTTTTCTACGAGATCAAATTACCACCAATGGAGACACAATATCCAAATGTAAATCTTCTATCAGAAGGAGATCCTGCCTAGGAAATCCTTTAATATACTTCAAGATACAAATGACTGCATTCCAATGATCTTCACATGGGAAATTAAGAAATTGGTTTACCACACTGACTGTAAAGGAAATGTCAGGACGAATAACTGTAAAATAATTCAATTTCCCAACCAATCTTCTATACTACTCAAGATCAGATATAGGCTCCCCTGATTTGATAGAAGTTTAGTATTGGGATCCATGAGTGTATCAATAGACTTTAAACTCATCAACCAAGTTTCCTCCAAAATATCTATGACATACTTCCTCTGAGATATAACAATACCATATTAGATTGTGTCACCTCAATACCTAAGAAATATCTAAGTTTGTCAAGATCTTTGGTCTGAAAATGGTGACAGAGATGTTGTTTCAACTAAGAGATGTCATGGTTGTCACCACAATGTCATCAACATATACTATCAAGTAAACACATCTAGCACTCGAGTATCGATAAAAGACAGAACGATTTGTTTCACACTGAGTCTTACCAAATTGTTAAACAACCTTGCTAAACTTACCAAACAGGCCCTAGGAGACTGTTTTAGACCATATAGGGATTTTCGAATATGAAATATCATCCCAGAAGACTCTCCCTAAGCAACAAATCCAGGAGGTTGTTCTATATAAAGTTCTTCTTGCAAATCACTATTAAGGAAAGCATTTTTAACATTCAGTTGATAAAGAGGTCATTGTTAAAGAGCAACCATGGCGATAAATAAACGAAAGAAGCCATCTTTGTCACGGGGGAAAAGGTATCTCCATAATCCAACCCAAAAATTTGATTATAATCTTTGGCCACAAGACGAGCTTTGAGGCGATCAATAGTACCATCAGGTCCAACTTTGATAGCAAACATCCACCTGCAACCAACAACATATTTCTCAAACGGTAACGGAACCAATTCCCAAGTTCTACTATTATGAAAAGCACTTATTTCATTTGTCATGGCCTGACGCCAACAAGGATAGACTAAAGCTTCACGGATAGTTTTTGGAATAGTTATAGAAAAAAATAGAGGAAAGACATGTATAAAAAGGTAATGATAGTCGATGATAACTCAAAGCAATATAATGGGAAGAGGGATTAGGTGTAGAACGGATACCTTTTCGGAGGGCAATGGGAAGGTCAGACTCAGGTGTAAGATCCGGAGGAGACAGAGTAGTTGGCATTTGAGTGGAGTCACATGGTGGTGGTTGTGATTGGTTTTGGCGACTATAAACCTGAAGAGGCGGTGGAGAAAAAACTAACTGCGGAGCAGAAACTAATGGTGAAAAAGACACAATTAGAGGGTCACAAAGAGCTGGAACATTAAATGTACTAGGAGTGTTGACAGGATTGGATGGAGACAGAGGTGAAGATTGACTTTTAAAATAAATGGAGAACTCATCAAAGGTGACATCTGCAGACACAAAATAACGGTTAAGAAAAGGAAAAAAACATTTGTATCCTTTTTGTGATCTTGTAAACCCTAAGAAAACACATTTATGTAATCTAGGAGAAAGTTTGTCAAGAGCAGGACTTAAATTATGAACAAAACATGTAGACCTGAAAACTTTTAGAGGTAAGGGATGAAGAGGTTCATGAGGGAATAAAATGGAATGAGGTATTTTATTATCTAAAACCGAAGAAGGCATGCGATTAACGAGATAACATATAGTAAGAAGAGCATCACCCCAAAAATGTTGAGGAACTTCTCCATGAATTAAAAGAATGCGAGTTGTTTCAATAAGATCTCTATTTTTACGTTCAGCTATACCATTTTGTTGAGGTGTATAAGCACAAGATGTTTTATGCAGAATACCGTGAGAAGTCATGAATTGTTTAAAAGAATGAGAAAGATATTCATGATCATTATCACTGCGCAAAACTCTAATAGAAACACTGAACTGAGTTTAAATTTCATTAAAAAGTTTGAAAGATATGAAATAATTCAGAACGATTTTTCATCAAAAATAACCGAATGCATCTGAAATAATCATCAATGAAAGTAACAAAGTATTGAAAACCTAAAGCAGACTTAACGCGGTTAGATCCCCAAATGTCAGAGTGAACCACGGCAAAAAGGGACGAAGCACCACGTGTGACACTACGAGGAAAGAAAGTACGACAATGCTTGCCTAATTGACACGACTCACACACCAAACTAGACAAGTTGGACAAGGCAAGGACAAGGCAAGGATAAGCTTTTGTAACTTGGAAAGACTTGGATGACCTAACTGAGCATGAAGAAGAGAGGGAGACTTCATAACTGCACCAACATGTGTAGAGAGACGGAGATGATAAAGACCATGAGACTCACATCCTGTGTCAATCACCTGTTTCGAACTTCGGTTCTGTAAACACACAGAATTATTGGTAAAAGAAACAACACAATCAAAAGAACGAGTTAGACGACTGATGGACAACAGGTTAAAAGGAGACCCAGGGACATAAAAAACATTATCAATGGTTAAAGAAGGAAAAAGTTTAACAGTTCCAACACCATGAGATGATACTCTAGAGCCATCAACTAGTGTAATAGAAGATAAAGGATTAGGAGAGGATAAAGAGGAGAACAAAGATTTGTTACCAGTAATATGATGAGTGACTCCTGAATCAAAAATCCAAGGACCAAGAGAAGAGGATTGGGTCAAATCAGGAGAAGAGGATTGGGTCAAACCAATAAAATATGTACCTGTGTGTGCGACAGACGTAGTGGAACTAGAAGACTATTGATCCTTATACCATTTGAGAAATTTGTTGAACATAGCATGTGTGTCGGATGCAATAGAAGAAGGAGGATCCCCAGCAGACAAAGGCGGGGAAAGATCGGTCTGAACAACTGCAGTAGATCGAGAAAACGACCATGTAATGCATAACACTTTTAATCTTGTGACCTAACTTGCTACAATGTTTACACTTAGGACGTCATTTTCCCTGTTTGCGAGAGCGAGTTAGGTCATCATGATGAAATGTCAACGCAAAATAATCATTAACAGAATTGGAAATAGTAGAAGGAGTGGAAGAAGTCATGAAGGGCGGGAGAACAAACTCTAAAAAATCCAAAGTAATCCAATCAACCCACGAAGCACAAATCCAAAACGAGAAGACCAAAACAAGTCCATCGAGACTAAACGGCGCAGGAGACAACAGAAGACCAACTCCGATAGTGGTGATCTCAACGACACGATGATCACCTAACCGAGACGAGCAAAACTGTATGTTACCGGTCAAAAATGAAACTCCGGCGACAGCTCCCAACAGTAGCAGCGGTGGTGGCGGCGGTAACAGCGGCAACCTTAAGCTCTAGATACCATGTTGAATATAAAAGAAATAGGGTTTAAGATTAATCTCCCTTGTGTATAAACCACACATAGGGTAATCTATTTATAATAGAGAAAGGTACAACTAAAAGAGTAACTGAAAATAAATAGAATAAACAGAAGATATTATTTGATATTGTGGTTAACAATATCTAACAATATCAAACAATATTTAAACAATATCTAACAATATTTATACCCCATTTCAACCCTTTGGCTAAGATCAGGTGCATCGTACCTTAGGGCCCACCCCACATATATACTTCAGAAATAATGAGTCTAATTGACCCCAATGTTTGACATTTTCATGCTTTGATGCACCTTGTAACCTTAAAAATCACATTAAATTTTTTGACGTATGGGTGAACTGAAGAAAAATAAGAGAAAAGGAAATATACCCGACAGAAAAAGTTGGAGAGAATCTGAAAATGGTCTATTCTGTTTCTAGAACAAAATGAATTAACCCTGCTGAGTACAGCTCCAAATATATAGGGAAACAGTGTATGGCATACTCTTGCAGCTAAAGTAGCTCAATCGTAAGAACAGTTGAGCTTCTAACTAAACCATTAAACTAATCTGCTGGTTACTTCTATTAACTAACAGAGTGAGGGTATATATTCCGTGTTTTAAAGTTAACACTATACAACTGCAGGACAAAGAAAGCATACAGGTACAATTGCAAACAAAATGGAAAATTAATATTATATAATTCAGTACAAAAGGAGAAACAAGCATTTGAAATTAAAAGCGTCCTCAGAGACTAAATTTGCAAAACAACCATTAAAGCAGTGGACGGAACAGATAAAAACAGTTTTATGCAATAGGATGCTGTCAAATCAGTCAGTAGTTGAACCACTAAAAGAAGCAGTATAATTCACACTAACATTCAGATTTATCTAACAAACAACACATGTTTGCACTCCATAAACTAAAGATCATTTGAAATGTTGAATGCAGAAGTGAAGAATATTCTCATTATCCTATGTAGTTGATTAAATGCATCTATTTTTAAACGCAACCAACAAATATATTTGTGATAAACTTATGACAAGAAAATAAATGAATGGGGAAGGGCACAACAGATGGTTCAACACAACTATTACACAGTATACAACAATTAACATTTAAAAAAAGCTGAAAATATTATCTTTACATGACAGTAATTGCAGCATGCTGAGATGGCCAACCTTTAACGTAAACAGGCTTGTCAACCACAATTTTATCGTTGGATGCCATTTGAAGACGAAGAGCCTCTTTGTGAAGCAAACTATTATTGTGTTCTTCCAAGGCACTCATCTGCATGTTACGGCTGCCCTCATTCCCATAAGGATTTCTTCTATGCTTCCGGCCATACTCCTTGCAGACAGAGCAGAAAATCCTAAGTGTCCCTTCCTTCACATCAGCATAAGCCCATTTATAGGTGTCTGCCCATTCTTCTCTCCATCTTTTGACAACCTTTTTCTTCCTTTTCACCTGCTGGTTCTTGGACATATCTGGAGAATCATTAGGAATCTGAGAAACCATCCCCATCTGCTTGCTTTCTCCATGTTCTTCTGCAGAGGATTCCCGCATTGGTGCACCGATTAGAGCAGCATTACCAAATGAAGGGTCATCCTCCCCAGGTCCAATTTCTAAATCAATCTCCTCACCAAGCTCTCTCACAACCAAGTGATGTCTCTGGCTTTGCTGAATCAATGTCATATCATCCATTGAAGAATTCATCCCTGCTACTCCACCGATTGGTAACAACATTCAGCATGACAGCACTCCCTCCACGAATTAAAAAACGATTTGCTCTCTGTTAAAACAAATACATCAAATCACCAATTTACCTATTTTCGTATTAATGGAACAAACAATCAAAACTCATTTACAAGATAAACATATGCTGGATTGCATGGCTCAATTGAGTTGGCTAGACACACAACATAAAACTAACCTAAAACTCAAGAAGAAATCATAACAATGGCACTGTCTGGGCCAGTCTTCAGTTCTTTAGAACCACAATTAACACAAAAGACCCAAAATGAACATCATTTCTACAAATAAGACAACATTTAACAAACTCCCTCAAAACTTACCTCAATCCCCATATTTGATAGCATCCATTCGAATTGATAATCATTTAAACCCCAAGGCACGGCATCAACCTCAGAATCCTCACAAATACAAAAGGCAAGAGTCCACAAACTCCTTAAGTGATAGCGGAAAACAAAACGCTTTTTCGCCAACGACCCACAGATGATAATTAAATTAGCAGAAATACCCAGAAGTTGAATTTGACCGCTGAGCTCAAAATACCTGAAGAAATTGAACGAAAGTGACAGACTTAAAAAGCGCAAGTTTTGAGCATCTCGTGGTTGGAGTGAGATCAAGAGGGAGTTTGAAACAGTGAAAAGAAAGAAACTTTAATTCGTAATTACGGTTAGAGAGTGGAGAGGGATGGTGAGTTGAACAAAAATGTAGTTGGGGAGTTTAATGATTGTGTCTGGGATTGTTTGTTTTGCTGGGTATTTCAGAAATCATAGGAAGTGGTGGAGTGAGGAGTGACGAGGAAGAACGCATCATCCTCATCATCGTCGTCATCGTCATCATGTATGTGATGGTGATGTTATGTGATTCGATGTGGATTGTGTGTGTGATCATCCATCAATATGCAAAGTGCAATACAAACAGTCTTGGGAAGAGAGTGATTTGATAACAGAAGAAAATAAACAAATATGTTTAAGGGAGTGTGATGGGATCCGCTAACAATCAATTGGAAAATTTTATATTCACAACCTTTATCGTGAATACGTCAATTATACAATCTAATATATTAATATAATAATAATATTTAACCTATATTAATATTTTTTATTGTGTAAATATACCACCTCTCTAGTTACATAGTAAAATGGGACAGGTCCGACGAGCCTATCTCGCCATAATATGATGAAGCGGGTTGGTGTTTTCACTTCACTAGCCTGCTTTGGTTCGTCCCGCCAACTCGTCGAGACAATCCGCAGGACCGGACAGCACTAACCCGCTGACTAGCCTAATTAATAAAAATATAATTTTTATTGTAATAAAATTAATTATAAAAATAATATATAAAGTTAAATTTTTTAAAAAGAGAATTAAAAAAGTTTTACTCTCACAAAAAATATTCTCCTGAAACACAACTTTCTCTCTCTTGTTCTTCATCCTAAACATTGATTATTTTTATCCTTATGACTTGAATTAAAGGTGTAAGAATTACTCAACCAATAATAATGTGAAGTTTTATCAAATAAAAAAGATACAGTGTATTTGAATTTTTCAATATAAAAAATATAAATTTTATAAGTTTTAACATTATTTATATATATATATATATATATATATATATATATATATATATTTGTTATTATTTATTATTATGTAAATTTTATTACTGTTCTAAATTATAATTTCTTAAAACAATGTATTGATTTATATTAATAAATTGAAATAATATATATATATATATATATATATATATATTGAATTATTAACAAACAAATAACAATCTTATTATTAAATTTATTAAAAAAATTATTTTAAAAAATAAATTATTTTTTTCTAAATTATGGCGTGTCACCACTAACCTGCCCTTGACGGGCGGATCAAGGTCTACATACCATCATGACTATAACGGTCGCCAGTCCCGCCTTGCTGACGGCCAAAGGCGGGGCCAAAACGAGCGGGCCGGCCCGCTTTTCCATCCCTATCTCTAGTTGGAAAATGTTCTTTTAAAAATATCATTATGTATATATTTATTATACAACCAAATACCCATTTTTTTCATAAATAATACTATTTTTAAAAATATTTCCTAAAATAGCACATCTTGAACATTATTTACCTAATCAAGACTCTTTATTATTCACTGTATTTTTGCTCAAGCGAGAAATTCATTACTTGAGCGAGGGTACCTGGAACTAACGAGTATTGTGGGGTTTAATTTCGTTTAAGCAATGTAATTCTCTCTCGAGCAAAAAGTTCTCTCGCTCAAGCGAGAAACCCTTCGCTTGAGCGAGGAGACCTAAAACTAATGGGTAATCTTGTGGTATTTTTTTCACTCAAGCGATGAGTAATTTCGCTCGAGCGAGAAGTGATTGAAATATGTGGTGATCCAAGTTGTATTATGTGGCTAACTGCGTTAGACCTTTAGTCTGTGGTCAATTCTCGCTCAAGCGATGGGTAATTTCGCTCGAGCGAGAAATGATTGGCTAACTACATTGGACCTTTAGCCTATGGTCAGTTTTTGCTCAAGTGAAAAATTCATCGCTTGAGCGAGGAAATTTATAATCGATTATAATTTAAACTAATCGATCATAATTTTAAAATAATCGAATATTTAAAATTATGATCGATTATTTTTCTCTCGCTTGAGCGAGGAGACCTGGAACTAATGGGTAATCTCGGGTGTTTTTTCACTCAAGCGATGAGTAATTTCGCTCGAGCGAGAAGTGATTGAAATATGTGGTGACACAAGTTACATTATGTGGCTAATTGTGTTGGAGCTTTAGTTTGTGGTCAACTCTCACTCAAGTGAGAAATCCATCGCTTGAGCGAGGAGACCTGCATCTAATGAGTATTGTCGAGTTCTATTTCGCTCAAGCGATGGATTTCTCGCTTGAGCGAGAAGTGATTAAAATATGTGGTGACCCAAGTTACATTATGTGGCTAACTGCGTTGGATCTTTAGTCTGTGGTCAACTCTCGCTCAAGTAAGAAATTCATCGCTTGAGGGAACAAACATACAACTATTTATAATCGATTATAAGCTAAACTAATCGATTGTAATTTTAAAATAATCGATTATAATTTTAAAATAATCGATTATTTTAAATTATGATCGATTATTTTGCGACTTTTTTAGTGAGGACGAAGACAAAGATGAAATTCTTAGCAATAACAAGATGATTCAGAGGACGAACAATAACATATCCCTACACATGCAACAAACTTCAAGGAACCATACAACTCACCACAACATTTTCTTAACTTTAAAAGTCACATTCAACAATAAGACCCAAAGTATAGTCATGCGTTGGACATATAGTCTTTTGTTTCACTACAAGAAAAAACAGTTTTAGCAACCGAAAAATTCGGTCGCAAATGTCAAAAAATTGGTCATTAATCAGTTAGCAACTGAAATGCATTGTCGCAAAAGATCAAGTTGTTAATGTGTTAGCGACCGATAAGGTGGTAGTTAAATAATGCGGTCACTTATTTCTTAGATACCAAAATAGCGACCGAAATTAATATATTAAATCGATCGCTAAATCGGTGGTAAAGTTAAAAAAAATAGCGACTGATTTATATCGGTCGCTAATATATTAATTGAATTATTTAAATAATAATTTAATGTAAAAATAGTTACCAATAATTTCGGTCGTTAAATTGATGACAAAGTTAATTATTTATGTACAAATCTCATCTATTTATCTAGAGGCTCCCTACACAAAGTTAATCTGGTCGCTAATATATTAATTAATTTATTTAAATAATAATTTAATGCAAAAATAGTTACCAATAATTTCGTTCGTTAAATCGATTACAAAGTTAATTATTTATGTACAAATCCCTCTATTTATCTAGAGAGGCTCCCTAAACTTTATATTATACCTTAAGGTTGGAAACCGATACTTCAATCACTAAACTACTAGAATTTTTTAGTAATAACTTACAAATAATTTATATTTATATATAAATAAATATATATTCGTATAAATATAAAATCTATAAATAAAAATATATTTTTATATTTTTATATTTTTATATATTTTTGTATTTTATATTTTTATATTTGTATATTTGTATATTTGTATATCTGTATATATTTATATATTTATATATTTATATATTTATATATTTATATATTTATATATTTTTTATATTTTTATATTTTTATATATTTATATATTTAAAATTTAATTTATAACATAAAAAAAAATCTTGATAGCTTGAAATAGAGATGAAAGAAAAGAAAAAGAGAAGAATCCTAATATTTTAATAAAGAATTTATAATATAAATATTAAAATATTAAAGATAATATTATAATTTTCCAAAGATAATAAATGCTTTTAATTCATTATTTATAAATTTAGTTAATTAAAAAATATTAATATTATTCATTCATCATTTAAGAAAAAAATTTAAAATATAAATATAAAATGTTAAAAATAATATTATATTTTTAAAAACAAATTTTAGAAAAAAGTTTAAAAACATATATAAATTATATTTACATGTACAAAATATTAAAGATGACATTTAAAAAAAATACTAAAAAATACCAAAAATTATACTTTAAATTGATGAAATACATTTTAAAAAAAATTATATTTATTAAAGTATTAAAAATATTGTGTAATATATAAGTTAAAAAAATTATCATTAAAATTTTTAAAAATTATTAGTTTTGTAATTTATACACAATGAAAATAAATTACAAATATTATAATATATTGGTATATTATTATAATATAGTATATTTGTATTCTAATTTTTAATTAAACTAAAATTACGCTAATAAAATATAATAATATATGAGGGGATAACAAATTTAATCTAATTACTTATGTATATATCCTTTTTTAAAAAAATATTTCTTTTTAAACTTTTCACATTCTAGATTTTTTTAAAATTCTATAATTTCTACTACATTATTATGCTCATCTCGTTCCTATATTCTACTTTGTCTTTACAATAATTATTCTTCTTTTATAGGATACTTTATTTTCTTTTTTTATTTTTTATTTTCTTATAAATTAAAATAATTAATATCATTTTAACATTTATTTTTATGATTTTTACTATAATAAATCAATTAAAATGGTTTCATAATATCAATTAATTAAAATCATCACATCAAAAGTTTATATAACTACATTAAAATTATTAATTTTAAAAATATAAAATATATTTAAAAAATACTAAAATTATAGATTAGAAAGAAAATAGAATAAATAAATACTCTTTACTTTATATTATATTTAAGTGTGTGCATAAATGTTTACCTTCTTAACTATAAAGAAACAGTAGAAAAATATAAAAATAAAATTTGAAGAAGTGAATTTTGAAGATAAAGAATATTTTTATACAAATTTATTCTAATATATTAATTAACAATAATAATACATAAAATATAAAAACTAAAGTAAAAAAAAAGTAAGTTTAAATTTATAAAAAAATACATTACTAAAAATATCATATTATATTAAGATTTTCATTATTTTCGTTAATTATAAAGTTAAATGTGTTTCATAAATAAAATTATAAATTTAAATGTATTTCCACTTTTGATCCATCATAAATAAAAATAAATTGTCTCTTATAAATGTTGTTCTATTTTAATTCATCATTAAATTTGTTTTATATTATTTGAGACAAGTAATTTTTTTATATTTTATTTTTATGTATTTTTTAACTTCAAATTTATTTTTTATTTTTATTATTTATTTTCTTATAATTTAAAGTAATTAATATTATTTTAACATTTATTTTGATGATTTTTATTATAACAAATCAAATAAAATAATTTGATAATATCAATTAATTAATTAAAATCATCACATCAAATATTTAAATGACTAGATTAAAATTATTAATTTTAAAAAATATAAAATATATTTTAAAATAAAAATAATAAAATTATAAGTTGAGAAAAAAAAACTAGAATGAACATATATTCTTCATTTATAATATATTTAAGTGTGTGTAACAATCTTGACCTTCATAACAATAAAAATATAATTAAGAAATGTGAATATAGAAATTAGAGAAGTGAATTTTATAAATAACTTTTTTTATAAATTTAAGCACTCATATCGAAAAGAAAAGATATGAAAGAAGAAAAAACGAATTTGATGACTTATCATAATATTAAAATTTTGGATGAAATAATTATGTATAATAATTTTTTAGTATGTTATGTTTTTAAATTTGCTAACAGAGGAAAAAGTTTTAGAATTCAAACTGTTAAATATATTTAAATATTTAAATTGACTTTATAAAAAATTAAGAAAAAAACAATTAATCTAAAAATATAATAATGGTAAAAATATTATAAAAAAAACGTTCAAAGATGTATTATAATATTTTCAGTTTTAGTTTAATTATATTTTTAATTATATTTTTAATTCTCAAAGTAAAAAAATATATTGTAATTATTTTAATTTAATAAAATATAATTTAAATTTTTAATACTAAAATTAAGAGATTAAATAATAATAAATTTAATTATTTAAATTTAGTATTTAGAAACTGAAATTATAGTTTCTTTGTTTTAAAAAATAAAAATAAATATTTAAAAATAAAAATAAAAACTAGTACTATCTTAAATTTATTAAAAATATAATTAAATATCAATTTTCTTATCCAATTTTAGAAATTTTTTAATAAAAATCTAATATATAAAAAAGTTGAAATTTAAAAAAGGCACAACCTTAACTTACTACATTAAATGTTTTTTTTTAACTAACAAGAAAAACTCGGTTTTGAAAAAAAAATTAATAATTTTGAAGTTATTTTAATGATGAAGTTTCCAAATGTAATCTATGCATTTATTGAGTAAAATTGGAGGTGTGTTGAATATAAATTTAAATATATTTATAATTTATTTAAATATGGTTTATTTGAAGTATTTATAAAATGGATTAGTTTTAAATTTTTAACTTTTCTATATGTCTATTTTTAATCTTTGTTATTAGTTTTGTTAAAAATGAAAAATATTAATTAATATACTTAAAGTAAAAAATATTTCAACTAATATATTTTTATAAATTATTTAATTAAATAATATATTTATTGTCTAATGTATATCAAATATATTTTGATATAAATTTTTTTCTAATAAAACAACCATCATTAAACAATTAGTAATAATAATAATAATAAAACAATAAATTTAAAAACTAGATTAAAAGTAAAGTATTATAAAATAAAATTGTAGAAAGTACATTCAAAGTTATTATATTAATTACTCTGTTTTAGAAATTTTTTAATCTTGATAAGATGTAATTAATTGTGTTTATAAAAAATTTCTTTGATAAATATAACTTTTGTGTGCAAATTATTCTATTACTAGTTCAATATGTGGATACCTAATTTATCTGAGTAAATAAGAAAATTATAGTAAAAACAGGGAAGAAGAATAAATAGTATACTTGATAGATGAACAAACTGCTAAATTAGTCCTTAAAAATATTTTAAGGTTAAGTCAATAAAATTATCAAATAATTGCTGATATTATCTTCAATCAAATATAGAAAATGGTTAAATTGACTTTTGAAATAAATGAAGTCATTCTTAAATTATCAGTTTTCAATCAATTTTACTGTTGAAACTGTAATGCTAAGGTGTATTGGTCCCTAATTTTTAATTATAGTTGCACTTTATTGTAATACAAATCTCATATTTCAATATTTTTATCATTATTAAAAAGACTTTTAATTTCATTTTTAGACAAAATTTGTCAAAAGTGAAAGTTTTATATAATTAAACTTTTACTTAAGATCCCATTAAATTAATTAATACAATTTTAAGGTCTAAATTTATTGGTTTTATAAATTCAAGGACCCTTTTAATTATATTTTTTTATTTGAGATGAATATAACTACGTTGGTTCCTTATGTACAAATTTAATGACTATTTTTCTAAGGGTTGAATGACAATTTCGAAAATTAAATTTACAACTTTCTCTCATTTTATATATATTAAATATTATAAAAATAATCCCTTTTAAGTTGTAATAAGGTGACTTAATTGAAAAGTTAGTCCATACCTCTCACATCTTTATTGTGTAAATCAATAAAACAAAAGTAGACTATTTAACTGAGGTGGTATTAACCTCAATATAAAGAGATAACCATGAAAAGAAACATTTATACATACACACATAATTGCAAAGAGATAATAATAATAATATAAATAAAATTATGCACAGTATTTATTTTTATATGTAACAATTCAGTTTATATTAAAAATAAATTATAGTAATTTACGCCTGAATCCTTGTAACTTGTGACAACCTTTTCAATTTTTATCATTATTATTTTCTTTATGTTTTAAATTAGAAACATATGGACTATTTAACTGGTTTCTTCTTTTTACTATTTTACTCTTAAACAGTATTTTTCTAAACTGAAAACATTTTATGTTTTCCAAACTAATAATATTAAGAAAAAAAAATACACACAAAAAATATATATTTGCGGTTGCATGTTAGGCTAACTTGGTAGTTTTGTACTTTGACAAGTTGCATTCACATTGGAAAACAATTATATTTAAGGAGAACATATATAAACATTCACTAGTTTTAATTTTTTATTTAAATCACTATAATTAATATATCAAATAATATTATCATGTAATCAAAATGCCAATAACAAAGTCCTAGTTTTGAACACATGTCCAGAGGATCATCTCATCACTGGACACCAGCAACTAACATTCTATCGGTTCTTTGGGTCGTGAAAATGGTCATTCTTAAATTTGCTAATCGATTTAGAGAATATACATCTTTTCTTGACAGAGAAACAAAAATATGTCAGGCCTAACAAAAGCAAAATAAACAAAATTTCATTTATACACAGAAAATATGGCTCTACCTAGAAATAGCATCAAAACCTAGTGCATACCCAACCTACACAATAATCCATCTGCATAACTGCACATCATGTATCACCCAAAAATGCAGAACCTTCATAAGCAGGCTTCTAATTTATCTATATAGTGCTTTTGTACTTTCATCATTTATTATACGAGTTTGAAAAGTCCGTAATCCTTTGTTTAACATTCTGCAAAAAGTGAGAAAGAAGAAGCGTTAGGATCATGTACAAGGAAGCGATAAAACTAAGAAACTACGAGAAAAGTCAAAAGTGTTTATTATTTAATAATACTAGTCAGAAGAATAAACATACAATTTTCCCAACAAATACGGCAATCTATGCTAATTTTGATCTCTAAGGTTCCGTGAATACAATTTAGTCCGTGAATCAGTTAACTTCAAACCTCTTTGTCAATTTAGGCCCTATCAACTTCATGAAAAATTTACACTTTAAAGTCGGTCAATTTCAAGTTGGAACATCTAATTTGTCATGAAATTGACAAATTCAAGGATTGAATAGTATTATATCACACATGCAATGCAACCTTTCAGGAACAAATCAATATAGGTTGATACTTGCAAAGATGAAATTGTATATTTACTGTAAAAATAAAATTTTAGATTAAAGCTAGAGAAAGTGTAAATAATTACCTCCAATTCCAAATGAAGAACAACAAATATTTTCTTCAATCTCTTGTGTCTCTGCAATTCACATCATGCTCACAAGTTTAGAAGATATATACTAAATACAAGGAGAAAACTTTACAAATAAGGTAAAGCATGAAACCATAAGAGGAAAAAAACTCAAATATCCCAAGCACAAACTCTTAATAAAAAGATAAACCTCTAATTAGTTTAATGTTAAACTCAACCAAAATTGTATCAATGCGAACCAGACAACTAGCAGTCAATTACCATTGCTTGTAACGCGATTATATAGGTAGCTATTTAATATAATAAGATGAACTACAGCATTAATTGTCTCGTGTACAATCAATCACTTTCAATAAACATAAATTCCTTCAAGTTGTATGAGTAATTTAGGCAGAACAAATATTTCAAAACAGAAAGGTAAATGGACGACGAGATTAGATAAAAGGAGCTTAAGCGTGACAATGTTTTTGAGCAACTGATGAAAGCAGAGCAAAATGTATTAGATTTGCCAAACATTTGCACTCTATGGTACAATTATACAAAATACTGCGTCCATGGGATGGAGCTAAATAGAACATACCTGTCCACAGCGTCGAAAGGATTCCTTCATCTGTTCCAAAAGATCATAATATCTACCCATATTCCTGCCTTTAGCATGTTCTAAATCATCACCTAGTTTCTGAAACTCATCCCTACAAATTATGGGTAGAGATGTTAGACAGCACATCAGACAAGCAATCAAACTGAACATCTAAGAGAAAAACCAAAAAAACCTTGATTTGTAAGGGCTTCTACCTGTAACTCTCCAAAATCTTGTGCAAGGAGATGTAACTATCATATTTGTCACGATACTCCTGAACATATTCTTTATATCTAGCATTCCACAGGAAAAAATGCATCAGATGTCAAAAAGATCAAGTGCTTTAACTACAAAAGAGCACCCTATCACAACATCAACCACTGGAACAACAATTAAAGTAAAATAAAAAAGCTCAAGAATAACTGCTTACTGGGAGAAATTCCTTATCGGGCCCTTCAATTCAGGTTCATCCTTTTCATACTTTGAATAAGAGCAACTATTTTCATCCGAAGATGATTCCCTCTTCTTTTGATCACTATGATTTCTATCAGCAAACACACAATCCTTTCCTCCGTCAGTCATCTCTTCCACCGAATTAGATGTTTGCCTTTTACTTTCTTTCACAGTGTAGGAAACTATTCCCCTTTTACCATCCTGTTGTTTAGATGCATTTGCAGGTGCTCTTCTATTGCTTTCACTGCGACCTTCCAAATCAGTATCTTGGCTCACCCCAGATTCATTATTTCTATATTTACTGCTCATTTCTGCCAATTTGTTTTGAGATCCAACTTCTGCATGGTCTGCTTTCAAATGTTGTGAATGAGTCTGCATAACCGTAGAGCGAGATTTTGATGAATCTTCAAAATGATTATCTGAGTTCTTTTTATTATTGCTATCCAAATTACTGGGAAAACCAGAATTTACAAAGGCTGAGGATGACTTTCCTAAATCTGAAGTTGCCTTCAACGACGGTTTTACTCTAGTGAAATCCGAATTCCTGTCCTCTGAAGTGTTTGCTTTGTTTTCCAACTGTTTAAAGGAACCTTTTCGTTCAAATTGCTTTGCAACATGAGTATCATCTGGAGTGGACTCACGAAGTTCACCCAGCTCCAAGTCTGAAAGCTCTCTTTGAAGAGAGATAGCTCGCTCATTAGTTACAGGGGATGGATCAAGACCAATTCTGTCTCTTTCCTGAGGTGATGCTCCCAAGTGTGACTGTGTAATGTGTCGGTGTTCCTTTGATTTACCAACCATTTCGCCTTGTTCTTGGTAGTAAGAATCCATGAATAGTGGCTGTTTACTTCCATTACTACCATCCCTGAAATTCCTTGGAACTTTTCTCTCAGTGGCATTAATATCTTCATTTGAGGCATCTTTGCGAGATTTATCTTTCTGCAGGGAAGAAGCTTCTCGGGCAGGGAAGTCCTTTCCTGAGTGTTTTTTTATGTGACTTACACTTTCAACTTGTTTATCTGATTTTTCCCATGAGTAGGAAGGATTTTCTGAAGGGGTTTGAGCTGACGACTTTTGACCTGTTTGTGGAAAATCTGAACTACATTTTCCAGCAAATGATCGATTGGGTCCCTTTTGTAAGCCAACAACACTCGAATTACCTTGTCTATCAGCCCTGTTCAACACTTGTACATTAGGTCCCTTACCTGTGTCTTCAGTAAATTCAAAAGGAGACATGTTCCGAGAATTATCAAATGTCTGTGCATCAATACTGGGAGATAATGGTTCAGAGGTCAAGTTTCCTGCTTTCAACCTCTTTGTACGTTCTGATTTCTCATCATTCTTCACATCAGAACCCCTCTTATGTTTACCTTTAGATAACCTCTCCAAGCTGTCAGACTGTTCATGCCTAGAGCTATCTTTAACTTCATTTTCTCTTTCATCAAACAAACTCCCTATATAATTTTGGCGTTCTTGGAGCTGTTGGTAGTCAATTGAAAAGGGTCTCATCTCTTCTTCATATTTTTCACCTCTATTTGAAATGGTAGCTGGCGGTAGAGACAATTCAGCTTCCGGTTCCTCAGGTAAGTCCTTTTCAATTTCAATTGCATCAGATTCATTACCATCCTGTTTCTCATCAACCTCATTCTGCATTGATCTTCCATCAGGAGATTTTCCTTGAATGGGTAAGGGCATCCTTTGATCAGAGACTTCCGTTTTTTGTTTTGACTCTTTTTCATCATCACTAGTCATAATATCTACATCCTCATCAGAACCCTCCAGTCCCTCCTTGCTGCTAGAAGATGCATCACTTTCACTGTCACTACTGCTCCCGCTCCCTGATCCGGCAGGACTTCTGCTTCTGCTCCTACTGTGGCTACCACTGTCACTGCCACTATCACTGCTGTCACTATCACTGTCACTGTCGCTTCCACTATCACTGGAGCTGCCTGCCTGGCCTTCACTGTGATCAGAACCTTTTTTGTCACCAAGGATATCAGGTGACGTATGTTGGGTATCAATTTCCAGATTGTTTGTATCTTCTTCTACGCTAGATTTTACTTTAACCATTTCCTCCAATTCAACATTTGGGACTTTCTCTTCAAATCCTCCCTGTGGAGCTGTTGTTTGATCATGAAACTCTTCACGAGTAGGTATCTGGTTGTGATTGTCATCACGAGAACTGTACTAAACAAATACATCTTAAATGCACGAAGGGGCCCATAAAAGTGACATACTTCCAGTACTGGTTTATTTAAGCTTATTTAAAAATAAAAATAAAAGGTACCTTCCGCTTTCAGTTTGAGGCTTATTTAAGTTTTCCAAATCCACTTCCGGTTTCAATATATACCTTCCTGGAGCCTGATATTTTGCAATCTGAACATCAACATTAAATGAAAAATTAGACAACAGGTGTATCATAAAACAATATCCTCAAAAGAGTCCCACCACTTACTTTTTTTATAATTGGCTCAATTATCTTTATGGAATTTGGATGTGTGTCTCCAACAGCTTTCTCCAAGGCCTGTAATCAAAGGGGAAGACAGTTAGGAAGATAAACTAGATGAATCAAAAGTTAGAGAATTAAAAATAAGCCTAAGAAGAATCCTACTCTGGACCATGTGCAATACCTTCAAAGTCATTCCATTAGGTTTATCCTTTAGAAGAGAAATTAACATGCCCTGCAACTCTGCTGGTTTAGACCCATTATTTCCCTTGCGTCCTGGTGTGTTCCTCACAGCATTGTTTGTTCTGGTAGAGATTTCTTTCTCAGATCCAGCATTATTATCTTGTTTAGCTGTCATTTGTGCTGGCACAGCCTCCTCGAAGCTCTTAGACATATTTACTACTCCCACTGGAGAGGAAGCAGCAGCAAAAGGGTCTGGCGGAGATGGAAGAGGAGAGGAATGTCTACCCTTGGTACTAGTATTTGCTGAAGTCAATCCAGGTCTATGGGAAGATTTTGGGGGCCCACCAACTATAAAAAAAGTCCCAGACGTTACAGATGAATTACATGAGCTAAAAGGAATTTATTAGAAGGGTTTCCATACTGCCAAGTAATGCCATCAAGATTGATTGAAACTATGTGGAAAGTTGTAAACTTCACCTTGAAGGGTTTCCACTTTTCTTTTCTTGAGTGCAGCCTCTTTCTTCTTACTGTAATTCTTCCACGTTGTAGCTGGACAAGGGAAGTATAAGGCTATTCAGTAAAATATTTCAATATAAATATTATTAAAGGAAAGAAGGTAAAATTGGAAGGCTTTGGCAGAAGAAAATAGAGTGGTGATAAGCAGGTAATCAAGCCCTATATCAACTTTTCTAGTAGTTCATCTCTCAATGAAATAAGAAAATGGCAATTTGAAATTTTCACTCTGAAAATATTATAGGAAAAATAAATCTGAAAGTACAAGAAACAAAACAAAAGTGTAAGAAACATAGGAAAACACAAGAAACAAAAGAGAAGTTACCCTCAACAGCTGCTAGTGCCTTTATCTGACTTTTCATAGGCGGGTTCCCAGGCTCTAACACAATGGCTCTGTTGTAAACAATATAAATAAATGAACCGGCTGATAGAAGAAAAGAGGGGCCGCGGATTCACACACCATAAACAATCACTGTGTGGAGAGTAATATAAGAAGAAAATTCATTGAATTGCATGAAATATCTAAGCAACCTATTTAGAAAAGAAAAGAAGCAGATGAGTTGATTAATTTTAACACTAGAAATAGAGTCTATACTGAACCAAGAACCTCTGTTAAATTTGGCTGAGTATAATGTCAACAACATTTCATTTACTTTTTTACAAAAAAATGTTCAAAATATGTAAGCAGATCTAATTATGGATAGAATATTTTATCTTTCCTGTCCATATCCCAGAAGATGTCTTTCTAATTATTAGAATATATTGTACTGCCATATTTCTTGCCTTTTCATTTAATAGGGCTAGCCGACATATTAACCTTAGAGCTGGTATATTTTGAATCACTAAATAGTATCAGAAAAATATTCCTCATATTTCAAGGAAATAAAGCTTTAACTGAATTTTGTTGTCATTATATATATTGTAATCTTACATAATAGAATAGTACCAGAAGCGCAGACAAATGGACAGATTAACACTAATTTGTATCCTTGGGTCTTAACCAAAAATCAAGAAGATTGCAGAGCCAATAGGAAAATATATGATGAAACTACTCTCAACTCCAGGAATTAAGGATTCTTAAAAATAGTCTACCACCTAGAATTATATTACTCTCCATCCCTCGCCCTGATTACTTTGGTTCAAGCTCTTGTTGAACAAATCATATAGAGGTTCCACCTAAGTAACTGCTGCAGGACAACTGTTAACTACTGGGTAGTAAATGACAAACTGAACCAGGATCCGTTCCCCCTATAATACAACTATTGAAATTCAATCCACTATAGGTATGTCTGAATTTGAAGTAAAGCTTGTAAAAGTCATGGGAAATCATATGTTCATTGGATTGGATAACCTCACAATCTAATCCAATTAAATCAAACCCAAACATATCGGGTAAGGTTTTCTGTGTGAATGGGTCAAATTTTACCTAATCTAATCTAACCCAATCTCCTACGGCTTAGGTGACGAGTTTTGTATGTTAAACCCGAGACTCAACCCAACTAAAATTGTTAAATAATATTAATATGAATAATAATAGTTGTAATATAACTATTATTCAATTATATTATTCACTAAACATGTATTTTTAACATATTAAATTGTTCAATTACACAAATATTAAATAATAGTCCTCTTTTTTTTAATATTCTAAAAAAATCTAACAAAAATATGTTTTGAATTACAAATTTTAACCAATAAAAAAGAAACCCATGATGCAATGGACCAAACCCAATCAAGAACAAGTTGGGTTGAATTGGATCTAACAAAAAAAATGTAGAACTCCGACCCAACTTAAAACTCAAGGGTTACTTTTGAATTGGGTGGTGGGTTTACCTGACCCTTATACACCCCTACCTCTTTTGAGGTTGTGTTAGACCTAACCCAAATTCAAAATGGTATCAAAGTCTATCACAACACAGATTTGATAGTGGACAACTTTTGACTGTAAAAAAATCTAGATAACCCCACAGCTTTCCCAGGGCAATATTAAAAATGAAATCTACTTAGCCTTGCAGCTTTGTTCGTGCAATCTGTTTTGTCACACAGTGCGATAAATATTCATGCTTCAGATCTCAAATTATAATCTTTGGAGTGACAGGTATGTGTCAAGATCTCACATCAACTAGTTGACTCAAGCAGTGTTATCAATTGCAGAGAGCAGAAAATGCCAAAAAGCCAATAATTTGCTATGTCATATAGCAGATGGCATAGCAGGATAAGATTGGAAGTCATAGTGGCTCAAATATATGATAAATAACAATTACTCGTGTATAGAAAATCATCTTGTACAGAAATAAAAAAAAAGAACATGATACTATATCAACAGTTTAATTGATTGAATACTCGCCAAAGATGACAAGAGGATATAAGATGAATGCCACAACCACAACAACCATGGCAGCTGCCATAGTAGACAGTATCACAACTTTGGCTGCAAGGAATTCACAATGCAATAGCCCTACAACACCACAATAACGTCTATTCATTGACAGTGTAGAGTTTATAAATGCTTGAGTTTTTATGTTGGCAAATATTAGTTATTAATATATTAATTTTTGTCAACGAGAAGACTCAAACCTATGACCATCCCTCCCCTCTTCCACTTTCAGAGCTAAGACAACATTATATCCCCTAATAAAGGCTTGAGATATCCATGCCTCATGAGCTAAATTTTAGGGTTTAGTTAAGCCCAACCCTAATTCAAGAACATCTATTAACAAAAGCCCATAACTCATCGTAGTACCTAAATACAAATAATATACTACATGTCTTCCTTTTATTTAATAATATATGTGATATAATTCTGAAAGAAATAAAAATTGTAGCAACCATAGATAAGACTTACAAAAAAATCAAACTTTAAAACTCAACTTCAGCATTATTACCCTAATGGTTTGTTTGAAATATGGACTTGGATCCTCTAAAGTGAATAAGTGTAACTCAGGATTTATCATGTATGTGCACTAACATCGACCATTGATTTGTCACCAATGACTGATATTGCTTACTTTAAGCTCAAAAGTAAAGTGCTCACTTTAGTGGAACCAAATCCTATGTAACAATTGACTTTTATGGCATATGTTCAAATTTTGAAAATACAAGAGTAAGACTTTAAGAGATTGCTCTATAAGATACCGTAGAACAAACATATTAATCTTTTTAACAGAAGTGTCATGCGCATTTTCTTATAAATGCATAGGAAGTGCAAGCAGTAGCAAATAAATAAGGAAAAAACACAGAAGAACGTCATTGAAATGACAGGGTTTTCAAAGGGTGAGAGCAAAATATGTAGTGAGGTAAAAAAGTATGGAAAATCTCCAATTGTAGCTACATACTTGCGAGACTTCATTTTGCGGTCAGCTTCCTCTGACCGCCTTTTGACATGATTCTTAGTGGACTCGTCCAAGATACGCTGCACATTCAGCTTGCGCCAAGCACACCCAGATTCAACAAGCAAACCATTCCCATCTTCGCCACTCCGGCGCTCTTCATAAATATCACAGAGGTCACCCAATTCCCTTGACCATGTAAACCTGAACTCCTTCCCACCAACATCTATAATCTGACACAAATAAAACAACCAATCCAAACTACAAATCAGAAATTGCTTAACTAAAACCCAAACGCATAGAAAAAGAAGACAATAGCCACAAACCAAGCCTCGTGGTAATGTAACCTGATTTCACACTCGAAGAGAAACAACATTGATAAGTTTAAAAGTCGGTCATTTAGCACATATCATTGCAAACTGTATCAAATTAGGCACACAAATACACAACTCAACAACTAGTCCCTAGTAGCACTATCATTACAACACTGTTCCAAACGCATAGATTTAATATCAGTAAAAATTCAATTTCATAAAACTTCACAGTATGCATATATTTCACATTATGCATATAAGTACAATTTCAATTTCAATTTCTGTTTTGAACGGCGAATACGCGGTTAACCTATTCTATATTTTGCCATTAATCTTCATAACAATTGTTTGTCTTTTTAATCCAAATAAACATAAATGAGCGTAACTGAAGGCCAACAAAAACGAATAAACAAACACTTTTAAACGTTTGATTCGATTCAAGAACCAATCGCAAGCTGAAACCAAACATGTTGAGTGAGACGCGTTACGTTTCCTATTGGATTGTGAGGATTGGGGCCGAACTTCATACGCGCGGTGCCGCCCTGTGACTCCACACGCCTGATCTCCTCCACGAGGTCGGGGGCGAGCCGTATGATCATCGAGAAAGCAAGAGAGTTGCTTCCGGAGACCAGGCTAAAGGTCTCCTCCACCGCTGGAGCCGCCGCCGCCGCCTCCTCCTTTCCGGCGTTGCGGGCGGAAGCCCCGAGGGAGAGGCGGCCGCCGGGGGCAGAGGAACGTTGAGGCGCCGGAGGAGGGAAGGAGCGGCGGTGAGGGGCGCCGCGGCCAAGCTTGGTGGAGGCGCCGCCGTACATGTCGGGATTGCGGTTGCGTTGTTTTCGCCTCCAGATGCCTGATGATGATAGAACCTATCACTGGATAAAAAAACATGAAAATGTCACAGCATTAAATGATATAGAATTATTTATATTTTCCTTTTTTTTTTCATCATGTGTAAAATTGGCAATTGAAAAAAAACATTAAAAAAAAATTGTTTTCTTTTGCCTTTTTTGGAATTCGGGTCAATTTAAAAGTGGAAAATGAGAATATAATAGTGAAATTGATATTGTTTTAACTAAAGAAAAAATAAAGAAAAATAAATGAATAAAAATATAGATGATAGATTAATTTGATTAATTAAAAAAATAAATAATAAAATATATAAAGTAAAAATTAAAATATAACTTAATATAAAATAATTATTTAAAAAATATTTAAGTTAATGAATATATTAAAAAAGGATTTTATAATATTTTATAGTTTGTATATTATTTAATAATAATTTAAAGTAATACTAAAATTATAAAAATTATTTTAAATAATTATTGTATAATTATTTTTTATAATAAATTGAGAGTATATTTTAACTGCAACAATTATGATCAAATAAAATATAAGTTTATAAATATGTCATTTTTTAATTTAATAAACTAGCGTTAAATTACAATTGTTGATAAAAATTTATAAGGCTAAAATTATGTACTATATTAATTTTTTAAAATGATAAAAGCAAAAAAAAAATCATGAATCAAACCTGGAATAATATATTTAAAAATTGCTTAAATAAATTTTTTATTAATTTATTTAAAAAATAATACTTATTTATTATTTATAAGTATTTATTTCTTTTTTCTTAAATTTTTTTGTTCATTCTTTATATCATGTCACATTTCTTATTTTTCTCTTCATCTCACTTATCTTCTGATTAAATTATTATATTAAAATTTTATAAAATCATATTTAAATAATATATTTTCAAATCAATATTAAAACTAAAAAATATCAATTAATTATTTAAAATTATGATAATAAATAATTTTATTTATTATAATAATAAATAATTTTATTTATTATAATAATAAATAATTTTATTTATATTTTTATCGTAATAAATAATTATTTATCTTATTAAAATATATCAAATATTTATTATTTTAATATATTTTTATTCGATAATTTAATCAGTTATAATTAAATTATTTATGATAATTAGTTATAATAGATTATTATAGAAAATATTGATTAAAAAATTAATTTAAAATAAATAAATAATTATAACATAACAATAATATTTATAATATCTCAAAATTTTATATTATATTTTTTAAAATATAGTATATTAATTTATAATATTTCTTGATCATTTAAATATTTTTATTTTTTAAAAATAATAAAAAATTTATTTTATTAAATTTAAATTTTATTTTGAATTAAATAATAAGATAAAATACTAAACAAATAAAAGAGAAAAAAAAGTGAAAAAAGTAAAACAGAGACAAAAATAGATGAAGAAAAAACAAAAAAACTATTATGTCTTTATTTTTTTTTATTAAATTTTGAGTATTAATAGTAAATAAACTTAAAAATACTATATTTAAATAAATTTTTACATATATTATTTGTAAAGTTAATTCAAAAAATAATACAATTTATCATCAATTGAATTCTACAATACACGAACATGTTATTTTTTAAAAATTATTATGATTCTTTTTAACCATTAATTTATATATTTTGAATAGGATCCATATTAGGTTTATCATATTACCGTGAGATGAAGGTCCGTATGATCATGTGTTATTGTTGAACCCCTTAATCATCATCCTCATTATCTTCCAATTAAGTTTTCTGGCATTGTGGCTGAATATATGTTAGGGTAATTATTTAAATGTGTTAGGGTCATTATTTATTAAGCTAAATAATAAAGTGATCTAACTAAATTAAAAAAGATTTGACTAAAGACATATGTCATGAAAATAAAATTGTGTAGAGATCATAGAGTAATTTCTAATTTGATGAGGGGTCAAATTGGAAATACTAAAACATAAGTAATTAACCTAATTGATGAGGGGTCATGGTCCCCTTCTGGGAGCACGTAGATAGAACGTAGTTACAGTGTCTTCTTTTCTTTCTATCCCCATCAAGAGAGAAAATCAAGAGGGAAATACAGGTGTTCTTTAGATGGAAGACCATAAGATCAATAGTGCTTTAAAAGGGACATCATCATTATGGCTAATTCAGGTACGCTTTCGTATTTAGTTTATATGTTTATGAGTATGAAATTACTTTATATTTGATCGTTAGATTGAAGATCATATTTAATTATCAATTTACCTAACAATTGGTATCAGAGCAACTCATACTTAATTCATGTTTGTCTTTGGAAATTACATTTAACAAAATTCAGATTCTGGCTAATTAAGAACCTAGTTGGAGAATAATCTTCAAATTTTATGAACCCTACATTCAAATTTGGGGTAAAATCCCCAATTTTAAAACCTAATTTCGAATTTGAGGGTGAAACCCCCAAACTGCTTTTGCTCCTTCGTCTTCATTGGCTAATTCAGTTTCGAATTTGGGGTAAATTCCCAAATTCCCAAATCGAGCGAGAGAACGCGAAAACCGTGAGAACCTTAATCCCCCAACTGCCGCAGAGCCTCACCATTCTCTTCAGTGACTGCAGCCCCGCCTGGTGCCCCATCGACGCGCGCCTGCCCCTTGCCGCTACTGCCGGCGTGGCGCTTCGCGATTCCTCTGACGCCTTTGGGCGCAAACGGGTAGGTGAAGTGCGGTTCGTGGAATTTGGCCAAGAGAGGGTTTGCCGGAGTTCGAATTGGAAGGGTTTGTTGCTGCGGAGGGTAATGGTGGTGCGGCTGAGGGAGCAAGTAAATATTGTGAATCTCAATTTTGATTTTGAAATAAAGTCAATCCCTTCCTATATTCAACCTCCAAGGATTTCAACTCTTGAGACACTGGCCTAATAATCTCAGGGAGACGAAACTCATGCAGCAATTCCCACCTTGTTTCTTCTCCCTTCCCACAATGCTGCAACATCCAAACTCTCCCACTCTGAGCTTCGAAGCCACTAGAGGGTCAAATAGGGAACTCAGATAACCCGCACGCAAACCCCTTTGGACACGACACAAGAAACCGCTTCCATTTCCCTGTCTCGGAGGATAAAACCTCAACATCAAACACAATCCTCGTGTCGTTAAACGCAGGGATGTGAACAACCCTGAACCTACGTTGAGAAGTGGGAACAATAGATGTTGGTTTGGTTTGGCGGTGACAGTATTTGGGGTTAGGGAAAAATTGATAAATGCCCCTGGCCCTTCCCGAGTAATTGTTTTACAAATTGTAGTGGTGGTCTTCGCGCCATATATTATATATATATATATATATATATATATATATATATATATATATATATATAAATAATCAAATTTTGGTTTTGTTATATAATATTCAAATTTTTGGGAGTTTAATATTTTTTTAGCAAATTGAGTCAAGAAGTTACCAAAGTAACATTTCTTGAATTGGGTAGTTCGTGAAAAATATTGAATATTAGTGTTTGTGTAAATTCATGTGAGTATTAGTCGACCCAAAGGAAGATTAATATTTGGCCGAATTGCATATTCACTTGTAATGATAAACATGTGATAATTATAAGGATTTGCTTTGTCGATGATAAATCAATCCAAAGACTGGTTTGTTGTTGGACGTGCTTTATTGTCAATGTTTGATTATTACAACAAGATACCTCTAACGAGTTAATATTACTTGTCAAAAGACTTGATATTGATGGTGCATTGGGTATCTTGAGATGGGTTAAACCATTATTTGAATATATATTTTATTTATAATTATTTATTTTTATAATGTGAGCATAATTAATTTATTTCTCTTGTTTTTAATTTAGCTACAATTGTTTACATATCTGCCAATTTAAATTTTGTTCAGATCCTCAAAAGTATGTTTCCTATTTTGGTGCGTTCGAAGTCAATTTAGCATCGATACCTAGTAACACTTGGTGGTTAGACTCAGGTGCAACTACTAACATCAGTGTTTCTATGAAGGGTTGCTTAAGCTACCGGAAGCCAATTGATTCTGAAAGATGCATATATGTTGGAGATGACAAATCGGTAGAGGTGGAAGCCATTGGGCATTTTAAATTGTTATTGAGTACTGGTTTTTATTTGGATTTGAAAGACATTTTTGTTGTGCCGTCATTTAGACGGAATTTGGTTTCAGTTTCTTATCTGGACAAATTAGGTTATTTGTGTTCATTTGGAAACAATAAGTTCAATTTGTCTTTTAATTCAAATATTATTGGAACTGGTTCACTTTTGCCTTATGATAATTTGTATTTACTTGATAATGTGACCACCTATAATGAAACCCTTAATACAGAATCACGGGGTACTAAACATAAAATTGATGATACTCACTCAGGAGCATTATGGCACAGGCGCTTAGGTCACATCTCTAAAAATAGAGTTGAACGACTTGTGTTAAATGGAATCTTAGAGTCCATTGACTTCACAAACTTTGATGTTTGTGTTGAATGCATTAAGGGCAAACAGACAAAAGCGAAGAGATTAGGTGCATATAGAGCTACAGACGTCTTAAAGTTGATACATACGAACATTTGTGGGCCATTTCCTACACCTTCGTGGAATGGTCAACAATACTTTATATCATTCATAAACGATTACTCACGATATGCATACTTATTCCTTATACATGAAAAGTTACAATCTCTAGACGTGTTTAAAACATTTAAAGCTGAAGTTGAAAATCAACTCAATAAAAGAATTAAGTCTGTCAGATCTGATCGTGGTGGTGAGTACTATGGCAGATTTGACGGGTCAGGTGAACAGCGTCCAGGACCTTTTGCCAGGTACCTAAAAGAGTGTGGAATTGTCCCACGAGTATACCATGTCGGGATCACCTAGCATGAATGGTGTAGGCTGAAAGACGAAATCGAACTCTTAAAGATATGGTCGGGAGTATGATTTGTCATTCCACCTTACCGGAGTCACTGCGGGAGAGACACTAAAGACGACAACTTATATTCTGAACAGAGTACCAACTAAAGCAGCGACCAAAACACCTTATGAGCTTTGGACTGGGCAACAGCCTAGTTTGAAGCATTTCCATGTGTGGGGTTGTCCAGCTGAGGCAAGACCTTATAAGCCAAATGAAAAGAAATTGGACTCACGAATAGTAAGTAGTTATTTTATTGGTTATGCTGAAAGATCCAGGAGATATAAATTTTATGATCCCACATTAAAGATAATTTTTGAGACGGGAACTGTTACGTTCTTTGAGGATATTGAGTTTGGGGGGAAGAATAAAATCAGGAATTTTGTCTTGGAGGAAGAATCGGTAACAATTCCAGAACCAATTCAAACAGTTACTTTTGATAAAGTAAGTTCGGAACCTCCACAAGACATTGTTAATGAACCCCTTACTCAAGATGATTTGGTTGTTCATGAAGAACAAACTCAAGAACCTGTGCATCATGAGCCAATAACTTTGCAGAGATCCACTAGAGAAAGAAGAAGTGTTATTTCGGATGATTACATGGTATTTCTTCAGGAACATGAGGAAAACAATGGTATGATGGAAGATGACCCAGTTAACTTCCGTCAAGCCATGCAAGGTTCTAACTCTGAAAAGTGGATTAAAGCAATGAAAGAGGAATATAAGTCCATGCAAGACAACAAGGTTTGGGAACTTGTCCCATTACCAGAAGGTATGAGACCCATTGGTTGCAAGTGGATATTTAAGACCAAACGGGATTCTAAAGGTAATGTGGAAAGGTATAAAGCTCGTCTGGTACCTAAGGGTTATACCCAAAAGGAAGGGATTGACTTTAAAGAGACTTTCTCTCCAGTTTCATCGAAAGACTCTTTTATGACAATCATGGCTCTTGTAGCACATTATGATTTGGAGCTTCATCAAATGGATGTCAAAACGACGTTTCTCAATGGCAACATTGATGAGACGATTTATATGGTACAACCAGAAAATTTTGTGCAGGGAAATTCAAAGAATATGGTTTACAAACTGACAAAATCCATTTATGGACTAAAGCAAGCATCTCGTCAATGGTACTATAAATTTCATCAAGTAATTCTCTCATTTGGCTTCGAGATGAATATTGTTGATGATTGTGTATATCACAAGTTTAAGGGGAGTAAATATATTTTCCTAATCTTGTATGTTGATGACATTCTACTTGTCACTAATGATATAGGCATATTGCACGAAACCAATAAATTTTTATCAAAGAATTTTGAAATGAAAGATCTTGGTGATGCGTCTTTTGTATTAGGAATTCAGATACATCGAGATCGATGTCGGGGTATTTTAGGATTATCACAAAGGAACTATATCGAAAAAATTCTTAAAAGGTTTGACATGCATGAATGTAAATCCGGGGATACTCCAGTTGCTAAGGGAAACAAGTTTAGTCTCAATCAGTGCCCAAAGGGAAATTTGGAAATTGAGGAAATGTAAAAGATTCCCTATGCATCAGCTGTAGGGAGTTTGATGTATGCCCAAGTATGTACGCGTCCAGACATAGCATACATAGTTGGGGTTCTAGGCAGATATTTAAGCAATCTAGGAATGGACCATTGGAAAGCAGTAAAAAGGGTCATGAGATATTTAAAGAGAACAAAAGATTACATGCTCACATACAGGAGGTTAGACCAGTTGGAGATCGCTGGGTTTTCTGACTCGGACTTTGCAGGATGTCAAGATAGTTTGAAATCCACTTCAGGTTACATTTTCATGTTAGCAGGTGGTGCGGTTTCTTGGCGCAGTGTCAAGCAAACCTTTACAGCTTCATCCATTATGGCAGCAGAATTTGTAGCATGCTATGAGGCGTCGAATCACGGAATATGGCTGAGAAATTTTGTCACAGGGCTGCAAATTGTGAAAGGCATTGAAAGACCACTTAAGTTATATTGTGACAACAAATCAGCTGTATTGTATTCCAACAACAACAGAAGTTCGACTAAGTCAAAACACATCGACATTAAGTTCCTAGTTGTTAAGGAAAGAGTACAGAGTGGACATATTACCATAGAACATTTAGGGACAAACTCCATGATAGCAGATCCTCTAACTAAAGGACTTCCGCCCAAGGTCTTTCATGAGCATGTTGCTCACATGGGTGTTTTACAGTTTGAGGAATTTGTGGTTTAGTGGGAGTTAGTCATTTTCATATATTTTATGTTCTATGTTTAATTTTATATATGTATACATTGTTTTTGGACATATTTGGTTATTTATAGATATGCGGTTTTCTTATTCATTCATTACACTTTGTACATTAAGGTTATTATATCGATCTCGATAAGTTAAAGTTTGGACCAGTTGAAAATAGACGTGTACAGATCACCTTCACGTAATTTTTCATGCTACACATTTCATGATGAATCCATGTCATTTGGTTATGTCAGGATGAGTAATCAATGTTGGTTTTAGTTGCGATGATGCAATGAAAAACTAGTTTGGTTCTATATCCTGATATGATTAATGGACAGGACTTTTGGAATATGCTAAAGGAATATAATGGCAATCTTGAGCTCATAAAGTCTAACATATTTGTAAGGTTGTAAGGACATATATATTTGTGATCAATGGGAGATTGTTGGCAAAATTTGGGTCATGTATATACATGATACATATTTAAATGTGTTAGGGTCATTATTTATTAAGCCAAATAATAAAGTGATCTGACTAAATTAAAAAAGGTTTGGCTAAAGACATATGTCATGAAAATAAAATTGTGTAGAGACCATAGAGTAATTTCTAATTTGATGAGGGGTCAAATTGGAAATACTAAAACTTAAGTAATTAACCTAATTTTGGTTATTTTAAGGGGTCATAGTCCCCTTCTGGGAGCACGTAGACAGAACGTAGTTACAGTCCCTTCTTTTCTTTCTATCCCCATCAAGAGAGAAAATCAAGAGGGAAATACAGGTGCTCTTCAGGTGGAAGACCATAAGATCAATAGTGCTCTAAAAGGGACATCATCATTATGACTAATTCAGGTACGCTTTCGCATTTAGTTTACATGTTATGAGTATGAGATTATTTTATATTTGATCATTGAAGATCATATTTAATTATCAATTTACCTAACATTGTGGCTTTGTCATGCATAGTGAATCTTTATCACATTTATATTTTTTAGACATTTCTTGCTAAACATATTTGACCACCTATGTTGGCATAAGTCAAGTTGTTCCATAAATGCAATAAAATATAAGTGAATAAAAGACTATAAAGTATAAACATGTCATTAGTATTACCCTTTCTCTTATATGGCAGACCAAATTGATTGAAATATGATGTTTTATATATCACATTATAAAAATATAATTATTTTACATATTGACATGGTTGTTTTTGACAAAAACTCATAATATATTCAAACTATTGAGATTCTTGTAAGTATGTATTTTTTATTTTCATATAAATATTAGAATCAAAGTCTTTATAATATTTTCGGTTTCAAGAATGGTAACAAAATCCTTATTGAGACATAATATTTTAGTTAAGTTATATTGAATCAATTATAAGTTTGATTACATAGGACCTATTATATCATTTATGTTTAAAGATTTAAGATTTATCTAAAGAACTATATTAACAATAGTGAAATATGGGGTTTTTACGTCATCCACTTATTATTGAACCTAAGAATAATTGACTTAAGAAAATATGGTAACATTTTTGTAAATAAAGAATGTTATTTTTATGTCGGTGTTTAAGAGGTCCCACATAAAATTTATTTTTTACTTGCTCCCTAACCGAAAGAAATTTTTTTTTACATGGGTTCAATATAAAAGTTGGATTTTAATCGCTTTAAGACTTATTTTCTCGAGTAACGATGATGACAACGACCAAATCAATTCCTCTCAATATATATTTTGATCATAGTAATCGACTGAAAACACTTACATTGTATTTAATTTGTGATGATTGACATTTCTCTCATATTGAATTCAAAATTTATAGTGTTTTTTTTTTTATATTTGAGGTTCGTGTTCTATGTATGTGTCTTATATTTTATGTTGAAATTGAATTCGTGATTATTTTTTGGAATCTCAATCACGTTATTGCATAAATGTCTCAACTAGATTATTATTGAAATCAGTGGCGGATCTTGACCATTGACCTTGGAGGGGCCAAATAATATATTATTAATAAATAAATATAAAATGAAGTAAGAAGATGAAAAGGTAAAAAGATAAAATTGTAAATATATACTTAAATATATTAAATGATAATTAAGTTTGAGGGAACAAAATCATAACTTATATAAGAGTTACAAAACTAAGGAGGGGCTGAGAGGATAAAATTGTAAATATACAAGTAAATATATTAAATGTTCATTAAATTTGGAAGGGTCAAAATCATAAATTACATAGGAGTTACAAAACTTTGGAGGGGGGTTCACAGCCCCCTCAGCTCCCAAGAAGATCTCCACTGATTGAAATAAAACTATTGTAGTTTATGATTATCTATTTATGCGTTTGAGTGGATTTACGGTTTATACACTATATAGTTGTTTAAATTTTACATTTTTTGTTGTTTGTAGTTTATATATTAATTATAGAATAATTTAAAGTTTGAATTATAATATTATACGATATCAAGAAAAGATATTACAATATATAATGTTTTAAGTTTTATGATGATGAAAAGAAAACAAAAAATGTTCAAAAAGGATAAGTTTTGACTCCGTTGTTAGATCTGAACGTATAACATATGAAAACAAAAGAAAAAAAATGAAGAAGAGGAAATAAATCCTCGAAAGAAATTTGTCCTAACAATATTTTCAAAATATGTTCATGTTTCTAAACACATGTAATAGACAAAAATATGTTATAATAACATTATGTTTTATTTCTCAATGTAATAAGTATTGCGGTATTAGATGAGAGTTATAATTTGTGTGAGTATAACTGATTCTTGAACGAAGTTAATTGCTTTCATCATTTGTTAAGTTCATTACCTTTATGTATATTGCATGTTAACAATAGTCAAATTAAAGTTTTATACATTTAGGTAATTTAGTTTTTGTATTAGTTTATACTTCATTAGTTTTGTTTTGTAATGTTTACCTTTTAAATAGTTTAATCATTATACTAATTTAATTTTACTTTTTATTATATTGTATTATTGTATTTTTGAATTATTATCTATTGAAATTTGGACTAGCGGTAAGACAAAACAAATTGAATATTAAAAAAAAAAATTACGCTAGACTAAAGGCATATCCGACGTAAATTTACATCATGAATGTCTCAGATCCGACGTAAAATTACATCAAAAATGTCCTAGGTCCAATAAATTTACGTTGGAGATGTTTCAAGCCTAACTTAAATTTACAGCGAGAATGCCCTAAGTCCAACTTAATTTACATCAAATATATTCCTAATCTAACATAAATTTATGTCTCTCGTATTAAAATCGAACTTATTTCTAACATAAAAAAACCAAAACAACATAAAACACCATTTTATACTAGTGTGACATAATAAAAACATTTTCATGTTACAAATCCATTTGGTTCTTAAACATATAAACAAAGAAATTTAAACCTAATCATAACAACAAAAATAAAATTCACTAGCTTTTAATCGAAACATGAGTCTCATGTCATCTTATCGATAATGTTTTCTCATTTATCTTTCATCACTAAAATAATATTCACACTATCCCTTTTTTATATATATAACATGCCCTTAATTTTGAAAAATAGAAACACCATTTGAAATTTAAAGATAAATAACATTAATGCATTTTTTATATAAGGAGTGGATATTCAAATACTACAAATTTCATACACCAATATCATATATATACATTAAATATTAACTAAAAACATAAATAATTCATCAACTTGCCATATTAAAATATAAATAATATAATAAACTAAAACATTAAAATAAATTGTTTCAAAATTCATATATTTTAAACTATTTTATTTTATAAATTAAAATTTATTATATTTAAATCATTTTATGCAAATAGAATATTTATAAAATAAAATAATTCAAATGAGAGTAGTTTAAATTTGATTTATTTAAATTGTGTGATTTTTTTATCGAAACATAACAAATTTATTTGATTTAACCTTATATTCCTAAAACCAGGTTGAAACATCATTTGTAAGTTTAGCTAAAAACAATAATTAAACTTTAACAAATGTTTATGTTGTATTTGATAAGAAATTTTGTAGTTTTAGAAAAAATAAATTAAATAAATTTTATTTTTTTCTTTTGAAATAATTTAATTATTAAAATTATTTATTTTGATCAGACAAATTTAATTTATTGATTTGTTTCAAATATAAAAATGATTATGAATTAGGTAAAACTTACCATACTTAATTTTTATCTACGTGAACAAAATAAAACTGAAACAAGTTTTATAACTTATTATATAGAATAAAGTAAAATTGAAATAGATTAAATTGGTAAGTTAAGACTTGATCTAAACAATTTATATTAGGTAAGAACATTGGGTCGTTAGAAAAAAGATTGTGATGGATTAAACTGAGTCTTGTAAGTGAATAAGACAAATAAATATTATATAATTTGAGTAAAAACAATATATTTAAAGTTAAAAGGATTATATTTAAAGTCAAACTAAATCAAGTTAAGATAGATTAAGTTAAGATAGGTAAACCTATTTTAATTAATTGGGTCGAACCTAATTAGGTATGATTGAATTAAGTTAAGACAAATTTGATAATGATGAGTTAAATTATATCAAAATGATTGGATTAGATTAATTAGGATTAACCAAATCGAGAACGGTCCATGGTTTAATAATAATCAAAATGTGTTGGATTTGTTTAATAAGATTAAAAGAGTCAAATTAAATATAAGTTGATTTGAAATTGCTTGAAATATGTAAAAATATTTTAATCAAAATTGAGTTAAAGAAAAAAATAGAAAACAAATTTAAAAAAGGAAACAAAATTTAAATTTTAAATTCCTATTTTAAGGTAAAAATTAAAATTCTCTTATTTTAAATAATCATAATACCTCATCAATTTTTATAATTTCAAATTATCTATCAAATATTAAAAGTATTTCAAATATGCTTTTTAAAAATAATTTATCTGTTATAAATTCTTCAAGATTAATGTTATATATATTTTCTATCCTATAAAATAAGTGTTGAACGTATTAAGAAAACAATTTCCCAATTGAAGAAGCACCCGCTCTTGATGTTATAGAATATGATGTTATATATATCAAAAGAAATATTATAGAATATATGATCAAAGATTACAAAAATAAATTAAATCTGAAACCTGGGAAATTTACTTTAACGTAAAATATAAACTTTCAAAATTTAATATATAATATAAATACAATTAATATAGTTTATATGTAAAAAGTAACAAATCCTAAACCCTAATAACAATGTATAAAAAGAAATTTGATATTTCTCAAAATTTTTGAATTGGATCCAACGGGAAAATGAATTTAAGATTTAAAGATTGTACACAATTTAAATAAATTTAATAAAATAATATTTTTATAATATAATAAATATACAATATTTTTTAAATATCAAAATCTATTATTATAATTAATTATAATATAAATTTATAAATATAAAATACTTATAAAATATATTAAAAAGTAAAAATATATACTAATTAAAATAAGATAAAAATATAATAAAATAATTATTATTTAAATTTAATATGACTAGTATAAGATAAATAACAAATAAAACTAAAAAAAATATTATATTTGTTATAAAAAATAAAAAATTTAATTATAATTATTTTTTATTAAAACTAATTGGAAAAAAATATTTTTTCTGATTTTATCAAATTTATACGTATTTAACTAAAATCTAAAATCTAGTTTTTTTTTAATATAATCAACCGAATTTTAAGCCAATTTCTACGACCAATTCAACTGAAAGTTTTGAATAATAACATTTACCACTTTTAAAAACAAGACACGTGTGTCACATGTTTTAGGTATGATTTTTGGTAAAATCATCATATTCTTAAAATTAATTATTATAATATTTAATAATGATTGTTAACAGTATTTTGTCATTAAAAGTTAATATCAACAGATTCCTGTCATATCCTTTTATTATAAATAATAAAAATAATTATCCAAGTTTTTTCTTTTTTGTCAATAATTATATTAGTAATTAATTAATATAAATACATTTAGATGTTTTGTCACTACGTTAAGATCGTAGGACGTTGTCAATAAACCCCAATACCTGAATTAATTATTTTTAAAAAACTAGTCCCTTAATTTGATATTTTTTTTTACTCTCTTAATTTTATATAAATAATCATTCTAATACTAATTATTATAAATTGACTTAAGTGTGATTTTATACTCTGATTTTAGTTTTGTATTTCAAATATTGAAAATTTACTTTAGTCTCTTAAAATTAAAAGAAATTATATTTCAATATTTAAATATTAAATTTTAAAATTAAACAAGTTTTTAAAATTGAATATTAAAAAAATATTTTAAATTTGAACTAAAAAAATAAATTTCTGGATGTTGCTAAGGCTGATGTAAAGAAGAGTCTGGTGGGGTTGGGTAAGGTTCGTCGAACACGAGAGAAAAAGAAGTGGGCCAGACACTCTCCTCGCCCCAAATATAAAACCCCAACACCAACGCCAGAAAACGCCTCAATTTGCATTCCTTTGCCCTTTCTACAAGCCAACATCTTTCCAGCAGCTCCTTCTTCCTCTCACTCTCTTCCTCCTCGATCCTCCTTCCACCATGATTACAGGTTACGCACTTTTTCTCCCTTCCATTTTCCGCATGCTACTGTTCTATTTTTTTCGCAGCATTCGTTGCCCTCGTCTCGATGTGGTTTCTTTTTGAATTTTATATGCTACTTTTTTCTTTGATTTCTGCTGCGTCTTCCAAATTGGAGAGATGCGGAGCTCGTAATTTAGGGTTTCGGCTGAAGAGATAACGAATTTGTGCTCGTTTTGAATTCTGATGGGGTTTATGGCTTCTATTTTCTTAAATTAATCTGTTCTGTGTTAGCTAGGATGATTCATTGTTATCTTTGCTTTTAAGCTTGGTGGTTCGTTCGTTAGACTTTGTTATTCACTTGTTATCGATATTCAATGTTTTTATTTTTTGGTCTATTGGAACTTCCGAAAATGGAGATGAGGTCATTCAACTTCTTTTGAAGTCTTACTATGCTCTGGGAGCAGTGAGGACATTGTGCTGGTTTTGCTACTGGTTTTAAATAATTTTCATTGTGCATGAAGGTTTGGGTTATTTTACATCTATTAAAGGATGCTAACGTTAGACTGTATGAATATTAGGGATAAACGGTTTTGCCATGCGATTTGGGGTTCCGTTAAGTGATATTGTATTATTGCCTTGTAGATTGCTATTTTTTTAATCTAATTTTATCATTCTGATACCCACTACTGATCTTTTCTCTGCAGTAACTGTAAAATGGCAAAAGGAGATTTTCAAAGAAGTAGAAATTGACACTACCCAGTCTCCTTACGTTTTCAAATGCCAATTGTATGATTTGACCGGTGTGCCTCCTGAAAGACAAAAAATTATGGTCAAGGGTGGTCTTTTGAAGGTAAGTAGATTGTTGAAGTGATTACTGTAAGTAATGAGAAAAGAAAACTTAGGCTCATCATGATTTATCCGATGTGTTGTTGATATTTTCTTAATAGAAATCAACGACACGACCTTAGCAGGTCTTGTACAAATTTTGTGCATAACAATGACCTGGAATGTAGTTATTTCAACTCTCTTTTCTTCCTTTAATTCCTATTGCAATGCAGGATGATGCTGATTGGTCAACATTAGGAGTGAAAGAGGTTAGCAGTGCTAGCATGTGTTTTTCAACACCGTTCTTCTATGTTCCATGCATCCTTTCACTTAATTAATCCACAATCTCCTGTTTTCAGGGTCAAAAGCTAATGATGATGGGTACCGCTGATGAAGTAGTGAAGTCTCCAGAGAAGGGGACAGTTTTTGTTGAAGATCTTCCTGAAGAAGAACAAGTAGTTGCTGTTGTATGTTTCAACTCTTACCCACACATTACTTGATAAACTGCAAAATATCTGTTTGTAATTTTTATAATAGTGGTACCTCTCAAATAACGGGCATGATATATAAGTATCTTAACTGATGTATAATATATTAATCTCATATTTTTTCCTCATTTTATCAGTCATTTATAGGATACGGAAGTGAATAATTTTTCCCTTTAGTTTAGAAGTCAGTAGTTGCCAATAACCCACCCTTGAAACTGAGAAACACATTGGCAATGGTCCCTTTGTCTTTGTTTTCGGTGTTCATTTCAAAAAACTCCGACTAACCCTGAGATTTGATTTAAAAGGAAACAACTCAGCATTCGTCTCATTTCTTACGGTCAAATTTTCTTCCATCCATGGACGATCTTGGGAGATGGATGAGAAGCTCAAGCATGTCAAACACTGCATGGCCTATCCTATTCATGGCATTGCATTGGTCATTCATATAAACAAAACATCAAGTTGGTTCTTGATAATCTGCACAAAATTGGTACTTCAGTGTCATATTTTGCCATCACTTTTAAACCGGCAGCAATTTGGTTGAAAGGATGAAACACTGATGGAGTTAATGAATTATCATTGAATGACTAGTTTTCTTGTAGAAGTTTTTTTAAATTGGAGCTATTCTAGTGTTTCATTTGTGTTCAGTGAGTCTATGTTCTGCCAGATCCTCTAAAGATTTACAGGACATTGCATTTGTCATCTATTCAAACTAAATATCAAATTGTTTCTCAATTATTTATTATATCAAATTGGTCTCTCAGTTTCGCATTTTGCCATCACTTTTGTCTTTAAAATAGCAGCAAGTCAGTCATGAAAGGATGGAACTGATGAAGTTAATTTATTATCATTGAATGTAGTTTATGTTATTGAATGACTAGTTTTTTGTCATTGATAAGTAGAAAACCAATATGATGCGTTTAGATCTTTGGAGGACCCAGATTGATGATCTCTCTGAAATTTATATTCAGTCAATTATAACTTATTACCATCAGCTGGGCTTTGTTTTCACTTGTTTGAATGATGTTGAATTTAACATCTTTTAATTGTTTATTTCCTTCTTTTGTTTGGCCGATTCATACATACTCAGCATTTGATTTTTTTCCTCTTTCCTTTGGGGGATGGGTGGGGTCTGTGTGGTGGATTGGTTTTTGAAGGGACACACGGCTGGTCTTTTCAATTTGGGAAATACGTGTTATATGAACTCAACATTGCAATGCCTCCATTCGGTGCCTGAGTTGAAGTCAGCTTTGATTAAGTAAGTCATTTCTTAGGAGTCAGAATTTACATTTACTTGTTGCATTTGAGGTGGACAATGACACATTGTGAATACTTTATGAACTTTCTTGGAATCAGGTACTCACATTCAGGACGAAATAATGATGTCGATCAGTCTTCTCATATGTTGACCATTGCAACTCGGGACTTATTCAACGAGCTTGATAAAAGTGTCAAGCCTGTAGCACCAATGCAATTTTGGATGGTACATTATATAGTGTTCTTTATAACTAATTATTCATTTTATAAAACTTATTTCTTATAATGTTTTTGGGTGGGAGTACCTCTTTAAATTTGAATTGTTACATTAACAAAATAGAATTGGGCATTGCTGATTGATGTACATGTTATTTTTTATATTGAAACGTTTTTCATGCCCATTTTTTGTGGCCAATATATTCATGACCTTTTTTATTTATCATCCGAAGTGGAGAGTCTTCACTGTTAGATATGATTTTAGGTATTTATTGATGTTTATTTTTGGGCATTTATGCTGTCTTGTTATTCTGTCATTTTATATTAGTCTTTGTCCGGTAATTTTTCAATGTTTGCTCTAAGCTTGCCTCACCTTTTTGGGATGGTGAATGGCCAGGTATTGCGGAAAAAATATCCTCAGTTTGGTCAGCTGCATAATGGAGTGTTCATGCAACAGGTTTATAAGTTGCACACCATCTTATGGAATTAGTTATGATTGATCTAGTGAATTTGTATACCTACATAATTTATTTTTCATGTCTAACAGGATGCTGAAGAGTGTTGGACACAACTTCTATACACACTCTCTCAGTCCCTCAGATCTCCTGGATCTAGGTAACTTTGTGCCTGTTTCATGGTAACTGAATGCAACTGTGCAGTATCATGCAACTAATGTTTATTGTTAAGGTGTCAGATATCCATTCTCTGTTGTTCTCAGTGGCATATTGGATCTTTCGAACTGTCCTGATTTCTCAATATTTTCTATTCACTTCTTTGCATTCAGAATATTTATTTCACTCTAGTAAAGTTTTTTTTTTTCCCAGTGATAACCCTGATGCAGTGAAGGCCCTATTTGGCATTGAACTTATTAGCAGGTACAGTCTAAGACTTTCTCACAACAATTGTTTGCTACTAATGTGCGATATGTTAATTACATCCACAAAGTACTCTATGCTTAATTTTTTGATCTCATTTATAGCATTGTTCTTGTAGATAGGTATCTAACTGGCTTTCCTTGGATGCATGAGAAAACAAGTAGTTTTTTTTTTTCTTGATTTAACTTGTAGACGTCTCATTGTCATCTTCTTTTTGCATCATTTTATTTTTGTATAAATCTCTGGTAGCCAGGTTTCAATTCTCATATGTCAATTGTTATCTTCTATGATTTCTTATCGGAAACTATTTTCTCTTGTATGCAAATTGTGTCAGCTACACTTCTTAGAGAAAACACATTATACATTTATTATGCTTTTAGAAATTAAACCTATTAGTTTATTATAATGTTGTAGCTAATGGAGTATAAATTAAGGCAGCATTTTACTCACTTCCTGAGGATGGTAACCATGCTAATAAAGAAATTGTTTGCTAGCAATGTTTTGAATTTGATGCACTTAGGAGTTAAGTTAATCTGCACATTATCAGCTTACAAGCGAAACTATCTATTCTATGATGCATTGGTTACATAATAAAATATTTATAAGAATAGATAATATGTATTTGATAAATATTTAATGCATTTTTATATTACTTTGTTTTCCTTTTTATGAAAAAAGTTCTTCAGAGAAATCAGGTATTAAGGAAATTCTTTTTAAATAATATTATCACTAAGTATAAGCTCAAATAAAATTCTATCTTTAAATATAACTTTAATCCCATGAATCCAAATAAGAAAATAAATTTATGAAATCAATTTTTGAACAGATTTTCGATTATTAATGTTCACCACTAACTTTACTTTAATAACTTAATTACAAAAAAAGTTAAATAAAAACCACTAATGGGTAGTCGATATCTGTTGCTGTGGATATTATACTGTCCTATTGGCTAGAAGTTAATTAAAATACCTGGGCCCTAATATAGGAATGCAATGAAATGGCATTGCATGGTTTAGATCATGTAAGGTAAATTCAGAACTTTGATTTGATCATTAGAGCTTGTAAGATTATGATTAAAAAAATTATAAATTCATAAAAAAATTTACATTTTTAGGTATTCTACTAACAGCACACACATGATAACAGGTGCATTTTTTTAATTTTGTTAAAAGTGAGTGCACATTGATTGCTATTTAAAGTTTTGAAAGACTAAAAAGGATGTGAACTCAAGAAAGATGAAAGAAATAAAAAAAGGTTATATAATCTAGAACATGACAAAATTTGGTAAGTTGCCTTGCTGTAATAATAATGAAACAGGTTTATAATTATATAGATTGGAGTATAGGAGCGTGTCAACTTTTGTATTTTTCCCCCTTTCATGTTTGAAGTGGTAACTTAGCTTGCTGGAGGGTTGAGGCTTTTATTGTAGTTTATGGACTATGTTTGTGTCCATGAATCTGCCACTCTTTTTGCTGGAAAGATTTTTTTTTTTCTATACGTATCTGCTTCCTTATGTAGCCATTTATTCCTTGTTTTATGGTGCATTTTGGTTAGTTCCATTTATTATGAATTAAGCGAGACAACAATTCACGTTTAGAAATCTTCTAAAATGCTTATTGATGTTCCTAAAATTGCATCCTATTTGTAGTCATTTTCAATTTTGTTTTGATAACTTGTTAGGATTCATTGTCAAGAGAGTAATGAAGAAAGCTCGGAAACAGAGTCTGTTTATTCACTTAAATGCCACATATCGCAGGAGGTGAACCATTTACATGAAGGGATAAAACATGTAAGTGCTAAGGCAGACATTTCACTTTACATCGAGAACACTAGTGTTTGTATGTTGAGAGGGGGATACACAGATTTTTTATTAGTGCTCGTGTCCCTTTTTCTATGTTTTTGTTTTTCTTGTCTATCCCTTTCATCCTCAATGCCTCTATTCCTCACTTCTTCTATTCCATACTCTTGCCAATTAATTTTCTTGTCATAGTTGTATAGTTATGCTATTAAACAGTGATGTGTTGCTTTGCTGAAATTTATTTATTCATTTTTTTTCTGTAATGTTTCCTTCTATTTTGATAAAATAATTGGCTCTTGAGAATCAGTATCTTCCAGTTTAGCTCTAGCACTGTTAGCCGTCCTGAGAAAAATAATGAGAAAATATACTTCAGAGAGCTTAATTTATGGTACAACACAAAATAACTTTTTAATAAAGCCTATTTTAACATTCTCTCTCAAGCTGAAACTTACAAATTGTATGTACTGGAGCAAACTAGATGGTGGCATTTTCTTTGTGGAACAAGGATGTCACAAGGACAGGCAAAGAGGGATCCACCGGTACCATCTTGAGAAATATAATGAGAAAAAATATATTTTAGAAAGTGTAATTTAGCCTCTGTTTAGATTTACATCCCTAGGATGTAAAGTAGCCTCCATTAGAGATGCAAGACGAGAGAAATGAAAACAAGTACATCCCTAGGATCCTAGGTCCAGTTAGGTACAATACAAAACTGTTTTTTAATAAAGCCTATTCTACCACCTGCAAATATATTTTCTTGGTTTTCAGAGGTTTTGGGTTTGGGCTGAGTATTTTGGGAGTGGGGGTAGACACAGGTGTTAGGTTGGTTCAAATAAAGAAATTGTTGGTAAATTTTTTCCTGTCTAGAAATTATGAACTGGTTAATGATGTTCAGGCATTAATGTGAAAAAACATGTTGACTTTATTAACCATTTGTATGGCTAATTATTACTATTTCTGACTTGGTAGTAGTATTATCTTTTTCTCCATTTCTTCCAAAAACTACTGCTAAATGAAAATTGAATTTTAGTTTGACATAATTTAGGTCTATCAAATTGTTTTATCTTATTATTTTTCGTAATGATGAATTTACTTGTAAACTTCTATTAACCTAGCTGACTTGTGTAGGGTTTAAAATCAGACTTGGAAAAGGCTTCGCCTGTATTGGGCCGCAGCGCTACGTACTTGAAGGAATCACGCATCAATGCCCTACCAAGGTTGATATTGTCTTTTAGAAATTATCTTTTTCTGGGTCCTGTTTTCTTTGTTGCCATATGATTTCAGTTGGATTTTGAACTATACAAGTACAAGCTACCTTCGATAGTATAACTTGCTTAAAAGGTCTAGACAAGATGCTAGTTAAGCTTGGTTTCACTTGATATTCAAAAACTGAGAAAAAGTGTTTTTAGGGGGCTTGAAGAACCCCTCTCATAGTTCTGTATTTATATAGATAAAAACTGATACAATAGGGAGATTACATTAAATGCACAGTCCTAGATTACTCCTCAGAACTAGGTGCAGAGATTATCTAACACTCAACCCCCTGCAGAGATTATCTAACACTCAACCCCCTGCAGAGATTATCTAACACTCAACCTCCTACCTTAGGTATAATGATTACATATTTTCTAATCTATTCCAACACTCCCCCTCAAGCTGGAGCATACAAGTTGTATGTACCAAGCTTGGAACAAATGAACTCAATCCGAGGTCCCCTTAAGGACTTGGTAAACACATATGCGAGTTGGTCATTTGATCCAACAAACTCAGTACATATTTCTTTTGTCAACAACTTTTCACGAACAAAGTGACAATCAATTTCTATATGTTTAGTTCTCTCGTGAAATACGGGATTTGATGCAATGTGGAGAACAACTTGATTATCACAATACATCTTCATAGTCTGGATATCACAGAAGTTAAGCTCTTGAATGAACTGCTTTACCCATATAAGTTCACAAGTTAGTGACGCCATTGCCCTATATTCGGCTTCAGCTGTCGATCGAGCCACTACATTTTGTTTCTTACTTTTCCATGAAATAATATTTCCTCCAAGGAAGACACAATATCCAGTGGTAGACCGTCTATCAACAGGTGAACTTGCCCAATCTGCATCACAGTACCCAGTGACCTGAATTCTTCCTTTATCTTCATATAACAATCCTTGTCCGGGAGCCTTTTTAAGGTACCTTAGAATGCGAATGATAGCATTCCAATGACCAGCACATGGAGTTTGCATGAATTGACTAACCACTCCAACAACAAAAGATAGATCAAGCCTTGTAATAGTGAGATAAATCAGTTTTCCGACCAGCCTCCTATATCTCTCTGGATCAGAGAATACTTCACCTTCTTCTGTTGTTAATTTCTTATTTGGGTCCATAGGACTCTCTACAGGTTTACAGTCAATCATACCTGTTTCTTGTAATATATCAAGAGCATATTTTCTCTGAGAGATTACAACTCCATCTTTTGATTGAGCTACTTCAATGCCCAAGAAGTATTTTAGGCTTCCCAAATCCTTGGTTCGAAAATGTCTGCACAAGTACTCCTTCAGTTGAGATATTCCAACAGTATCATTTCCTGTAATGACTATATCATCAACATATACTATTAAGTAAACACATTTACCCAGAGATGTATGACAATAAAAGACTTAATGATCTTCTTCACTGCGTCTTAGCCCAAATTTTTGAACAATGGAGCTAAACTTTCCAAACCAAGCACGTGGTGATTGCTTGAGGCCATATAAAGAACGATGCAATTTGCATACTAGTTCAGACTCCCCCTGAGCAACAAACCCAGGAGGTTGCTCCATGTAAATTTCGTCCTCAAGATCACCATGTACGAAGGCATTTTTGATATCTAATTGATGAAGTGGCCAGTGACGAATGACAACCATTGCGAAGAACAGACGAATAGTGGTCATCTTGGCCACGAGAGAGAAAGTGTTACAATAATCAAGGCCATAAACCTGAGTGTACCCTTTTGCAACTAACCGAGCCTTGAGCCGATCAACTGCACCATCAGGGCCGATTTTAACAACATATATCCAGCGGCAACCAACTGCCTTTTTGCCCGGTGGAAGGGGGACGAGCTCCCAAGTAGCATTATGGTCAAGAGCCTGCATTTCTGCAATCATGGCTTGTCGCCATCCAGGGTGATCAAGTGCTTCTTCCACATTTCTTGGAATAGCAATAGAAGATAATGAGGATAAAAGGGAACAATAGGAAGGCGACAATCGGTGATAGCTAAGAAAATTATAAATAGGATGTGGGTTTCGAGTGGAACGAGTACCTTTTCTCAGAGCAATGGGTCATCTTGAATCACCTCCACCAGGAGTCATGGTAGGAAGCGATGTTGGAGAAGAATCTAAAGTGGGGGATTCACCCTCGTCTTGGAGAACAGGACTAGCCATCGGGGTCCTATGATTGACAACATCAATTTGAGGGGAGGATGGTTCAGGAAGACTTGTATCACTACGGAGATCGATAGAGACATTGGAAATATTAGACTCAACTACTGGAATGGGAAGAACCTGCTGTATGACATGAACATCTTGAACAGAAGGAGAAAAGTAAGGAGTCTGTTCAAAAAATGTAACATTGGCAGACATGTAGTACTTCTTGGTTTCAGGAGAGTAACACAAGTGGGGGATTCACCCTCGTCTTGGAGAACAGGACTAGCCATCGGGGTCCTATGATTGACAACATCAATTTGAGGGGAGGATGGTTCAGGAAGACTTGGATCACTACGGAGATCGATAGAGACATTGGAAATATTAGACTCAACTACTGGAATGGGAAGAACCTGCTGTATGACATGAACATCTTGAACAGAAGGAGAAAAGTAAGGAGTCTGTTCAAAAAATGTAACATTGGCAGACATGTAGTACTTCTTGGTTTCAGGAGAGTAACACCGATACCCTTTTTGAAGGCGGGAATAGCCCAAGAAGACACATTTGATAGCACGAGCAGAAAGCTTGTCTAACCCGGGAGACATATCATGAACAAAACATACACAACCAAAAACTCGAGGAGAGGTGTGAAAGAGAGGATTATTTGGAAATAGAATGGAGAAAGGGATCTTATTAATGAGAGAGGAAGATGACATCCTATTAATAAGAAAACATGCAGTTAAGATGGCATCCCCCCAGTGATGGACAAGAATATGAGCACCCAGCAAAAGAGTACGTGCAGTTTCAACCAAATGTCTATTTTTTCTTTCTGCTATACCATTTTGTTGTGGTGTATGAGGACAGGTGGACTGATGCAATATTCCATGTGAACTCAAAACAGCATAAAAGGTGGATGAGAAGTACTCTTTAGCATTGTCACTTAAAATTTTGATTACTTGACTGAATTGGTTCTTGATTTCATTCAAAAAGGATGTAAAGATGGGTAACAATTCAGAGCGATCTTTCATAAGATAAACCCAAATACATCGTGAATATTCATCAATGAATGTAACAAAATATCGAAAACCAAAAGATGAGATGCGACTGGGTCCCCAAATATCAGAATGGATAATAGAGAAACTGGAAGTACATTGTGATTGAGACCGTTTAGGAAAGGTAGATCTAACATGTTTCCCTAGTTGACATGACTCACATTCTAAGGTCTGGAGACCACTAAGTTTAGGACACATTCTTTTTAATTTTGACAAATGAGGATGGCCAAGCTGATCATGTAACATTTTAGGGCTCGGAGTAGCAACACAGGACACACGTGGACGAGGGCCAAAAAGGTATAATCCTTCAGCTTCATATCCTTCTCCAATCTGTCTCCCCGAACCACGCTCCTGTATAACAAAAGATTTGTTATCGAAGGTTATTGAACAATTTAAGGTTTTGGTTAACTGACTTAAAGGAAATTAAATTGAAAGGACAATTAGGAATAAAAAGGACAGATTTTAGGCTTATGGAGGGTTATGAAATGTTGTTTTTCTTGAAAGGAAATGGTTGAGAACAAGGAGGTGGTTGAAAGGAAATGATCAGAAGCACCAGAGTCAATTACCCATGAATTTTGACCCTCCACAGGTTGAGAAATGCAAGCAGTTGATGTGTTGGCAGTTTGAGAGGTCTGTGCCAAGCTATTAGACTTCAACCGTAGATACTCTTGGTATTCGTCCTCAGTGAACTTGGAGTTGACGGTTTCAGCCTTCGAGAAATTGGCGGTTTTGGGAGGAAAACCATGCAAGGAGTAGCAGTTCTCCTGTGTATGACCCATCCTCTTATAGTAGGTGCATTGGGGACGTCCTCGACCTCCACGTCCTCCTCCTCTGGTGCCACGTCCTCCTCTTCCTCGTGTGGCAACCATGGCAGATGGTTCTACTAGAGCCAGAGCTTCCTGAGTCTCAGACATTGGTACACAAATCAGACATGTGATAAGGGTATCCATGGAAGGGACTTCATTAGTGGTCAGAAGTTGATCTCTGATATGGTTAAAGTCAGGATGTATTGCGCAAAGGATCATCACCATGTAATACTTGTAAAGCTTCTTTTTCATTTCATCCAAGGAATCGACTTCCAAGAACATCTTGAGTTCTTCCACAGCCGATTGGGCGTCATTCATAAATGACACCATATCATGATCTGTCATTTTTAGAGATGCCAGCTTATTTGCGGAATCGTAGAGATGTTGAATATCATTGGCATAAATGGTTTGAGCTTTCTTCCAAAAGGAGTGACAAGTTTTGAAGGCTCTAAGCGACATCAAAAGTCTTGGTTCCACTGATTGCCACAATAGAGCACATAGTTGAAAATATGCCTGTTTCCACTGTTCAGCTTTTTCTTCCGGCACATGGCTTCCGTCTTTTTCAAGGTGGTCGTGATGCCCCTGACCGAGAAACCACATTTCGACGGTAGCAGACCAAGATAGATAATTTTGTCCGTTTAGTTTTTCGGAAGTAATGGAGGGGCTTCCAGAGAATGAAATTGCAGCCATTTCTGATCAAGAGGACAAAAACCAGTGGGGGGGGGGGGGGCGAAAACAGCAAAGAAGTCCGAAAGCCCAAGAGTGATTTTCGCAAGGGTGACTACTGGACTTCACCGAAATGAAGAGGCGGCGCGTGGCAGAGAACGAGCTTCTGGGACTGACGAGGTTGGTTGTTGCACGGCGAGACGATTCAGATCCGGTGGTCACCGGCGAAAACTGGACGATCGGAGACGGTGGCCAGCAGCGGACGGTGGTCGGCGGCGGACAGCGGCAAAAACAGTGAAGGATACCACAGAAACAGGCAGAGCGGGATCGACCCGCTCTGATACAAACTTGATATTCAAAAACTGAGAAAAAGTGTTTTTAGAGGGCTTGAAGAACCCCTCTCATAGTTCTGTATTTATATAGATAAAAACTGATACAATAGGGAGATTACATTAAATGCACAGTCCTAGATTACTCCTCAGAACTAGGTGCAGAGATTATCTAACACTCAGCCCCCTGCAAAGATTATCTAACACTCAACCTTCTACCTTAGGTATAATGATTACATATATTTTCTAATCTATTCCAACAGTTTCTAAAGTGACTGTGCCAATATATGTTCCTCTAGTCTATATTGAAAATGAGTCTGTCTAATTTTAGTTCCTGTGAGCATGTGGATGGTCTTAAGTACCACTACTAGTAATGACTCATGAGACCTTATTTGAAAGAGTTGTTAAGATTCGATGGTATAACTAATGGTTTTTCTCATGGGTCATTTTTTAAAATATTGGTTTGAGTTTTGATGAAATTGTATGTCGGTATATTGGCCTTGCAGTTGTTCAAATGAAGATTGGTTGCTTCTTTGTCATATTTTATTTCTTCATTGGTAATTGCTGAGTGATGAGTTTTTCAACTTTTGCCTTTTCAAGGTATTTGACTGTTCAGTTCGTCCGATTCTTTTGGAAGAGGGAATCCAACCAGAAGGCTAAGATATTACGGGTAACATTCACTATCTTTCTCCTTTTGTTGTGTTTTTTTATAGTTTGTGATTGTTGTGTTTTGGCAAATTATCCTCAAAAGATTTTGGTTGCTTTCTGAAATTTATTTTACAATGTCACTGTGCTTGGTTATCTCAGAAAGTGGATTATCCTCTGGAGTTGGATGTTTATGATTTTTGTTCAGATGATCTTCGTAAAAAACTGGAAGCTCCTAGACAGGTATCCTCTTTGTCATTAAATATGAAAATGTTATGGTTGTTTGTAATAAAAAGATTTTTACTTTGTATAAGGTGTGGGTTTATATTATCATTTTGGATACTGTACCTTTAGATTCTAAGAAACGAGGAAGGCAAAAAACTTGGTCTGAAAGTGAATGAGAAAAGTTCTGCTCAGAAGGAAAATGATGTAAAAATGTCCGATGCTGAGGTGAGGAAACAGCCATAAATAACATAATTTTTTATATGCAGTAATTTTGACTCCCTTCAATTATTTCAATATTTGCTATCATAAGTATGGTGTAGTAGTATTTTCATCCCATTCTTCAGCAATAGAATTAGAAGTGGAGAATTGAATTGTTTTCTTTAAGATAATTTTTTGATGTGGATTTCGATATCCATGGCAGTATAAATAAAAACATGCTAGAGTCAGTATAAATAAACACAATCTCTTGCATTTTGCTTCGAGTCCATTTAATGCCCTTGTATATTCCACATGCTACAATCAGCATAAATAAACACATTCCCTTGTATTTTGCTTCTTTGATTGATTCAGGGATCATCGAATGGAGAAGGGGAGCCATCTGTAGTTCCCATGAATGAGGACGGTAAAAACCTGCAACCATCTACTACTCATTTATTTTATGCTGCTACTAATATAAAAATATATTTTAATTCTCTTTCTGCCTTTCACTCATCATTCTTCGTCTATAGGTGAAAAGGAAACACAGATGACAGGAATCTATGATTTGGTTGCCGTGTTAACCCACAAGGGTAGAAGTGCTGATTCAGGGCATTATGTTGGTTGGGTCAAGCAAGAAAATGGTTTGTTTTGGAGAATAGAATAGTGTTTGTACTATGTAACCATCTTTCCTGGTCCCTTTTAAACAATATTTAGTTTGTTGTTGGCAGGGAAATGGATCGAGTTTGACGATGACAATCCCAAACCAAAAGTGGAAGACGACATCACTAGACTATCGGGAGGAGGTGAGTATTACAGAATTATTTTGCGGATATCTCTTCTCCCTCCCCCTTACTCCCCTCCTCCTCAATATTCACCCGGTCACGATCGTTAATCTATATATCTAGCTAGAATTCCTCGTTCAATGATTTACAAATTTATTATTGTTTTAAGTTTTTGTTATTAGGAAATCACAAGGGCTTCTCTTCTTTCATAAACTTCAGATTTGTAGAATGTATGTTGACCTTATAAAAAAACGCTGTCATCTTTGTCTGCAGGTGATTGGCATATGGCGTATATAATCATGTACAAGGCTCGTGTTGTATCTGTGTAATTGCTAGGAATAGCACATTTGATGTTTTACCTCGGGATTGATGGATTGTGGGTCACTAATGGTGTATACGGATCAGTGTGGTTCTCCTGAGGTTTGATGCTTGTTAGTCGGTGTTTATTTTAGGTATTGTATTTTTTAAAGGATTTTTTAAGGATTTGAATTGAATCACGGTGTGGTACCCATCCTGAATCTTTGTCCTTACACTATCAGCTGGGTCCAAGAGGCAGTTGTTTTATGATGAAGCCTAGTCTATTTCTTTGATACGCGAGAGTAATGTCCTTTATGAAATGCTTAGTGATCAAATATGTTTTCACTGTTAGTGATGACATACAGGCTGAATTTGTTTAATTTGATATTATGACAAGTGAATCATTTTTTTTTATAATTTAAAGATCTTTCCATTTGAATCTGTTCGGTTTATATTAATAACCCTAAATAAGCTATTGAGTATTTTTTATTATGGTGTGTTTGTGTATTTACAATTTACTTTTATTAACATATCATGCGGAAATATTACACATTTTTTCAAGACAGTGAAATTAATAACTAGTTTTTTAAATGAAAAACCATGTTAAGAATGTATTAGGAATGGTAAATATTTTTTCATGAGCTCTTTTAATGGATAATATTTGTTACATCTTTAGCTTTTTCAAGCTTTTTAATTAACATGCATATTCTTCATTATTGATGAATGGCGATGAATGACTGATCATTGTACTTGCCTAGATTGTCTTCATTATTGATGATATTTATTCATCATCTTGATATTATCATATTATATGAAATTGAGTTGTTTGATTTAATACTTTTTTTTTCTTTCAAATTCTGAATTTTTAATATTCTTTTCTTGATATTCTTCATTTGGTAATTGCAAACTAACAAGATTAAATAAAAATTATTATAATATTCTTACTCAAAATAGTGTATTTATGAAAATAAAAACTATTTTAGTAAAATTATTTAAAATGTAAAACTTGAGTAATTATGAAATGAATATTAGTTCTTTGAAATGGAGTTTATATATTTATTAAGAAACTTTTTCTCTTTATCTATATCTATCTATATATAAATTTTTTTAGTTATATTTATATTTTATTATTAAATGTGCAATATTATACAACATATGTAATTCAAATTCAAATTAAGTAAAATGTTATCCTTTTGCATGTATTAAATGTTTAATTAAATTTGTCTAAGAAAATTACATTAAAGTATTTTTCAAAATAATATTAATTTTTTATTTAAACATAATAAATACTTTTTAGTATACTACTATTTTTATATTTTTTATATAAATCATATTTTTAACATTCCTATAAAATATTTAAAAAAGAATACTTTTTTCTCATTATTTTTATGAATAATTATGTTATAATCTATAAAAAAAAATAGATCTTTATATCATTGTTGTAAAAAATTACCCTGGGATTAAAAATAACAGTTGAATAGCTCTTTGTATATATATATATATATATATATATATATATATATATATATATATATATTAAATTTAAATAATTTAGTTGTTAGATACTTGGATAATATCTAAAGAATAACAGTTCAATAACTTACAATAGTTTTTTAAGAAAAAGGGATATGCAGTATCTTACCACTCATATCAGTAGCATGGAAATGGAAACTTCTGCAGAAGTCTATATTCTCGGTCAAAAGTTGCAAGTCTGCAACACAAAATGATTACAATTTTGCAAGAAAACACTGAATAATGTTGGTGAGATATATATTTTGAATCTGGTAAACACAGTAGATGATGATAAAAAGGAATAAAGTCTTCTTGTTTTCATGAAATAAGTAAATGGTCAATGTTGTGCATACAGGGTACAAACTCTAATTTTCTGCAAATCACTATATCCTCAACATTGGCAAAATCCAGAGAAATGATTACCATATACATGAAATTAGACTAACTTGGGACTTCAAAGCTTGCGAATCGAATGAAAATTCTTCTTGGCTTCATTCTCAGGCATTGAATTTGAAGAAGTTTTTCCTTGACCAGAGTCCTCATTATCAGAGGAAGGCCTGACATTCAAAACAAACTCCTGTATGATTGCATTCTGAGGTATTATTGAAGAGGAGTTGCTTCCTTGGCCAAATTTACTCTTTTTGCATGAAGAGTTGACATTCAAATCATGCTCCTCTGTGATTGCATTCTGAGGTATTATTGAAAAATTGATGCTGCTTCCTTGGTCAACTTTCCTCTTAATTAAGCTTGGCCTCCTTCCTATGAGGCCTCTCTATGATTGCATTCTTATGCCTTATTGAAGAATTGTTTTCTTTGCAAAAACCCCCGGTATGACATAAACTATGATGTGATGAATGTGATTGTGAGCTTGGTGGTTCTTGTGTAACTGTAGAAGAAGATACCTTAATTTGACCAGGTCTACTCGCTTGGGTCATCAAAGGGTGAAGCTGATGCATGGCATTCTGAAATGTTGATGAATGATTGTTTTCTTGGCCAAAACATAAACGACTACAAGAAGAAAAGAAAACTTGACCAGATCCATTCCATTTAGCCATTGAAGAGTGAAGCTGATTCATTTGACTCTGGTGTCTTGTTGAAGAATCACTTTCTTGGCCAAAACATAACCTATAATGTGAAGATTGTGGCTTTGAATCTGAATCTAGTGGTTCTCTTGTAACTGCAGTTTTAGTATGCAAAAGTTTGTACTGTGGATTAGGTCCATTCCCTTGAATCTCATAAGTTTGGACCACACGTTTGGTGGTGGTTTCAACTATTCGAGTCTGCCAAACCTCGTACTTTGGTCTTGGAACAATAAGAGTCATGGATTGTGGTGAAACACCTTTTGTTTTGCCACCAACCCCACCAGCTTGGTTTGCATTAGAAGGAGAAGGCACACCAAGATTCTTCCTTTGTGCTTCTCTTTGAGCCATGTGAACATTCTCGTGTTCAAGCCAGGCTTGGAAATCAGTGAAAACCCTGATACAAAACTGACAAGAAAACATCTTTCTTAGTGAAGGCTTCTTCTTGCTCAGCACCACACGCAGTATTAGAGTTTCTCTGGGAATTGTTAATGCTCTTTTGTTGGATATGTCTTACATACCATCTTAAAATATTTTGAAATGAAAAATTGATATGATTTCTATTAAAATAATATATTTTATTTATAAAAAAAATTTAAACAAAAGATATTTTTTATTTTAGTTGTTTTTTGTTTAGTTTTTGTCTTTTTAAAAAAAGATAAAACTTTTAGTTCGTGTTATCAGTTAAGATTAGTAAAAAAAAGATTTATAAGGATTGAAATAAATAAATAAATAAAATTATCTTTTGGGACTAAAATAAAAAATAATATACATTTAGTTTATTACTGTGATAATAAAAAAATTAAATAAAATAGTTCTCAATTTTTTTATAATAATAAATGTTAAAAAGTGATCAAAACCATTTTAAAAGATAAAAATTAAATTAGAAAGATAGCTTGAAGCCGTAATGCAGTTTTTTTTTAATTAAATTGTCATAATATCATGCTTTCAAGGAAAAAATATGAGTAATTATTGCACATAAATGATATTAATGTTTTTTCAATTTAGTTATTTTTATCAATTAATTCATTTTAGTCTAATAGTTTATCATTTTTATAAATAGGTGTTTTTTATTTTCTCCTTCATAGATACATTAATTTATGTTTTTAATTCTTATAAACATGTGTTTTTTTTCTAAAAATATAGAAATTTTGTCTTAATCCCATAAACAAGGTACTTTTTTTTTATTTTTTTTTAATTAGTTCTTGTAATATTACATACGTGAAACTTTTAATAATGTTATCATTATTAATTAAGTCTGACAAGAAGTTACAGTAGATATTAAAAGAAAAAAATATTAAAAAGCACAAAAACTAAAATAAAAAAATATCATAACTAAAACATTACAATATTATAAGCATAAAAGTTAATTAAGCCTTTATTTTTATTTTTTATTACATGCTAATTTTGTTGTGCTAAAAGTTAACAAGTTTTTATACATCTTAAATCAACATTGTTACGCTAACTTTACTTGATTTTTTTTTAATTAAAATAAGTTTTGTTCTACATTTCTCAAATTAAATAAATAAATAAATAAAATGTCAAGATGTACAGATTATTAGCTGTTAATGCTCATTGTCTTTCTTTCTCTGTTAAACATATTAAATTAAATAATAAAATGTATTTCTACTTAAAATATATATAAATTAATGTATTTATAGTAAACAAAATATTTTTTTCTCCTAAAAAATAATCAAAATGAGTATATTTATGTTATTATAAAATGTCCAAAATTGAAATTTGCCTAAAAATACTAAGAATGTTACAACCACCACAAGATAAATGAAGTAAATGAACTTCCTTTCCTTAACATGCACTTGCAAAAGTTCAAATGATAGTATTAATTTCTACAAAAGTATAATCAACATTCAAATTTACACGGTATTACCAATTTTCAGTTCCAGTGATAATTTTCTACACAGTTGATGATGATGATCAGAAAGAACAAGTTTTACTATGTTCAAGAAGATGACTAAACTGTCCAAAATATGCATATCATAAAAAAAAAACTCTAATTTCCTAAATTTTCAATCTCATGCATATCACTAAATCTCTCAACATCAGCATAGTTCAAATCTTGAGAGTCAGATCAAGTTTCTCCACCGCTCCATTCTCAGGCATTGAAATTGGACAAGAATTGTTTTCTTGGCCAGAATTCTGAGGTATTACAGAAGAATTGCTTGTGGGCCCAAAATTCCCTTCATGACATAAACAAGGATGTGATAAATGTGGTTGTGATGGTCCTTCTGCAACTGTAGGAGAAATCAAAGGTTGATGTGATCTGTGGTGTTGATGAGATCCATCACTCCCTTTAGCCATAAAATTGTGGAACTGATGCATGGTGGGTTGAACATGATTGAAAGTGTGGTGCCCTGACCATGGAACATGATTATGATAATAGTCACGTTTGAGTTCCATATGAGGCCAGATATGGTGGTGAGGCTTAAAACGAGTCATAGATAGTAGTGAAACCCCTAATGTTTTTCCACCAACATATGAATATTTACTATAATAATCAGAAACCATGCTGAGGAACTTCCCGTTTTGTGTTGCTGCTCTCTGTACCTTGTGTGCATAGTGATGTCCCCCCAAGGCTTGGTAATTACTGAACTTCTTATCACAATACCTGCAAAAGAATTCCTTTTTCATTGTTGGTGGCATATCTGGTGCTGCACCAGAAACTTTTCCATGGTTGGTTTCTGCTTCATTGTTGCTACTTTCTGCCGCAAGAGTGTTTTCCATATCATCGCAGTTGCCAAGATTGCTTCCAAACTTCTAAGGTTCTTCTTGCGCAGCATCATACAATAATGCCTCATAAACTCTTACTTGTGCAAAACTATTTTACAAGTGACTTATATATAACAAGTTTTTCTTCAAGCTAGTAATCATTTCAAGACATTAATGATAGCTATTTTGCATTGATAATTTTGAAACATTTTTTGATATAAGCATGTCTTAATTGTGATGTTTGTTATCCTCCTATAGTGTTCATCAATTGCTTGGCCTATTATCATGTGAAAGATTGTTAGACGGATTCTTGCTAATTGTTAGGTTAACTGATAATTAAATATGATCTTCAATCTAACGATCAAACATATATATAATCCCATACTGTAAACATGTTATAAACTAAATGCGAAAGCGTACCTGAATTAGCCATAATGATGATATCCTTTGTAGACCACTTTTAATTTGATCTTATGGTCTTCCACCTGAAGAGCACCTGTATTTTCCTCTTGATTTTCTCTCTTGATGGGGATAGAAAGAAAAGAACGGGACTGTAACTTCGTTCTGTCTACGTGCTCCCAGAAGGAGACCATGACCCCTTAAAATAACCAAAATTAGGTTAATTACTTAAGTTTTAGTATTTCCAATTTGGCCCCTCATCAAATTAGAAATTACTCTATGGTCTCTACACAATTTTATTTTCATGACATATGCCTTTAGCCAAACCTTTTTAATTTAGTCAGATCACTTTATTATTTGGCTTAATAAATAATGACCCTAACACATTTAAATATGTATCATATATATACATGACCCAAATTTTGCCAACAATCTCCCATTGGTCATAAATATATATGTCCTTACAACCTCACAAATATGTTAGATTTTATGAGCTCAAAATTGTCATTATATTCCTTTAGCATATTCCAAAAGTCCTGTCCATTAATCATATCAGGATATAGAACCAAACCAGTTTTTCATTGCATCATCGCAACTAAAACCAACAAGATTACTCATCCTGACATAACCAAATGACATGGATTCATCATGAAATGTGTAGCATGAAAAGTTACGTGAAGGTGATCTGTACACGTCTATTTTCAACTGGTCCAAACTTTAACTTATCGAGATCGATATAATAACCTTAATGTACAAAGTGTAATGAATGAACAAGAAAACCGCATATATATAGATAACCAAATATGTCCAAAAACAATGTATACATATATAAAATTAAACATAGAACATAAAATATATGAAAATGACTAACTCCCACTAAACCACAAATTCCTCAAACTGTAAAACACCCATGTGAGCAACATGCTCATGAAAGACCTTGGGCGGAAGTCCTTTAGTTAGAGGATCTGCTATCATGGAGTTTGTCCTTAAATGTTCTATGGAAATCTGTCCACTTTGTACTCTTTCATTAACAACTAGGAACTTAATGTCGATGTGTTTTGACTTAGTCGAACTTTTGTTGTTGTTAGAATACAATACAGCTGATTTGTTGTCACAATATAACTTAAGTGGTCTTTCAATGCCTTTCACAATTTGCAGCCCTGTGACAAGATTTCTCAACCATATTCCATGATTCGACGTCTCATAGCATGCTACAAATTCTGCTGCCATAGTGGATGAAGCTGTAAGGGTTTGCTTGACACTGCGCCAAGAAACCGCACCACCTGCTAACATGAAAATGTAACATGAAGTGGATTTCAAACTATCTTGACATCCTGCAAAGTCCGAGTCAGAAAACCCAGCGATCTCCAACTGGTCTGACCTCCTGTATGTGAGCATGTAATCTTTTGTTCTCTTTAAATATCTCATGACCCTTTTTGCTGCTTTCCAATGGTCCATTCCTGGATTGCTTAAATATCTGCCTAGAACCCCAACTATGTATGTTATGTCTAGACGCGTACATACTTGGGCATACATCAAACTCCCTACAGCTGATGCATAGGGAATCTTTTGCATTTCCTCAATTTCCAAATTTTCCTTTGGGCATTGATTGAGACTAAACTTGTCTCCCTTAGCAACTGCAGTATCCCCGGATTTACATTCATGCATGCCAAACCTTTTAAGAATTTTTTCGATATAGCTCCTTTGTGATAATCCTAAAATACCCCGACATCGATATCGGTGTATCTGAATTCCTAATACAAAAGACGCATCACCAAGATCTTTCATTTCGAAATTCTTTGATAAAAATTTCTTGGTTTCGTGCAATATGCCTATATCATTAGTGGCAAGTAGAATGTCATCAACATACAAAATCAGGAAAATATACTTACTCCCCTTAAACTTGTGATATACACAATCATTAACAATATTCATCTCGAAGCCAAATGAGAGAATTACTTGATGAAATTTATAGTACCATTGACGAGATGCTTGTTTTAGTCAATAAATGGATTTTGTCAATTTGCAAACCATACTCTTTGAATCTCCCTGCACAAAATTTTCTGGTTGCACCATATAAATCGTCTCATCAATGTTGCCATTAAGAAACACCGTCTTGACATCCATTTGATGAAGCTCCAAATCATAATGTGCTACAAGAGCCATGATTGTCCTAAATGAGTCTTTCGATGAAACTGGAGAGAAAGTCTCTTTAAAGTCAATCCCTTCCTTTTGGGTATAGCCCTTAGCTACCAGACGAGCCTTATATCTTTCCACATTACCTTTAGAATCCCGTTTGGTCTTAAATATCCACTTGCAACCAATGTGTCTCATACCTTCTGGTAATGGGACAAGTTCCCAAACCTTGTTGTCTTGCATGGACTTATACTCCTCCTTCATTGCCTCAATCCACTTTTCAGAGTTAGAACCTTGCATGGCTTGACGGAAGTTAACTGGGTCATCTTCCATCATACCATTGTTTTCCTCGTGTTCCTGAAGAAATACCATGTTATCATCCGAAATAGCACTTCTTCTTTCTCTAGTGGATCTCCGCAAAGTTATTGGCTCATGATGCACCAGTTCTTGAGGATCTTGAGTTTGTTCTTCATGAACAACCAAATCATCTTGAGTAAGGGGTTCATTAACAATGCCTTGTGGAGGTTCCGAACTTACTTTATCAAAAGTAACTGTTTGAATCGGTTCTGGAATTGTTACCGATTCTTCCTCTAAGACAAAGTTCCTGATTTTATTCTTCCCCCCAAACTCAATATCCTCAAAAAACGTAGCAGTTCCCATCTCAAAAATTGTTTTTAATGTGGGATCATAAAATTTATATCCCCTAGATCTTTCAGCATAACCAATAAAATAACTACTTACTGTTCGTGAGTCCAATTTCTTTTCATTTGGTTTATAAGGCATTGCCTCAGCTGGACAACCCCACACATGGAAATGCTTCAAACTAGGTTGTCGCCCAGTCCAAAGCTCATAAGGTGTTTTGATCGCTGCTTTAGTTGGTACTCTATTCAGAATATAAGTTGTCGTCTTTAGTGCCTCTCCCCAGAGTGACTCTGGTAAGGTGGAATGACAAATCATACTCCTGACCATATCTTTAAGAGTTCGATTTCGTCTTTCAGCTACATCATTCATGCTAGGTGATCCCGGTATGGTATACTGTGGGACAATTCCACACTCCTCTAGGTACCTGACAAAAGGTCCTGGACGCTGTTCACCTAACCCGTCAAATCTACCATAGTACTCACCACCACGATCAGATTTGACAGACTTAATTCTTTTATTGAGTTGATTTTCAACTTCAGCTTTAAATGTTTTGAACACGTCTAGAGATTGTGACTTTTCATGTATAAGGAATAAGTATGCATATCGTGAGTAAATCGTCTATGAATGATATAAAGTATTGTTGACCATTCCACGAAGGTGTAGGAAATGGTCCACAAATGTCCGTATGTATCAACTCTAAGACGTCTATAGCTCTATATGCACCTAATATCTTCGCTTTGGTCTATTTGCCCTTAATACATTCAACACAAACATCAAAATTTGTGAAGTCAATGGACTCTAAGATTCCATTTAACACAAGTCGTTCAACTCTATTTTTAGAGATGTGACCTAAGCGCCTGTGCCATAATGCTCCTGAGTGAGTATCATCAATTTTACGTTTAGTACCCCGTGATTTTGTATTAAGGGTTTCATTATAGGTGGTCACATTATCAAGTAAATACAAATTATCATAAGGCAAAAGTGAACTAGTTCCAATAATATCTGAATTAAAAGACAAACTGAACTTATTGTTTCCAAATGAACACAAATAACCTAATTTGTCCAGATAAGAAATTGAAACCAAATTCCGTCTAAATGACGGCACAACAAAAGTGTCTTTCAAATCCAAATAAAAACAAGTACTCAATAACAATTTAAAATGCCTTATGGCTTCCACCTCTACCGATTTGTCATCTCCAACATATATCCATCTTTCAGAATCAATTGGTTTCCAGTAGCTTAAGCAACCCTTCATAGAAACACTGATGTTAGTAGTTGCACCTGAGTCTAACCACCAAGTGTTACTAGGTATCGACGCTAAATTGACTTCGAACAGTACCAAAATAGGAAACATACTTTTGAGGATCGAACATAATTTAAATTGGCAGATATAGAAACAATTGTAGCTAATTAAAAACAAGAGAAATAAATTAATTATACTCACATTATAAAAATAAATAATTATAAATAAAATATATATTCAAATAATGGTTTAACTCATCTCAAGACACCCAATGCACCATTAATATCAAGTCTTTAGACAAGTAATATTAACTACTAGAGATATCTTGTTATAATAATCAAACATTGACAATAAAACACGTCCAACAACAAACCAGTCTTTGGATTGATTTATCATCGACAAAACAAATCTTTATAATTATCACATGTTTATCATTACAAGTGTATATGCAATTCGGTCAAATATTAATTTTCCTTTGGGCCGACTAATACTCGCATGAATATACACAAACACTAACATTTAATATTTTTCACGAACTACCCAATTCAAGAGATGTTACTTTGGTAACTTCTTGACTCAATTTGCTCACAAAAACATTAAACTACCAAACAAATTAATATTTTATTTATATAATAAAATCAAATATATATAACGTGGGAACCTCCGTGTGGCCCTGCTCCCTCGTCCTCGTCAAATTCGCGGAGCGCTGGGCCCCACCAATGGACAACAACCCCTACGCCCGCGTCCTGGACTTCGGAGGCAAACGGGCCATGGAACTGGGCACGGGCTGCGGCGTGGCGGGCATGGGCATGTTCCTATTGGGCCTAACGGACTTGGTGGTCACTGATATCGCGCCCGTGATGCCGGCCCTGAAGCGCAACCTGAAGGTGAACAAGCGCATCCTCCGCAAGACCCTGAAACACTGCGCCACGACATAACTCCACAATGCCCTTTCTACATCAGATGGGGTAAATGAGTCCACTTCTAAACTTAGTTCCTTCGCTTTCATCTGCAACTTATCTACGAATTTTAGATATTGCTTCAGCGAATAATCTTTTGAGTTTCCAAGAGCTGCCTCCATTTTCCTCAACTACGCCACCGGTTGCATCTTCGAGTACGATTTCGATCATCCTCTCGGATCTTGAATCGGCTTCAAAGAACTGGACACTCCCAATTTCACCGGTTCCTTTTACTCTAAGACTAAAGCCATGGTAGATGATCTTCTTAAGAACTTCGATAATGTGTGTACCTTGCGAGTGAGGACGCCTATCTCGTCTAATTTGGGAATTTGAGAATTTACCCCAAATTCGAAACTAAGTTTAAAATTTGGGAATTTACCCCCAAATTTAAATTTAGGGTTTATAGAAAATAGAGAGTATTCTCCACTTAGGGTTCTGAATTGAATAGAATCTTTGATAATTGTAATTTCCAAAGACAAACATGAAACAAGTATGAGTTGTTCTGATACCATTGTTAGGTTAACTGATAATTAAATATGATCTTCAATCTAACGATCAAACATATATATAATCCCATACTGTAAACATGTTATAAACTAAATGCGAAAGCGTACCTGAATTAGTCATAATAATGATATCCTTTGTAGAACACTTTTGATTTGATTTTATGGTCTTCTACCTGAAGAGCACCTGTATTTCCCTCTTGATTTTCTCTCTTGATGGGGATAGAAATAAAAGAACGGGACTGTAACTTCGTTCTATCTACGTGCTCCCAGAAGGGGACCATGACCACTTAAAATAACCAAAATTAGGTTAATTACTTAAGTTTTAGTATTTCCAATTTGGCTCCTCATCAAATTAAAAATTACTATATGGTCTCTACAAAATTTTATTTTCATGACATATGCATTTAGCCAAACCTTTTTAATTTACTCAGATCACTTTATTATTTGGTTTAATAAATAATGACCCTAACACATTTAATATATATATATATATATATATATATATATATATATATATATATATATATATATATATATATGACCCAACCGTTCTTGCTAATTGATTACCTGAAACAATAGAACAAAAGTTTCTGGTCATTTTTTTTTGTACTTTAACCTCAATTTCAATTTCTCAGAATCTTTTGTAATTAATGATATTTTCTGATAAGAATATGATGTCTTACTGGAACCAAAGTAACTCGTTAGAATCCCCAAGACCAAAATTAAGTTTTATATATATATATATATATATATATATATATATATATATATATATATATATATGATAATGGGACAATAAATTTTTAACATTTTCTTAGTTTATTAAAGTATAGTACACGTTATGTTTCATACATAAAAAACAAATTATGTTAAGATATATTATCAAAATAGATTTACGTGCGTGAAAAAGTTGATAATAGAATCAGACTGAATAAAATAAATTGATATTTAATTGAATAAAATAAATTTAAGCGGACTTAAATTTATTTTATAAATAATAAATATTATTTTTATTATATATATATATATATATCAATTACATATAAAAATAAAATTAATTTCATGATTTAAATGTTACAAAATATTTTTTATTTTATTAAAATTTTACTAGTTTGAATCTAAAAAAAGGCGACCGGAAGAATTCGGATTAATGTATAGTAGTAGTAAACGAGGGATTCCATGATCAACGTCATAAGATGAAAAAAAAAAACAAAAACACGATTTCATGAACTTATGCTTTGACGCTTAGTTCGTTTCTTAACGGGAGAAGGAATTAGGTGTGTGATTTCCACCACCGCGGATTAACCGCTAACCTTACCTTTCAGGTAATTTTCTTTCTCTCAGACCGTCAAATTTCGGAACTTTCACCTGCTTCTTTTCTGATGTTGATTGGCAGAAGCTTGCTTTTTGCTGAACATCATCTTCGTGTGGAGATTTCTATATGTTGTTTTTCTGTTTCATTATGAGCTATCGTATGAGGTAGGTTATAGGTTTAACTCTAACTAAAGTTTAATTTTTTGGATTACTTTGGTGTAAAAAATTTTAGCTTTGGATGGGAAGTTAATCCCTGAAAACAAAATGAAGCCCTAAATATCAAGGGATTACAAATTGATCTAAAAGTGTTGGTTTTGTAAGGTGTGTGTGTAGTAAAGGTGTATTTTTTGCCTTCCCTGCACCCTATTAAGTCATTTTGATTCACCTGTAGTAGTGGTTCTTCTGTAGCACTTGCATATGATTTAACATGGTCTCCGAGTTTTTGTTTTTTTCTGCTGTTGTAGTTGCTTTCAGGCTTTTTTTTGCAGTGAAGCAATGGAAAGGGACCTGATAACGAATCTTCCGAAAACAATTCTTCATGATATTCTGTCAAGGCTGCCAGAGAAAGAAGCTGTTAGGACAAGTGTTTTGTCCAAGGCGTGGGCTGAAACGTGGTCCACGTTTCCCATCTTGTATTTTTCTGATACTAAAATTATAGGGACATTTCCGCAGCCCCGGCAGGAGTTTTTGAGGAAAAGAAAGAACTTCATTGATCATGTGAGGAGAACATTGATGAGGTTCCATGACCAGGGCTTAGCAATCAAGGAATTTAAGCTCATTATAAACTGTTTTGACCTTGAGTACATGTCCCGGGATGTTGATTATTGGTTGAAGTTGGCTAGTGAACGTTGTTTTGGGGTACTTGAACTTTGCCTGCCTGATGGCCCTGAGCAGGATGAGGAAGGTCAGGACCGATGCTATATCTTGCCAACTGGTATCATTGAAGCCAAATCACTTCATAAGTTAGTGTTGATGGGGGGCATTAGAGTTGATCAAGCGTTCCGGAATCATTCAGTCAAGTTTTTCTCATTGCGAGTATTGTCATTGTGGCTTGTCCTTTTGGGAGATGAACAGGCGATTGAGCATCTCATTTCTTGTTGTCCTTTGATTGAAAGTATAACTTTGAAGTGCTGTTCTGTATTAAGCCGTGGTGGCATAGGTGGTTTACATGAGTCCAGGACCTCTAGGATGAAATCTATAAGCATGCTTGGTCTGCCAAAGCTCAAGAAAGTTGATGTTCAAGGAATGCAGGAGGTAATCGTTGATGCTCCAGGTCTGGAGTATTTCTGTTTTTGTCCTGGTGGAGATGTGCATGCACCTTATAATATCAATTTTGACAAGTGCAGAAATTTGAAAGGACTATACTTATGGTCATTGAAGAGCTCTATTATCAACGACAAGTGGTTTCTTGATCTGTTTCCCAAATTTCCTTTCCTTGAGAGTTTGAAATTTGTTAATTGCACAATGTCTGAGACGATTAATATTTCGAGTGCTCAACTAAAGGTCTTGGACTTATCAAATTGCTCCAATTTGAATGAGATTAACATCGATGCTCCAAATTTATTGACATTTGGATATTGTGGTGAGGGTGCCTCAAAACCTATTATATCCTTTCTGAAGAGTTCTGGTCAACTGGAAGTCAATGTTTTGATCCACATTGATTGTATGGATCTTGGTAACTTGAGGGAATTCATCCAAAATTTCAAACCTCAAAATGTTTTGACATCACTGTCCCTATTTATCCACCAGCCAATTGTAGTAAGTATAGAAAAGTGACTTCATAGGTTCATTCCATTTGTATATTTGCTTATTTGTTAACAGATACCCTGGATTGTGTAGGATGAATTGAACTTAGATTTCTTGCCAGTTTCATCTACTCCACCAAGCATCAAACACTTGGACTTACGCTCTGTCCCGAAAAATAAAACTTTTTACTCGCGGCTTGTCAATGGTTTACTTTCAAGTTGCTGTCCTGCAACTATTTCATTGAGCCTGCATTCATTTTTCTGTAGCAGAGAATTCATTGAGGTATGTCATGTTGCCTCCAAGGTTTCTTTCATCTAAATCCATGCTTCCTGCAGTGAGTCTTGTCGTATAAATTGTGGATATCCTGTCCTAACTTATGGAAGAAGAATAAGTCTTGCCATGTGGTCATAGTATATTATACATGTTACATATTTACTGAAAGGATTTTATCTATATAAATGTTTCTGCTGTGCTGTTTGAAAAAAATTGAATTGAATTAAACTAGTAAGGACTGAACACTGCATTAAGAAAACTGATTTGTTTTGAAAGAAAAAAAAACACTGAACTGAACTATTCTTCTAGTTTAATGGCTTTTGTTCACCCCTAATTTTTTTACTCTTTGTTAATCGTCTTGTACTACAGTTTTTCTATGAGACGCTAACGGGCAGAAAAGAGGATGAGTGCTTTTGCAGTTCTGGTCATACCAAGTGTTGGTGGCATGGCTTGAAGGGTGTTAAAGTCTCAAGCTCTGTAAAAACCGATGAGAAAGTCGATTTTAAGACTATGTTAGAGGCATTGCCAACTTTTTCACCACAGGAAAATATTAGTTTTAGATTAGAATTATAATGCTGGTATCTATAGATAAGCTGCTTACTCATGTTGAAGTTTGACATCGCTACAAAATGAGATGAACATCTTCTTTATTCTATTTGAGTTTAACCAAAGCTTGTGTATGCATGCCCAGAAACTTCGCTGAAATATACAAGCATGGATGAAGTATGGCTTTGGTTTTTGCTTTATGGTGTTAGCTTTGATGATTTCTTGCCTTATTGCATGGTGAATTGTAATGTGTTTTTGTTTGTTCTTGTTTTTTGTGTATCTCAGTTATCTTTCTAGTTCTCACTCGTCTTAGGATGAATGTTTGATTGGTAAATCGTGTTCAAGGCTTTACCAAATGGTTTCATTCCATGAAAATGCCAATGCTAACTCCAATAACAACAGTAATGCTGTTGAATGCTAAGCTTGATGAGTTCAAATTGATGTCAAATGAAATTCAGATTATCAGTTGAATCCTTTTTTTTTTTTGGTTCAGAAGTGCTTTTGGTTGGTGTTTGAATATTTGTTAGTGTGTAATGTGTAAAAAAAGGTAAGAAAAGAAGAAAAGCAATGAACTTCACCAGCATCAATTTATGAAAATACTAGAATATATTTTATTTTTTATTCTTTAATTTTGTAATCATTTCATGTGAAGGATAAAATGGTAATTAATCGTAACACAAATTTTTATTCTTTATTTTTTTGGATCAGACTTCTGACTCAATCAAATCTCTACATCTGAGCCGTTGATGGTCAGATTGCATCTGATTATAAAAGAATGAAATCTAAATTAATCAATTTTTATTAGTTTAATTTGATTTGAAATTATAATTTTTTTATAAAATATAAACTATCTAACCTAAATAAAAAGGGATTAATTCAGATTAAACCTATGTAAAACTTTATTTTATAAAAAAATACGATATTATAGAAAATGCTAAAAGTTAGAAATATGTTTATAATTATACCATAAAACTCTAAGCATAATAATTAATAATAAAAGGATAATACGATTAGTTTGAATTGGATAATCACACGTGCAGTTGAAACAAATAGACTTAATTAATTTAGTTTGAAATGGATCCAATTGAATTAAAAATCCTAACTGAATCAATTAATTTTGTTTGAATTCTCATAACGTTAAGACAAACACAACTAATGGTCATCTTTTAATGTGTTTGGCCTTATGCCCAATATTAGTAGATATCTCTCACAATTTTGATCACATTCTTATTTTTATTAAATATATAGAAAAACATACATTTACTTACTCTAAAAATAAGAATTAGAGATTTACTTTTTATTTTTATCATTCCTTTGCTTATAATTTAATAATTATGATAAATTATTATTTTAAATTTTACTTATGATTTGAGTAAATAAATCTATATATCTAAATAAAAAATATTTATTCCTGTATTTAACCAGTCATGAGACAGTTAAGCATTATAATGGTCAATATACTTGATTGAATAGTCATTTACTAATATTTAAGTACCAACTTATTTTAGGATTCTCAAAAATTATTTGAAATATCTACTTAATAGATAAAGATAAATATCCCAATTATTTTAGGTATTTACAATTTTTTATATAAACATGTTCAATATTTCATTTCTTTTATTCATACTCTACTTACTCTTATTTATTGAAGTACTTAAAAGTTTTTTATAAGTATCCTGGCGTCCACCGTGGTGGGTCGATGATAGAATTTGACTTCACCCATATTTCTTTAATCCTCCGTTAGAGACTTATAGTTTAATAAGTTTCAATAAGCCAATTATATTTTAAAATGGAAAATTAAATACATATTTTATCTTTATTTTTTTTTATAATATAATAGTTAAAATAGGTTAGTATTTCAATCATCAGATAATAATAATAATAATAAAAGTAATTTCATAACTTTTTTTAAGTAAAAAACCCTTTATCTATTTATCTCTATGTATATTAACCATATTCTTAATTATTTATTTAATGTTTGATGGTGATTTATTTTGTAGTTGACGTGAATCGCATTTATATGATAGTGATGAAGCTAAGCCATATCTTCTTTCCTGTTCATTAGATACAATATAAGTCAAACCTTGCTATCTGGATCGTGATATTCCAAATTTGAACTTTGAAATTCATCACCAAAATTCTTATTTTCCCTTCTCATTCAACACCACCCACATCTACACCAATTGACGTTACGTTCTCTCCATCAATTTCTTTGCACAAAACACGTTTGTCTTTCTCTTTTCTCGTATGTCAAGTACCTCAAATTCAAACTCAAATGGAACAAAATCAACTTTCTCAGAATAATATCTCTTTTCTTTTTCTTTCTTCATCTTTTCAACATTTTTTTTCTTTCATAAAATTTCACCAAAGAATGAAATTGTGAGATATAAAAGTTGCCGACACGAAGAACATAATTGAATTACAGAATCAAGCCATACTCAATATGCTTAAAAAAACTACACATTGTGAATAGCATGAAATATGATTTAGGGCAAGTTTAACTTGGGAAGAAAAATAAAAATATAGATAAGAGAAAATAAATTATTTAAAATATAATTATTATAGTATCTTGTCACTTCATTTTTATTCTTTTTTATATTCAAATAATTAGTTTAAAAATTTATTATTGTAATAGATCTATATATAACAACATGGACTTCTTTTCCTTAAAAATTATATTAATTTGCTTCATCCTACACAACTTTTAATATATTAAAAAAATAATATAAGTTTCTTCAATTAATAATAAGAGACTAAGAAAAAAAGTTTAAAGAAATATAATAATATGGTTCTCTTCTCCTATTTAATTAAATAATATATATATATATATATATATATATAATACATTACTTTTTAATCATGTCTAGTGTTATTTTATTTTTTAAACACACTCTACTAATTTAAAAAGTAGTTTTCAACTTATTTTAATAATAAAATATTAAAATTGAGAAGAAAGTTAACGACCCACACAACCTTAAATTATTGTTTTAAAATGAGACTGTAGAAGAAAAATAAAACAACATCATCCCAAAACCTTAAATTAATAACTTCGTGTCTTTCTTTTTATATATTCTTCTCCTTTATAAATTTTTATGAATGTAAAATTTTAATTCACACATTATTTCAGAAATTAAAAAATATTTATATTAAAGATAAATAAAGTGATCCTACACATACATTGTTGCTAGGTAGCTAAGTTGTATTTAATAACAAATTTTCCACAAGTTTCCAAAGTTAAACATATTCATGAATCTGTGGCCAAAGTTAGCTGGCAACCCCACACATGTGCGGCGTCGTAAATGAAAATCATGCTCTGTGGACACCACTTCATAACTAAGATCATCATCACACTTCCATTAAACAACACACTTCTCCATCACACAACCACAATCTTCTCATTTTGGGTTTTCTTATGGCAGCCCATTAAGACAGAAATTGGTGCAATCTTTTTGTGGGATCTTCCAACCCATACATTTGACTTAATATTATACCCATAAATAGAAATTTCTTGATTAACATTTGTTAATTTATTGATCATGTTTGGTAGACACATAACACCAAGTTTTGAAAAAGTTACCAAGAATGAGAGTGATGAATGGGAAAACATTGACCAGGACTAAACTAGAGCAAAGAAACAAGGTGTCAGTTCTCATGTCCTCCATTGATAAGATACAAACAAGATACAACTTCAAACGGTGTACTTTAGATTTCCTCTTATCATCCCCACATGCCCTTAAATATAATACACAACAACAACTTGTCATCAAAACTTCCATATATCCAAAAGCTATGCAAAAACATATACCCAATTACATGTGCTCACCATCCTCTCACATCCCTCCAAAAAAAATTACTTTTTTTCCTCTCTTTTCTGATTTTCACCATTGCTAAATTTGAAGAACACCCATCACAAGCATATGAAAGAAATTGAAAGCAAAAAAAGAAGCCTTTACCTAAGGATGCTGCTTCAGTGACCTCCTCGTGTATGCATGATCCTCCATAGCATACTACCCGTTGGCTCGATCAAACTATGTAACTCTTTACACAACCATAGTATCTGAGTATATATATATATATATATATTCATATTATATATAAGAACGATCACTGTAATTAAGATGCTGCATTGGATGAGTATCTGTAGAACTTATAGCAGAAGAAAACTAAAATGTAAAATAAATTAAGTTTCCCGCATAAATTAAAATTAACAGAAACTTCATTTTTAACTTCTCTAAAAATCTTGAGAAACTTAATTTACCTTATCATCTTTTCTTTCTTCCTACAACTATTATTGAAAACTTGGGCGAGGTGTGTATATTGCAAGATCAGACCAACCATGACTACCATTCCAACAGGTTGATTCCCCATTCTGCAGACCTAGAAAACCCTCTGAACTCCCGTTACTCTGAAGCTGCAAACCCGGGTTTGAAACCGAATCAGAATTCAAACCCAGTTCAGAACTCACACCCTCCCCAAATTCACCCATTTTGAGACCTGACCCAGTTGGATTCAGACCATCCAATAGGGTTCCAAAGTGCCCAGATGAAGCCAAGAGGGAACTGAAGGTTCCACCTATGTTGAGCACCCTCTGGTCTTGCTCAACCGGAATGGTGCAAATCCGGCTCGGGTCAGCCTCGGAAACCGCAGAGGAAGTCGGTGCAGAAGAGCGTTTTGAGGTTGATGAACGTTTTGTGCTCTTTCTGCTTCCACCCCCAACAGGGATGTTTCTCAAAGCACCACCCTTTGTCCAGTACCTTCTGCAGTTCTTGCAAAAGTGGCGTGGCTGCGAGAGGTTGTAGTTGTTGTAGTAGCAGAATTTGGTGTTTGTGGAGTCACAACGCGGGCATTTGAGTTGTTCTTGTTCGGGAAACTGAGGTTGTTTCAAACCTTGAAATGCTGTCGGGTCTTGCATCCTAGAAGAACCTGAATTTCAAGCACTAAATGAGTTCAGAATGGTGTGGTGTTGAGAGATGAGTAAGTGGTTGATTGGTGTAGGAAGATCCAAATTAAACTTCAGCAGAAAAAAGGGTTTTGTTAAGTGGCAAAAAGGAATTGAATTGAATTGAGTTGAACCGCCAATGAAGAGAAAGTAGAAATAGGACAAAAAGGTTGGAGGATATATACACTTTGTTTTTTTTTTGAGGTCTAGGGTAACAAAAGCCTTAATCTAGAAGCAATTTCTGAGCGTTACTTTTATAGGGTACATATGAACTAGAATAAGAACCAAAAGCAGAGATAGTGAAATGAACCTTTGGCGTGGTAGTGATGAGAAAAGCACAGAGATTATAGTGGAGAAAACAAAAGATGAAGCATGGAAGAGGAAATGAGAGACATGTGATATTTGGTGAGCATGAAAATGTTGACAAAGATGAAGATGAGCTATCTTTCTGTTCTGTCACTCAGTTTATCCGCGTGGAAGTGACCACAAGCTTCCAACTCAAATACAATGCCTTCTCTCTCTCTCTATAACCTGCAGATTTTTTGCACAACACTTAGTTAACACTTACTTTACTTTAAAATGACATATAAAATGGAAACAAATACTTCCTAATATTTATCATCTTAGATTTTCTTTTTAATTGTCTAAAAACATGTTTGATTTGAAAACCTAATAAATTTCCTTTTTTTTCTTAGCAAATATAAAAATAATTAAAAATTTAACAATCATTATTCACTTTCTTATAAAGTACACTTCCATTTTGGAAGAGAAAAAATTTATACCTATCAGTCTTCACCAACTTTTCATTTCAACGACTAAAGAGTGTACTAGATCATGTAACATAAAAGTACCATAAAAATATAGAAGAAAACCGTTACTATTTGGGGAAAGTATACTATAATAAAACAAAAATCCCTAGTAATACACACATAAATAATATTTATATTTATATTATATATATTACCACTAATTTATTTTGACATGTGATTAGATTAATTGTCTCCATCAAATTAATTAATTCAATAAACCCACCAACCACAGCTATCCGCTAAATCCCTTATTTAATTTAATAATAGAAAATTATAAAAAAATAATAATAATATTATTATTATTATTATTATTAAAAGTAAATAGAGAAGGGTGAGGTGAGGGAAATGAAGGGCCCAGGAAAGTTGGCGTGCGAAGAAAGCAAAAGGGTATGATTGGGTTTGTTGAGAAGATGAGAACCGTTGGATGAAAAGAGATAATGGATTGTTGCGTTGCGTTGAGTTAGCGTCACCCCAGCTCAGCGTGGCGAGTGTCACCCACAACACGTGGCGGAACCCCCACAGTGAGTGGAGAGTGTGAAAGTGCTTCATAGGATTGGTTTTTGTCATTTTGTAATCATCACGGTCGTGCTGACGCGGACCAGGTTTCGGTGTCTTTCACTGTTCCTCCTATTTTCACTCACGCTTCTCTTTCAACTACATTTCGCATCTCATGTCACCGTGTGGATCACAAGTTTTCTGTTTTTTTTTTTTTACATTTATTTCTCATGATACAGTATAATTTATGTAGCTTATTCCATTCAGTAGATGCTATGATTATATTGTTTTAAAATTATAATCACTTTGAAATTACTGTTAATAAACATTTCTTAGTATTAGGGTTAGGGTTAATGTGGTCCCACGATTCACCATCATCTAATGAATCGTGATTATTGTTTCACCAAAACGTGCGCGGTTTATGATTTCATAGATACTATCACTGTCTAAAAGAATATGAACAAAATCATGAACCAATACTAATCAACGCCATTTTTAACAAAAAGGACTTTCTCAAAGAAAGTGTGCAATTAGACACAAGCGAGATTACAACCCAACACGATCATGTATATAATGGGGGCATGGTTGCAATTGCATGATGTATGAATGTATTGTAGAGAATGAATAGAGAAAAGAAGTGAAAAAAAAAAAGTTTTAGGATGAATTTATGATTTACAATGTGAAGAGTGTGTAAGAAAGAGAAAGAGAGAATAGATGGGAGCAGCGTGTGATTCGTGTCATGTCTGTGTCGTTTCCCCGTCCAACACGCCACATCCAGATGTCCTGCACCAACCCTGTCATGCTTCCTAATAATTCTTTTTAACTCGATATTAAGTAAAATATATTTATATTTTTTTTAATTTTAAAGTAAAAATAAAAATTTATTTTCTAATTTTATCATTTATATTTTAATACAAAAATAAAAAATAAGTTTTACATCTTACTTTTTACTCTAATTTTTTAAATAAATAAATTATATATATAAATATATTCAAATATTTTTTAAAAGATAAATTAATTTAAGTCTAAACTCCTATTCACTTAATATCTCTTCTGATTAATTTATTTAAAATGTAATTATTATTTTTTAAATAAAAAAATATTGTTTGTTTTAACATAAACTCGTCTAAATTTGCATTAATTTAGTTGTTTCTTTTCAGCCATTTGCTAATGAATAGTTTTTATTTTTAAAAATACAAATAGTTTATACATGTATTATAAATATTTACGTTTTTGTTATTTCATTGCCTGCATTTTTATTATTGGATTATATATGTGGAAAAACTTCTTCTTAAATGCTTATAAAAACTATAAAATAATTTTATAAGTTAAAATTAGTTTATTAATAAATTAATTTGTAAAAAAATTCTATCAAATTTTAAAATTTTAATTTATGTATAAAATTATTTTATTTTATAAAAAAAAAGTTTTTTATTCTTTTAAATTTTTCTGGTCAAATTGCTTACAAAAATGTTTATGTTATTTTTAGTTTAGCGTCATGAATAAGTAAGTTATTTCATTCTTAGAATTTACGAGAAAGGAATCGCATCCCAGTTCAAGAGAAAAAAAGCTTACTGGATCAAATATTATTTATAAGAAATGATATATTTATTTCATTTTAAGAAACGAATAAAGCTTGGTTCTACTAATAAAATGGACAAAAGACAAAGAAAAAAATAACATTATTTGACTACTAACTCTTCGTTTTATATCTCGTCCTGATAGTTATAAAAATCATTGTATATATCAAATAAGTGATGGTTATTTACGAAATCGTTATATATTTCGTTAATTTTCTTAATTTTGTATATTTGATTAGTTTTATTTTAGTGTTTCTATTTTTTTTTCTTTCTTTGTCTACTGTAATTAAATTTTATTATTATTTTTTTTTTTCTCAAAATGTTTCTCTTTAACGAATAAAAGAGAATAATAGTGAAATCTGATATTTTATTCAATAGATATAAAAAATAATATTTTAATGAGGTAAAATTAGAGGAAAATATTTTATTGAACGCATTGAAGCCGAGTTAAAAGAGTAGTAATGAAGAGGTTGGAGAAAATTTCCATGACGTGGAGGAGCAATAATAAGGGAGTAAAGTTGTTGTGGTGAAACTTATATATTTGTTTAATTGTTTATTTGTTTGTTGTGACAGAATTTCTAGGTTTATTGTTTATTGTGACGAATTTTTTAGATGGATTGCAACAAAGTAAAATGAATTTTGTAGTATACAATTACAATTCAAAATCGTTATATATATATATATATATATATTTATAAATCTCGTTCAAATATAAATAACATGTGATTAAGAAGTACATATGAAATCATTCTTTGAAACCCGTATTGTCGATAATAGATAGAAATAATATTATAATTATACTTGCATAATTATTCTTGTATTGTTTTTAACTTTAATTTATCATGATTTTATCTTTAAAAAGTATTTTAGTGAGTTTAGAGATAATATATATAAATTATTATTGGTTTTTATTCATAAGCAATATGAGACTATACTCTTAAGCATATTTGAACATAGTCTCTTAATTAAAGAAGGGGTAAAAGATAACATAAGACTCTAATTTCTACTCTACAACATGCAATAATGTTCCATCTAGGAACGAAAATATTTTAGCCTTTATATCTGGTATATTAATATCGGCCTCGTAATAAGTGTTAATATTCCATTTAGAAACGAGAGTATCTCGATCTTATATCTGATATAATAATATTGTTCATAAAATAAGATTAATAGTATATATAAATTATTATTGACCTCAATTTCTAAATGATATTATTATAAGTGTTAGATATTATTTAATATTGTTAAGATATTGTTAGATATTAACCATAATATCAAACAATATCTTCTGTTTATTCTGTTACTTTTAGTTACTCTTTTAGTTGTATCTCTCTACTATAAATAGACTACCCTATGTGTGATTTATACACAAGGGAGATTAATCCCAAACTCTATTTCTTCTATATTCAACATGGTATCTAGAGTTTAACGTTATTTTGAATTTTTTTTTCCGCCTTTGACCACTATTGAAGCCGCCACCACCACCGCTATTGCTGTCGGTTATTTGGTAGTGTGAAAGTGCATGTCTAGGAAAGTTCTGACAAGGAAAGACTTGGTATTTAAGCGTGTCCATTAGTGACCCACCTCTCTTTCTTGGGAACTTACCTGGTGTACTGGTTCACGTCGATGTCACTATCGCCTCCGCCCTTTATGAGTTCTTCCGCTCCTTTTAGTACTTCCAATTCTGTCAGTACTGCGTCTGATCCTTCCATCTACACTAACTATGTTAATATGCACTTATCTATTGACAAGTTAACTGGCCCTAATTATGCCACATGGTCATCAGATGTTAGATTATGGCTTAAGAGTCAGAAGTATCTTGATCATCTTGCCCCGAAAGCACCTACTCTCACTCCTGGTGAGGAAGATCGTTGGGACACCATTGATGCTCAATTATGCGTGGTTCTCAAGAGTACTCTTGATCCTTCGTTAAAACAAATTTTTCGTTCCTACGAAACATGTGCCAAAATCTGGGAACATGCCAAGTTATTATACACCAATGATACTCAACGTCTCTATGATGTCTGTTCTAAATTTGTAGATGTTATTGCCTCTAAACATCAAGATTCTATGACTGATTATATGGGTG